AGTCGTTTGAGATCATAAGATTTGAACTGTTAGGTATTTTACTTTCTCTGTTTCAAGTCAGTAATCTGTGCTGTTTTGTACTCAAAGGGTAGACTTCCCAAGCAGAGGAGTATATATACACACACCAGGCTGATAATAGCCAGGAAGGGATTAGAGACAAGATGACAAGGCCCCTTGTTAACACAAATTATAAAACACATCCCCATCATTAAGTTAAGAATTTCAATATTTGGCAAAACAAAATCATAACTCCTGAAAATCCCCCCCGAGTGAAGGCGAGGACGGATCAACCACAGAGGAGATAGAGACACTGAAAAGGGCGCTTTAGTGAGGTTAGTCCTCGAACAGGAGGGTCAAAGGTGTGATCACCGCTCAACCTCCACCTGCGTCGCGATCATATGTTGCTGTAATTATGAAAGAGCTCTCCATAAATCTCCATGTCAAAAGAGCAGCCTCATTCTTCTCCGTCAGAGCTCGACACTGACTCACCGGTTTGGTTTTTTTGAAAAACAAATGTGTCATTATTGCTGCACATACTCGTCTCCATGTGTGGTCCAGGACAGCAAACACTGACTCTACAAACTGTTTGTAGTATTATGTGTAGTTTTCGTCTTTTATTCAGAGCGTTATCGAGGAAAGAGAGGACAAAAGAAAAACACGCTACAAATTTAATTTAAGTGGGTACTGACTGTACTTCAGGCTTCAGCAGGTTGGCTCAGATAATGAGGTCTAGGGCTGCTGTTGATCTGCTATACGATTAAAAACTAGATTATTAGATGCTAGTGTGGACTGGTGGTAGGGCTGGGCGATATGGGAAAAAGTTTGTGATATATTTTTTCATATCTGTCGATATGGATATATATCACGATATAAAAAATGAAAGTTAACAGTGCTTATTGGCGTCAGCTCTATATGTTCAAGTGCTATGGTTGTGTGTAGCTGCAGTCTGCTACTTCACAGTTGTTAACTACTTGGTTCTAATCAAGCACGTGATTGGTTCAGCCCGAAGTGGACCCGGTGCAACTCTTCTTTTCATTGGCTATTCCTATAGTCTACCAAAACATGGCAGAATGCCAACTATTAAAAAGCATATTGAGCATGTTTTTTATTAATATTGAGGGAAATTAATTTTGGATATATATCATTATCGTTTTATCGCCCAGCCCTAACTTGTGGTAAAGGTCTGTTTGTTTTTTGATATTTATGAAAGACCAAAATTCTTATTGAGGCTTTATTAAGACATCCAAAAGTAAACAAGACCATCAGGGACAAGATTGGCAGTTTCTATAATGTGATTTTTAATGTCTGGTTCTGGTGCGAGGGGGGTAGGTGTCAGCTGAGCGGTTAAAAGTACAGCCCTGTTTTTATAGGTATTTTGTTCAAATTATATGAAAGAAAAACTAAATTTGTTGTTTTTATTAGCTGGCTAGTGGTGAAAGTGACCCTGCCGTATGATTGGCCACACCAAAATATTAGACAATGATTGGCTGTTTGCCTTCTTAGAGGCGGGACTTAAATTAAAATGCACCTTTTTTGTTGATTTAGCAGGTTTGCAGTAACTTTTTTGCAGTCAGATATAGTGTATAACATGAAGTACTCAAGGATATGTTAAGTGTAAGACAAGGTAAATGCTATTAAGTTATTTTAGCGCACCCATGCCATGTCAGGGCCCCTATTTGGGCCACCCCACCCTAGTGAAAAGAGTCTGGACACACCCCTGGCTTTGTGGTTTGCTATCTAGAGGCTGAAGGCATTGATTCCTGGGAATAACATCATAACATCACCATTAAGTGTTGCTGGTAGGCACATGTTTGACTCCTTTAAACAGAGCCAGGCTAACAGTTTCCCTGTTTCCATTCTACTTCTGGATCAAGTTTCTCTCAACTCTCTGAGAAGAAGTGACAAACTTTTGACCTAGTTTTTATATTAAAGTATCTCACTTTCACTTGCACTAATAGTGGTTTTCAGAGGAACATCTAACCACTTCACTGACATTAGAACTTTGCTTTCACTCTTTGGGTCTGAAGCAGGTCTGTGAGCTCTGGTATGTGTGTCTAAAGGAGGTCAAACATGCGCTCTCTGATTTCTACAGACAAAGCGGCCTCTGAATAGCCTCTAACCTAACCTCATCACTCAGTGTTGACCTCAGCCCTTGTTTGGTGATTAATTATCCCTCCTGCGTCACCTGTCACTCTGCAGCGACACACACACACACACACATGAACATGCACATGGGCATGCAAGCGGCGCTGCAGCTCGCCTGCTCTCAGCTGGGAGTGCAGATAAGGGAAATAGCACAGTTAGCACATCTAGCACTGTTTGCTCACCTCTTTCTCAAACACGGAGGTAAAGCTGCCTTCTGATAACACAATTACAAAGTGTACAAGCCGCCGCATTCTCTTGCTCAACCATGGGGGTTAAAGGTGAGCGGAGATTGGGTTCACACCTGCTTTACCCTGTAGCGCAGGAAGCAACAAACTAAATGGTACATATTGGAAAGTAAGCAGCTGCAAACTTGATGAAGTCATGGAAGTTTTTTAATTTCACCTGGCTTTTTTTTTTCCTGTCACACATTAAAGGGCAGACGACCCTCTTCTTCCACCACCTAAGATCCGCCTCTCGTGTTCTGCAAACCCACTTCCTGGTACATTGTGTCAAGGTGCCTCAGACGCGCACCGCACAAACAGGAAACAGCCCTCTTTCATGTCCCTCACACTCAGCAGGCAGATGAAGAGCGTCTGAAGGGGTGAAGAGCAGCGCTCGCGTTCACCTGGTTTGTTTGTAAAAAGCCTTTCTGAACCGTTTTCTCTTCTCCTGACCTCGTTTAAACTCAGTGTTTTCAAATTCCTGACTTTCCCACAAACTAGGCCATAAGTAGTATTTATGCAGTAGGAAGGATATGCTTCTTCTTTTATATGTTACGTAGTCTACACATGAGCTGAAACAATATTGCTGTTTGCCAAAACGTCATCTGCAGCCAAAGAAATGTACTGTATGTTGGCCTTTATATGAATGTTACTGATGTTTGAGGTCTAACCCATGTTTTACTGCGGGGTTGTCTGAGTCCTCCAACAAAAGCTCTCTCTGTAGCAGACTCCTGAAAGCAGCCATGTTTATAAGAACTTCTCATAACATTCATAAATTATAAAGGTGATAAAACGATGTTAAGTATGTTTCTGAGCTGGTAAAGTGGGTCTGTGGTCTCCGCGACCCCAAACAGAACATCCATCCATGCTGTTTGCTCGGGTGAAACATGAACCACATAAATAAGGGCCTATTTAGCTCTGGATTTGTACTCACTTTAACTCAAAACATGCTCTTGCATAATGGTTTCTTATGGATTTTATGAGCGGTATCTCACTGGAGTTTCCCCCCAGTTTTGTGTCCGCATGATGTAGAGTCATTAACAGGGTGGATTACATGGCAAAGATTGGGGGGTCGGTCCTCAAGTTTGGTGATACAGATAAAATCAAACTCACCCCTTGGCGTACAAAGACTTCACCAGAATATTTGGACTCCTAACAAGCTGCCAATGCCCTTTCCTGTCCTCTTAATATCATGATCTCCCTTTGTGAGTCATAATAACACCTTATATAAGCCACAGCGCACTGTGTGACTCCTTGCGTGGGCGTTACATGACAGCCTTTGTCTGTTTTTGCAGGGAATAACGTCATCTTTACAGTGTTGACATCTTTAAAATAAAGTTTATCTTCTTGTATCTTTAATTAAATGTAATGTTTTTCTCATTCTGGTTCCATGGGCGCTTATTTTCCTACCTAAAGCTCCGGTTCAGAGATGAAGGCTAGAGGTTAAGGGGAGGGGAGTGAAAGAACAAGACAAGGACCTCAACCGAGCCCAGGTTTCCTTGGAATAAGGCAACAAGGAGGCCTCCACGGGTCAGCTGTAACGGGTCAGCACCCACTATTGTATGTGCGGAGGGAAGGGAGTTCCTGTTCCGGCTCGTTTTTGCAATCTGAGAGTGCATAAACATGGACAGACGGAAGTGTTCATAGAGCGAGCAAAAGCAGAAGCAGTGAGGATGCTGAGAGGAGGGGAAGCAGCAGAATGTTGATACTGAAATTTAACCCCACGCTTCTTATGTTAATGCTGAAAAACTGTATTTATTCATGTTTAAATACACCATGTTGCATTTTCTAATCATCCCAAACGTCTGTGGCTCAATTGTTTATCCTGTTCTCACCAGTAATATCCTCACACACTTATCGATCAGCTCACATGTAACCTCTGGATCATTGATCAGCTGATAACCTCAGCTTTCTTATTCTTGGAAACGTTACGGTTATAGCCCCCCTCCGATCAATACTTCTGCTGAAATCAGGAGTGCGGTGTCTTTGCGTAACCAAAACCTGCTCAATCGAGAGTTTGATCATCTCCAGGTCAATACCCCAGACTGCTCTCTGTGCGATTCACCAATCAACATTCAGCATACCGAAACTCCCTTCAGTCCTGCAGTTTGCACAAAGGCACAGGGCTGGTTCATGTTTTCTGCCTGTTTGAGTTCACTTCAATTCATGTTTTAAAAACCGGAGCTTTCGAGGTGAGACAGTGAAGTGTTAAAGTCTAATGTTAGCCTACAGCTGTTTGTATTTTCAACAGTTTTGCAATTATAAAGCCCGTCCAATAAGCTAATTTCATAATTTCAGAGTCAGAGTCGTTTTGATATGTGAAAACTTTTCAAATGTGGTGTTTTTGTGCAGGTTTCCAGCACTCTAAGTGGATTTATGGGGCGTTCCTGAGTCTGAAAACCTCAGATTTGAAGCTTTGCCACAAGTGCCTTAATTCCCTTCAGGCCTGTATTATGCAAATGTTAATGCCATCCATGTGTTAGATTGAACGCTGCAGCAGTTGGAAGCGAGATGTAGGTTTAATTTGAAGCGTTTAACACTTTAGATTTGATTATAACTCAATGAGGAGGTGATTTAAACCCAAATATGTTGTGAAAAGTGTGATTTCCTTTTTGCACAAAACTCATCACACAGTTTAACTTTTCCAAAAATACGGGGTTTATTGACTTAACTGCAATCAATACTTACAAAAGAGGAAAAACAGGTTTTCATATAAACTCACAGAAATTACTGTAGTGAAAAAAAAAAAAAACATGGCTGAAAAAATACATTCAACTGTTTTACTTTCTTTGTGTCAAAATCTGCTCACCTCTTCCGAAAAAAAGAAAAAAAAAAGTGAAGGCAACACAGAACAAGTGACTTTTAAAAAAATTAATTGTCCTCCATTATCAAATATAAAAGGCACAGAAGCCTTAGCTACCTGGAATGTATTCAAAGAGGCACTTCCAATGGTCGAGAGGGGGGCCAAGCAAGTGCATCAAGCATCCAATCAAATTTTTTAAAAAAAAGAAGAGAAACAAAATAAACTTTCCTCAACCCATTTGGTCACAGCTATTGCTTGTAATAACAGAACTGACAGGAGAGATTTCAACACAAACCAGTCGTCTTCGAACTTGGAGACTCTCCTAAACCAGTGATGTGAGAGAGGTCCTATTAGCACCCCTTTACTTCCACCATCAACCCAAGATTGAATTCATGTGCTAACAGTTAGCTACTGTTACTGTCGAGATTGTTTTTAAGATATGAGAGAGAGAGATTGGGGGGAAACATCCGGAATGAATACAAGCAAATCTAGTTCAGATGGAATTGCAGTCCAATAAGAGGGAGTAAGAAAAAAAGTACAATAAATAATCAAAACGCAAAACGTCTTTTTTTGCATTTTTTTTTTGCTTTAAATTAAGTTTCATTTTTGACAAAAGTGTAGTTGCAGAACAAAAGTCATTGAAGTACAATATATTAAACTGTGAAAAAAGGAAAACTGACAAAAACGTCTTCACAATCTTTAGATTAATATGGAAGATCATAATTTAACATAAAAGAAAATATATTCTATTGTTCATTATCCAGATAAATACAAAACAAAATTAACAAAAAATGCATATGATCACCAATAAATATGTTCTGATAAGTTAAATAAGCAGTGACAAGCAAACCTTCTGTCTGGAAAGTTTTTCAAACAATAATAACCGTAATAATAACATTAATAAAAAATAATTATCAAATAAAGAAGCAAAAAAAAAAAGGGATGTAATGAGTACAGAGTGCTCCTCGGAGCATGTTCTAAAGTGGGGAAGAAGTAAAGTAAGATAGCTTGGAGATCCCATCTCGTCAAGTCGCAGGATGTACAACTGCACCATGGGAATGCTGGAATTCCCCGGATCGGCGAGGATGAAGGGAGGAGGCAGGGGGTAAGAGGCGGGACAAAGTCTTACAGGTTTAATGATCAGTTTGATATCAAGACTTCCTTCCCCAAGAGAAAAAAAAAAAAAAGAGCCAGTGACCAGCAACAGGAGGAGAAAAAAAACTCAGGAGGGGGAACATAACCAACTTCCAGTTCAAAGTCCTTCCTGCAGACTCACCCAGTCCACAATTACATAAGACAGGGCTCGAGGAGAACCGTGACAAAGGGGGGTGAGGTGGAGGGGAGGGCAAATGAGAAAGAACCGAAACAAACAGTAGTCCATTCACCCTAAACACATGCAGAAACCGCCCCAGGCACTTTTTTTCTTTTTAAAAACTATTCATATCTTTTCAGGGTCTTTATTTTTTCCATTTTGTCTTAACTCAGTCTGTAAAAAAACGGCTGCGGTAGATCTACAGTTACGTTAGTGAGCACCCTCTAGCTAGCTCAGGGAAGTGGTGTCGTCAGGGAGACAGAGAGGGGAGAGAAAGAGGGAGGGAGGGAGGGAGGGAGGAAGGGGGGTTGGGGGGCTAGTGCAATGCACTCCCCTTTCCAAGGCCACTTGTGCTGCTACACATTCAAGAACAAATGAAGAAAGAAAAAAAATAACAAGTGGCACCTGGCAAAACAGTCAATTCTTGATCTCGGCATTCTCGGGATTTTTATTGTTCAATTTCCTCTCCTTTTTTTGGCACTATGACACATGGCAGGGAACGTTTTTAAACTTGCTGTGCAGATTGGCAGGGATGAAATGATAATTTGAGTCGCCAGAGCTCCTTTAAGTGACTACATCCTTACAGAGCTAACGAGGAACTATCACGGTGTCTTGAGTACTGGGGGGACAGGGAAGCGTAGGAAAAGGGCAGAGGTAGAGGGGAGTGCCGTGTTCTCTTTGTGTCATCGAACTGAAAGTCACTGGTGGAAAGCGTGCGGTTTTTAATCATCAGAGATGGAGAGGCGGCTGAAGATGGGAAGGCGGCGGGTGTTGTCCAGCGTGGGGGACTCAGAGCCACTCAGGCTGCCTCCAGAGCTGCTCTGGTAGCCCTCCTGGTCTGACAGCGAGTCAGGGGGGCTGGATGGAGACTCGAACAACTGAGGGGACTCCAACATGGGTCTGAAATAGTAAGGTGTGCTTGTTGGAGAAGGGGGTGCAGGGGTGTTGGGCTCTGTGCCTACAGGACCGGCACTGAGGCTGGGCCCAAACAGGTTGGCCAGCTCCTGGCTGGAGTAGGTGAAGGGGTTACTGCTGGGCCAGTCTGGGACCTCATCAGGGAAGAACATAGGTGGAGGGGTGACCGAGGTGGGGCTGTCTCTCAGCCCGGCTGAGCTGGAGAAGCCCGCAAAGCTGTAGCTGTGCTGCAGTCGAGGCCGCTCCATCTTGTTGGATGAGTTAAGAGGGGAGGACTGCTGTGGGGGTCCGCGGCGCTCCTCAGCATTGTGGATGAAATGGCAGCGAGGCCCGTAGGGGCAGAATCCGATGGTGTGGAAGGTGCGGCACAGCTCAGTTTTGTATTTGGGGTGGCGGCTCAGGCTGCGCAGTTCATGGATTCCGTGAGCAAACTGGCATTTGTCGCCGTACTTGCAGGAGCCGTTCTCCTCGAAGGGCCTGCACAGCTCTGTCTTGTAGCGGCTGGAGTTCACCTGGCTGCTGCCGCCGGTGGGGCTGGCTGGACCCAGGCACTTGTTGAGGAGCCTCTCGCCCGTCTCAGAGAAGGAGCGGTCTCGCAGGCGGTTCTCCTTGTTGTTGCTGGCATTGCCAACCCCTGAGATGAGTGAGGAGTGGTCCGCTGCCTTCAGGCTGTTCAGGAACTGGTTCTGGCTGAATTTTGTGCTGCTGACAGAGTGCCGCCGCTGGTACACGCCTCCCACTGAGGGAGACCCCACCGCCTTCCTGTCCAGCAGGGCTCCGGCGGGGCTGGAGAGGGGCACGTTGGTGCCAGTGCAAGGGACAGACATGGGATGAGGGGCACCCAGGTTGTTGTTGTAGCTGAGCAGTTTGTTGTTCTGCAGGGACACAAAGATTACACATCATCAGACAAAAAAATCACCAAGACTGACACTCATTGTGGCTCTGATTCTACAGAAAAGCTGGTGGATCAGAGAGAAAAAGATCCACAGCCTCCTCTTGCATGACTGTGTTCTTTTTGGCTCCGACTACATAAGCGGATACAGGCCTATAGAACAGCAGCTGGTTTGGCAAGTTGCCCTGGTGAGGAATGTGTGCCTGTTTAGTAAATGGAGCAGCAGCACATGAAGAGGCCACAGGGCTGCTGCTGGTGGCTACAAAGAGGCTGCATCATTTGAAAGATAATGAAAGTGGCCACGCATCCTGTTGAATTACAACAGAAGACTCATCCGCTTTTCATTACACTTCCAAATTCGAGAGGCAGCTTATTTAAATGAGTATAAAAAGCTAAAAAACAGAGAAGCAAAGAAGAGGAAAGCGCTGTTTTGGAAAGAAATCTGACACTGAACGCATCCAAATGTATGCAAAGGCAAACAGCGCGGTGACGGTAACTGTCCGGAGAGCCGTTAACGCTTGAAAAACAAGTTTCCCCCCAAAATATCCACGGTAACACGCCTTTAAATGGAGAAGCCGCTTTACAGGCGCAACAGTGGGTTAAAGTCAGAGAAACCTTGTCAATGATTAGCGAGCATGTGGCTGCTTTGTGAGGAATATTAAAAGTGGCGCAAAAAGTGCCCTCATTTAGAGAAATATGACGACTTCAACAGCAACTAAGCGCCAACACATGAAGCTGCACCGTAACTGGTTAGCAAAACTACAAAAATATGTTGGCGGGCGCATATTGAATTTATAAAGCTAAACTTTTTAACTCCAACAAGTGTTTCGTGTAAAGTAAAGCTACCAACAGACTTCGGCACACTTTTGCAAGGCTAAATCTACCAGCAATTACAACTACGACGACGTAAAAACAGCTAAAGAGAAGCAAAGAGTTGTGAAAAACAAATCCAAACAGCCTCCAAACAGGAGGCGTCACAGCATAGAGGGCCGCGGGCATGCAACTCTTCATTCCTCCACAGCGGCTAACCAGCTCTGCTAACAGGCTAACAAGAAACTCCGAGAAAAAGTTTAGGAAATGTACCTTGTTCATGACTTCGAAGTCGAAGAAAGGCGACACCACGGCTGTGGTCATCTTTGCAGCGACCGGATTCAACTCAAAAGTAAAAATAAAAAAAAACAAACTGTGCTTGTTCGAAAGTTGCGCAGGTCTGCTGAGTTTCTGATTTGCAGCTCCTGTGTATTTTTTGACCCAGCAGAACTCCCCCTCTGCCCTGCTCCAGCCCGACATTTGCTTTATAATCCTTTTGCAGGAGGAGCCTGCAGCGCTGGGCGTTAACTTTCAGTTAAAGTTTTTTTTAATCTTTCTCTTCTGCGGGGACAAACTTGCAGTGGTTTGTTAGTTTGTTTGAGATTACTACACTGTTGCACGCTGTACGAATACTAAACAGACTGTTTTTTTAATACTTTTGGCCATCAAACAGTGGAAACAGCTCTGCTTTATATCTTCTACCACTTACGACAGGCAGGGTTTTAGTTTAAAGGAAAGTTGGAGTTGTGATCAGACTATTTCAGTGACTTTTTAAACACTTTAGATCAATTTCATGGTCTTTGAAAGAGCTTTTGAAGTGTTCTAACTTTATGTATAAATAGATCTGTTGCCTATAAATGAAGTTACTATATGTGCTCAGGCCAAGTAAGGCTACAGCTTAATTTCCTGCTTTTTCCTATAGAGGTTTGGTACATAAAGTTGTTTACAGGGAGGCGCTATCCACTATCCTCAGGCTTCCAGCTACCATACACTACTCTGTAATTAATTTACTCTTAATTGCTGGACTGTAACGTCACTCCTGGGACTTTCCGGTGAATTCAAGCAGCCAAGGATTTTAACTCTTTCCTGTCCACGTTCATTCCCTCATTTAATGCTACTCTCTTATTTATTTTCCCCACAGTTTCCACTACTGCACATTTACTGCTGCCCTCCTGTGCTGAATCTGAGTCTGGATGTGTCACTCCATCAGGTAAGAGAGATTAATGTGATCCATGAGTGACCTCACCAGATTCAACCACAGCCCTTCACAATGACAGCCACATAGAAAAGAGCCAAGCTGCACAGAGTGAAACCTATACAAGTCTATTGTGGTCCCCTCCCGCCCTCTGAATCCATGACAGAGCAGCCATCGGCCATGTGCAGAGTCAATGTCAGGGTTGGGTTGCAATAGAGAAGAGAAGAAGAGGAAAAGAAAAGCAGAGGGAGAGGGGGAGAGAAGAAAAGGAGCTGTTAACAAAAAAAAAAGAAAAAGAAAAAAAAAAAAAGGTTGGAGCTGGAGTTGGAGGAGGGGAGGATGGCGTGAGGGGGAGATTTATGGGGGACGTTTATTACTACACAGAGCTGCCCCGGGGAGGTGAGAGGGGGAAGAGGGGAGGGGAGAGAGAGGCAAAACATTCCCTTTCTTCCCTTCCTCTTCTTTGCCTACACAGAAGCCACACAGGGGGTGGAGAGCTTTGTCTCAGCTGTGGAGGAGGCCGGGAAGTTGTTGTTTTTGCTCTGAAAGATTGAAAAGATAGAATACAGAGCTTAAACGCAGCCTAAGTTCTCCTCAAGATTAAGTTCTAACCTTTAGGAAATACTTCTCTGTTAAAGGAGTACATGTAACATTCAGCAATAAGTGACTTTTTCTGGACCTGGGTGTGTGTTTTAACATAAAAAAGAGTTTTACGAGCCAGGCCTGCGTGGAGTAATCTCCCCCCAGAGTGTTTTCGCAGACGACAGGGTGGGATGACAGACTTGCTGGAAATCACGTCTGCAGTTCAAAGGCCCTGTCACTCATTGATTAAGTGGATCACATCAATTGGAATAACTACAGCAGGGAAGAAGGAGGGGATTCAGCAACATGAAATGACCTATAGAGGGTGTGAAGTGGCCTAAAGAACTTGCAATATGTCACACATTAAACACAGGGTTTATTTCAGTCCAGTAAATGCAAACAGATATGCGTACAGTTTGAACTCTCTCCAAGGTCAGATCTCCAGAACAAAACCATCATCTGTGGTGGAAATGTCTTCTTTTTTTAGCGGGACCTTGGCCTCAGAAGTCTCGTACACTCTGCTTGTTTACTTTAATACTCTCAGATGCATCATCGGGCCTGCCTGATATTGTGAGATGAAGTTATCTTTCCAGGTTCGGAGGGAGGAGGCACCTGTTTCCTGCCAAAATGAAAAACTGAAGAAGAAAAAAAAAAAAAGGGCAGAAATGCAGCCTCTTTCTCAGGGGATAGAGTGTAGTGTGTTCCTGTTTGAACATGTAGACAGTAAACAGCTACAGACACAATTTTGACAAGGTGTCACACAGATGCTGAAGAAGTTCCGTTTGCTGAAAGATCCTTGATACACTGAGTCCTGGTGGTATTTACAAATCAACAAAAGGACAGTTGCGAAAGATTACTGCAATGATTAAAATTGCTCACATATGTCATATTTTTGTTAGATTACTTGCCAAAAAAGTTCCAATTGAGCTCTTGGATTGGATTTGTTGTAACTTGATGATTCAACTTAAAAAAGAAAACTAATTTTTAATCATTTTCAGTTTATGAAATCAAACCAGATGATTGAAAGCTCTGTCAGATCCTATTGAATTATATTAAATTGTACTGTATCACTCGTACCTCATGGTAGTGTATCGTCAGATCGTATCGTATCATCGTATCATATCATATCATATACCATATAGCGTATAGCATGTAGCATATTGTATCATCTCATATATCATATAGCATATTGTATCGTATCGTATCATATCGTATCATATATCATATCTTATCATATCGCATTGTCATATCTTACCGTATCATATAGTCTCACTGTGTCGGGTCATATGAAGTCATATTGTTCTGTATGGCATCATTAGGCATTGTATCCTCTTTAGTATTGTATTATGTCCTATACAGGATCATGTTAGAAATCTTCTCATGTCCATACCCCTTTCTACAGCATCATATTAAATCATATACTATACTGTATCATGTTACATCCCACTGTCAAATATTGCATTTTTTTCTATTTTATTTTATATTTGAAAGAAATACTGAAAAGGGTTAGCTTTAAGGTTGTATTTGGACCCCACAGACCCTGTCAAGTATCCAAATTAGTCCAAAATGCCCCTCTGAAACCAGAGATGGTGTTTTCATATATTTCTATTCGTCCAAAATCCTTATCACTCTGTAAAAGCACCAGAAATGGTTGAACATTTGGTTTGAAAATTTGCTAATAGGGTTGTCAAATTACTCACAGGTTAAATGTAGTTGACTGACTGATTGTTTGAACTTTAACTTCTAAAAAAAATCGAAGGATGTAATATTTATGAGGTTTTCCTGTCCCCCCGTTGACTTCCAAAGCAAAAACATAAGAGGAACAATTCGTATCTCAGCCTTCAGGCAGGATTTTCCTCTCCCTGTTGACAGAGTGGAGTTGATTTCTGAGGATTTGTGCTCCTCGGGTCAAGGCTGGTCCTCCTTTCTCAGCTTGTATCTCCTATCAGTCTCAGCTGGAGCTGCAGTCACTCACTCCTCAGATTTGATTTCTGCCTCCTGCTCTCAGAAGGGAGGATGGGGATGAGGCTTGAGGTCACTGATAACATTTAAGTGGGATGACTGGATGTTAAATCTTTATCTAACTCAGCAGGAGATGAAAGAAAGCACAGAAAACACTACAAATTGGAAGTTAAAGCAACAGTTTGCTGTAGTTTCTCCTTGTGGCCAACAGAGGGCAGAGTTTTTCCTTTCCTCCTACCTCAGTTCTTCTTATTTACACTTCTCTTTTTGCTGTATTTAAAGTGTCTCCATGTTTGCCTTAAGCATAAATTTAGATAATCAGGGTGAGAATTTCTAAGATTAGATGAGCAGGTCAGCACATTCAAACATAACTCTTTCCTTGTGTGGCTTTGAGGGTGAATGAAGACTCAGCACTGGCCCGAGGCTTGTGTAATCACTCTTTTCCACTGACACAGTTACTTACTAACCTATTATGAAGCAAAGAGACTTATCAGCTACGAAAACATGAATGCACACACTGGTTGTTCAGCAAAGTCAAGCTGAGTCGAACCACATCCCACTTAGTTCAACCACAGTCTCATTAAACGTTTGCTTTAAAGAGAACGAGTCGCTTTTACTGCCTGATACATGATGTTTACTCTGGAGGCTGATAGTGTTCATGATAAACACCATTGACTGAGCTGTCTGTTACGTACTGCTGCTTTTAAATTCTTATTAAGTTGAATTTCCAGCTGAAATGTTTGTTTTGGAAGAAATCAAACCCACACACACCCAAACAATTCACATGCACAATCGCTGAACTTGAGCAGCTGTAAGTGGAACAACACCTCCTCTGTAGTTTCTGAAACCCGTATATTCCATTGTATGTTTTTTTAATGTCAACTCAAGTTACATAATAGTTTACATTAAACTCCTTATTGTAGGATTCCCTTTGCCTCCCTGAACACACCATGCCAGCTCAACACTTTAAAGCTACTGTGAGGAGTTTTCAAGTGGTTATGAAACAGTCTGAAATCAACAGTGATAGCTCTTTGTGACCTACACAGGCAAACAAGGCCACCTATGACAAGAATGACACGTACTGTGAGGTAATTTTTTAACACCTGTAATTACTGTAAGGGGGTTAGGTTTTAGAGATGATATACAGCGCTCTGAAAAAACCACCTCACGTTATCTTTTCCAAAGCAGATATTCACGTTTCACTGCTGAAAGACACATTTTCTCAGACAACACGACTTAAACATGTGCAAGACAAAACTAGTGCAGATGAAAGAGGCGCCACTTTGTCCACAGGCAGACAGACAAAAAGTCTACAGGAGCTTCAAGTAGGACAAAATAGATCATAACTTTTGGTCACAGCACTGCTAGATTATTCCCTGATTTACCATAAAACAACTTAGTAACCAAAGGTGGATTATTTTTATTACAAAATAAAAAGCACAAACCCTTAAGGGAGTTTTGACTGACTGTGATGACGTCAGCTACCTGATGCTAGTAACATTTTGTACGCTAGGTTTTTTGTGTTAAGAATTTTTATCCAATACCGACACTAGGAATGTCACAGTACCAGACTTTCAACTCATTATTATTCTGCCCACAATATAGTTCAATTAAAGTAGTACTATCGCAATAGTGATATCATGATAAGGGTATCATCGCAATATTTCCAAACTCGAAAAACAAAACAATACAATCAGTCAAACTGAAGTAAGGCAAGACAAGGGGGTAGCAGCACATTACCTAATAAACTTAACAAATCTGCAAAATTACCTTATATGCCATCATCTTCTTTGAGTATTTGACTTCTCCAAAGAGGACAAAAGGTTAGGAGCCTGTAGAGGCACAAACGCCAACAGTATTTCTGATTCACTACAAACCCTGAACATCAGTTTTGGCTAACTCACTAGCATACGACGAACATGTCATTGATATGTAAATGATTGGACACCCTCAGTCATTCTCTTAAGTACCCCTATCAGTACAATTCCCTCTAGAGTATGAGCGCTAGTTTAGAATGTCTACAGATGATCACCCGCTTATGTTAAATACTTGATTCTGATTGGTCAAAACCCTGTAACAAACATGATTATTTCTCTACAGCATAAGTATTGAAGTTGTCTTTTCTGCTGCTGTTGGTTCAAGAGAGACAAATGTAGAGTCATGAATCCTTGTGACGTAGATGTACTTTTCACCCCTAGAAGCATGATTCATGTTGTATTACTGTCAGCAGTGGTTCAACTTCTATTAAAAGCCATAAATTACTCAACACACCTTCAACTTCCTATTTTCTATCAACCTGTGAGCCATTATTTTGAAACCCTGACAGGACAGCTAATCAGCTGCTGATTGTTGAGCAATCAGCGGTGAAGTAGCGCCAAGTCTGAGTCTATGTTGTCATCTTTCAGCCCACGTTCGCTGCGACACGGCGTGGGTTTAGTTTCTGTATACATTCTCCTCTTCCCCAACATCCCGAGTTAATGCGATCCGGTTCTTGTCTGTACGAGCTTTGACAGCCAGATCAGCATGATTGCTTGCTTTCATGTCTCATGGTATGTTTGCCAAATTCATATGGGAGGACTGTGGTCATCTCGCTGGGTGAAGCTAGCCTCAGAGGCAGGGAGAGAAAGAGGAAAAAAAGGAGGGAAGAAAATAAGAGCTAGAAACGATTAATTGTCCATAAGAGTAGCCGCAGCATTGTTAGTGGCTAACCACCGGCTGCTCTTGCTCATGTTGTTCCCATGAATCGCTCCAAACATGCCCATCCGCTCACTTCCACTGCCCTCCGTCTCACTCTGGGTGGGATGCGGCATCAGTTGGAATCTCTTTGACACGTCACATCATTACAATCAGAGTTCAAAACAAACACGGTGTTGGAAATGAGACTTTCTGGGCCTTGTCAGCGCCGGTTTGCAGTGAACTAGAGTAATGATGTTTTGGTTAACAGCGAAGTCGCAAAAATAGCAACAAAACAAGAAATATGAGAGGGTCAGCATTTAAAGGAGATTTACAGTCCAATTCTCCGCTGACACCCGGTCTCTAGAGGAGGGTTGTATTTAGAACCATAAAGGCCAGCTTCCTCTTCTGACTTCCTGACCCGTGTTTCCTGAGGAACAATCTCTCCGTCTGTCCGGAGGGCTCATGGGAAGGCAGAGTTTGGTTTTCCACTGGCGCATTAGGGGTCGCGGAGGAAGAGGCATAGGTCAAAACCATCAAGTGACAGAAAAGAGACAGTCACCGCAGAGATGGCCGATCGTGGGCACTCGCAGACCTTAGACTGTATAATTAATTGACACCACAGCCACCATGACGTCACGCCGTGGTTTTCCAACTGCCTATTTGAAGTGTTGACTTCAGTATTTTTGCCGCTATGTTGGTTTTGTTTGAGCTAGAAGTGGCCATGATTTGACACAAGGGTGGAGCTTAGAGGCTGACTAACAGTTTATGCCAATGGCTTATTCATTAGCTGGTGAATGGTTCATTACCAGAATGAGATTGTGTCAGATTTAAGAGACGATCAGAGTTAAATATTCATGAAACGGAGGAAGTAAAGAGGGAGCATCAAATCAAATAACCCATGACTCATAATTACAGTTTTACCCGAGATTTCCACCACATCTGGAACGGCTCCGATCTGGAATGGCAGCGATTTTTGTCATACACCAATTCCTACCGGATCCGTTTGTGAGGCAAATTTTGTGGCGGATTCAGACAGCAGGAATCGCGATAAGTTGTTTATTAGCCACAGAGGCTAACCATAAAAGCAGTAGATTGTGTCCTTCCAGAGGAGGAAATCTACTTCTAGACTTCTAAAATCAGCATCCTCTCATCCACAGTGTCATTGGGATGAAATGCTGTCTATTAACTTTTCACTTGTTCGTACTGTTTTATTTTGAAAAGAAGCCGAATGTTTTATTCTGTGTCTGTGCCCGACTTCCTTTCCAGCACAGATTTATCTGTGCTGAATTTATCCGGCATGCTCCGGCATCCGGAAAGAATAGGACTCTTGCAATCAGCTGCGGAGTCCGGCGTTCCGGAGCAGAACGGAAAGAAGCCGGTGGAAATTGACACATTAACTTGAACGGTTACGATCAGCTATGATCGGCGGTTACGGCCTTTTCTTAGCCATTCTGGATGCGGTGGAAATTGGGGGTTGCACTCCTTCACAAACAAAGAAAAGTAAACAACTGACATCATTCAGTATGTTTACATGCACCGCTAAGCTAGCTCAATTAGGAGAATTGACTGTGGTACTTTCCTTGACCCAGTAGCCTCTGCTAAGCTAGGTGGTGCTTCCACACAAATCCAACACTAAATGTGATTTTTCAGTGTATGGACTCGCATACTTTCTGCCACCCCTGCAGAAGTCTGTGCTGGGCCACCCCAGCCAGTAAAGTCTGGACACACCCCTGTTAATTTGCTCATACCTCCTCGCGAGTCGATCATGATAATCTGCTCAGTAACAGGTGGATCCATACTGATTAGAGGATTCTGTCGGTGAAATGTCAGTGTTACAATAAAAGACACTTAGACTGTCAGTTTGAAGTTTCTATTCTTGTGTTTGCACTGAAGAAACTTCCTTTTTCAATTTAAGAGAAAGGCAAACTTATGAACAACATTATGAAGGAGAAAGATGTACACACTTGGAGCTGAATCAGCCATTTTTGTGCCCACTTCTCCCTTGGGCTCTGTGAGTCTCCACCAGGGACCGGGCAGACCTGACCCTGGTCCAGGTGTCATGACCGTGCTGCGGACACTGAAACCAGATATCCCTCCAGCTCCTCTCTCAACACAGGGCGAAAATCAATGGGCTTTGTATAGACTAGAAACAGTGGAAAGCATTCTCTGGCCAGAGAAAATCCTGCCCCTCTCCCATCTGTCTCCAGTCTCCAAAGCTCCCAGACCTCACAACCGGCCCTGTGTGGTCACTCTTGGACTAGAATTACACAGTCCATGTGTCCGGTTTTGGACAATGCACAAAAAAACAACCGTCTGCGTGACCCCGCCTACTTTTCTCACATGTAGATTTATTGAATTGGACGCGTCTTCTCTCTGGTTATTGATAATCTGTTGACGAGGACAAACTCCTGACACGGTTTCAGCTTGTGTTTGACAACAGCTCGTCTTATTGCAAATAAAGACTCTGGACATGAGCTTTTGATGGCGTGTGAACTTATGCAAGCATGTTTCTGATTGTATTATGAAGAGCTGTGAGAAGAGGAAAAGTTGTTTGTGAGCCGTCCTCAGTCGACCCAGTGCATATGGAGATGTCGAATTCCTCTTCATCGTAGGCGTGTGATGATTTATTGTGAAAAACTTTGTGTTTACTGTTGCTGCAACTCTAATTTGATGCCTGCCAAATAAATGCCACAAATGACAGTTACCTGCAGACTACTTGATGAATGCACGACTGCAGGACTTGTCTGGTTTGTCGCACTGTTTCTGATTTGTTTTCCTAAACTACTTTCCATGGAAAATGGAAAATTTTGGGCCCATTATTTGGACCCTCGGAGCTCGACCGTAGCTCAAGAAAATACACAAGGCGAAAGCAGAAAAATCAATTCAACAACACATGCGGCGCGTTAGTTAAAATGCCGCAAAAAGCAAGTTAAGTTTCAAATTGACAACACATAACTGGCTCAAAGTGTTGCCTGTGAATGCAACACAAGTCAGCCAAATACAGGAACACACTGGCTGTGTTTTCTCTCTCTGTTGTTGATCTGGAGCTGTGATTTCTCTATCTGCTCGCTGCTTCTGTGTTGTAGGTTATTGCCAGTTCTTACATTTGGTTTCATTTTCCACATTTGCGGTCCTGTTTTTCAAACTGCTGATCTTTTCTGGTTTTCGTTGTGTTGTTCTGATTGTGGTCAATTTCTGTATTTAGTTCTGCTTTCTACTTTTGCATCTCATTTCTCCTGTATTTAAACATTTTTCCTCCATGTAGTTGGTTTCATTGTTTGTAATCAAGTCTGTTTCTCCATTTTAAGGAGTTTTCCATATCAGCACCCGTTTCTATATTAAGGCCTATTGTTTTCAACCGTATCCTGTTTCTGTGTATGCATATCTTCATTTTAAAGCGAATTCAGTTTCTTCTGAAATCTCACTTTGCATTTTTTTAATTTAAAAATGTTTTTCTAATTTAAATCAGTTTAACATGTTTTATAGTCATCAGGCTTATCAGCAGAAACTTCCAGCAACTTGTACACATTCATACATGAATGCAAATACTAAACAAAGCAGATACAGCATCTACATTGTTGTTTGTTTTGAATCTATAATATCTTTATAATATATTATATAAAGATATTAATAATAACTTTAATTTTATTGCACTTTTAAAAACAGAAGTTTACAAAGTGCTTTGACAAACAGTTGCAAAGCACAGAACATCAGCACATGGAAATAAAAACAAATAAAAACAAAAGCTTGGTTAAAAACGAGGCCTCGAATTGAGGGCTATATGGAATTAAAAAATGTTTTGTATAAATAATTCAGTGCTGTGAGTTTGAACTGAGAATTAGGGCCACATTTAGAGTGAAAACTAATGAAAACTTCAATAACAAAGTCTTAAATTTACAAGAAAAATACTGTTTATTATTGAAATTCAGCAAATTAAGTAAATCTACACAAAAAATTTGAACATTCATGAGAATAATGGTATAAAATTAAAGGATAAAGAAAAAAATGTGTTTATTTTATCTTTTTTCTGCACATACAGATGCACTAGTGCGCATTTACGAGAAAAAAAAATGGAAATATACAGAAAGACTTCAATTGACCAGATAAAAGTTGTAATCTACATGTTTAATTACTTACAGGGTGACAAATTAATTAAGGTAGGCAGCCACATTCACATATAACTTCATAAGATGCCAACTATTCACTTAAAATCACAAGTTTTTTAAATTGTACAACTTTTATCTCACAATTTTTTGCCTTTATTCTTGTAAATCGAAGACTCTCATTGTGTCTTCAGATGTATCTGCTGAGGAGGGGTTATGAAGCGCAGCTCAAGAAGACCTGGAGGTGTTTGAACGTTTTTTGAGCTGTAAAATGTAAACTCTATGAAGCGACAGGTGTTTCACCTTCGGCGGCAGATTATCCATCTGTTAAACTTCACCTCTGCCTGTCTTCCTCAGATGAGAAATTCTTGTAACTTCTGCTATTTTCGTTCTCAGTGACCTGCTTTGACTCCTAACGAGTCCAGAGAGATCTCGTGAAGTTCCTCCGTCCTCACTTTAATGGGAAGTGAGGAGGAAATGAGCAAAACCAATGCTATGTGGATGAAGATCAAGGAGCCTATATAGCTGAACGGTTTCCTCAGAGGAGTATGGACTAATGTTCTTGCTGTGGCTAGATTACATCTTAACTCTTTGATTGTACTTTCACAAAAGCGACTCTAATCACTGCAAGAAAACAACTCGGGGGGATTTTGCGTGATTGCCCACAGCCCTAACAGCAAAGCCCCAAAATAGAGTCTGATGTCCAAGATGAGTCGAAGCTGCTTCTTCTTTTTTTCTGCCTTTTGCCGTAAAGAAAAACAACCCACAAGCTCTTTGAGGCTGGTCCAGTCCAAATGCCCCCAACTGTTCCCCACTCCGCCTTCTCTTTCTCCTCTCCCTCTTTCAGACCGTCTTCTTCCCTGGCAATGAAAGGAAGTGCAGCTGTGAGGACTCCTCCGGGCTGAATGAGAAGAATCAGCCCATTTGGTTGACTTTTCCTGGCCAAAGCTGTAATTTTCTGTTGCCAGGTCCTAACATCCAGTCCAGAGCAGTTCCTGGGCTCCAGCCACTTGTATCCAACAGGACAATGGGGATTGTCCTGCAGCCGTATACCACACAGGGGTCCAATTGCCTGTCTGCCAAAAAGTGGAAGCACCTACCGGTTCAGACCCAACAACTCCCTTCCTTACAAGTCAATTAGTCCATTTTTGAGCTTTTTAAACTTCCAGGTGGACACAAAAGCTACTTGTTCAAAAATGATTGAAACCAAATGTTAATTTCTTCATGCTACCGCCGGGTTATGTCTCATTTCAAGGTACTGACGCTTAATTTCAGAGATATTCCTTCAAACGAAAGAAACCAAACTGAAAACAAGTGGAAATATTTCACCCCACTGGCACAGTTTCACTCCTCATTTAAGAACAATAGAGTCTCAACGCTGATTATGTGACTTAATGGCTTGTCAAGCCCGATGTTTATGGTAATTTGACCGAAAACATGTGTCAGCAACTTTTCCTTTTTTCGTGATATGGCGCTCTTTCAAGCCAGAAGCGACTGGAGTTTGGTTTAATGTCATTAGCATGTGCTCAGAAACATACACAGCCCCGCTTGTGTGTTTTTCCAGTAAGCACAATTAGTGTCACGTCAGGCCCAAATGGCAGCTCAGTCAGCGCAGGAGAGAACTGACATTATTAGTGTGTTGTGTGTGACAAGCCCAATATGGAAACACTTCTTGCGCTTGTTAAATACTTTCTGGTTCCCCTTCTCTTCTTTTTTTTTCACTCTTGCTTTTTTGCACTCTTATAGGTCCTACAAAGTCTAGTAAAATCCAATGGCTTTCCCAGAAATGAAAGTTTATTGTCCCCCTCAGCCCACCCGACTCGTAAATAACGGCACATTTACCAAAAATCCCAAGCCGGCAGCCCCCACCTTCACACCATTACCAGTGCGACTGTACGCCAAAACAGCTGCCAAAATACACCCAAACAGTCCCCCTTTCTCCTCATTGAAAGCTTCCAACTGTCTGTTACCAGTGTTTACTCCGTGAAAGCCCTCCAACTCCACACTCAAGTCCAAATTCAGCTGGATGAGAACTGTGTGTACACTTTTAAACTCCTCCTGTCCTCATTCTAAACTTTCTTTATCATAATTAAGCCTCCTACGTGCTTTAACACACGTTCACACGCATCGAAAAAGCAGACTTTAAACCGTGTTGCACAAGCCGGGGTATGTTCAGTTTGGTCCAAGATTAATAAAACTCACCGCAGGATTTGCAGCCTTAAACTGATTAGTAATAAATGAGTCACAACATGAGCTTTCGTTTTTCTAAACTGGGCTTTCCGAAACGTGAAAGAAAGCAGTTTTTTACTCCGCTTTCATGCTGGCGTTTGTTCACACGTACACCCTGAGAAAGCGAGGTCAAGCTCTATGTGAGACACACGTTCAGATCTTCTGACGAAGCCAACGCGCCGAGCCAATGAAAATCAAAGATAATATTATGAAGAGGAGGACCGAATGAGTTCCACATGAGCACCATCCCAACGGGGGACGCCTATTAATAAGTTTAATATGGCGACCTCAATCATTTACCTTTTATTTTTATTAAAATCTCAGTTTTGGCTCGGCCTGCGCAGCTGTTTCAAGGCCTCGTGGGAGCTCACCTTGACCCGCTTTGATCGTCAAGACAATAAGGCTCTAACATTGTCCATGAAGTGGACTTAGAGAATGGAGACAGAGTGGAAATGAGTCAGAGAGATAAAGCGTGCAGATGTGGAGACCGAGGCTTGGTGTGTAGGTGGAAGAGTACAGTCTTGGAGCTTCCACTGTGGGTAACTTCACACTGAGTGACTCACCATATAAGGCGGGCGCTCAGCTGAAATACCAATGAAGAACTGTCGAATTTCAACCTAAACATGTTCCTTGTATAGATTAATGACGCACAATTTCGTGGTTTCATTAGAATCAGTGACGTTCAGACTAATATCAGACCCTGAGGGGAGGCTTGACATTTCATGATCTTTGTGTTTTTGTCTGAGAGTCCCCACACATGACACAGGAAATGAGCCTTTCTGTTGACAAGCTTTCAAATCAATAGCTTCTACTGCAGCGCGATCAGTTTAAAAAGTCCTTAAAATAACAGTTAAATACTGTGACACAGATGGATTAAGAGTGTTGAAACGATCGCGTTCAAGAAGTCAAAGAGAGGGATTCGAAGTATTCAGTCGTGATTTATCAGCGCTGAGGTAATATTAAGGTTGGTGCCCTGGGAATGTCTTTGCTTCAACAAGATGCCTTCAACTGGATAAGAGGGTCTGAAGCTCCCAGTATGTTCAGCGGCGTGATGGATGAAAGTGTTCCATCTTGTTTATGCAACCTGACACAAGGCATCTGCTGGCCTCTGGAGCGCTGGCTTCGCACTGTAACAGCCTTCTTTGCTCTGCGGCCTGTCAGACCGGCACACTCAGATTACAGAGCTGTGTCAGAAGCAGGAGAGACAGTGAAATACAAATACACCTCAATGTTTTTTGAAAGTGTGTTTGCGCTTTTGCTACTAAATCGAAGACATGCTACAGTACTCGGGTGAATTAGGTGTGGGAGTTTGAGTGGCAGTGTCCTTTAAAGGGATAGTCCTATTAAGAAGTCTTTTTAATTTTGCCTAATTTCTTGAGCAAAGAGACTAAACACAACTCACCTACTCTCTTCCAGCAGCCACTTGTTTGAAGCGAGACCTTGGGCCAGTCCATTTCGGACTACAGTGGAGTTTCGCAGCTCAAGGAAGAACATTTATGATCATTTCTTCATGGAAATGCTATCAGACAGAGACGCTAAGGCAGAAGAACTACTTCGCCAGTAGTGCAAAATGATAAATATGATGATTATTACTTCAAGGAAATGATCATAAATGTTCTTCCTTGAGCTGCGTCCCCCCACATATAGAGTAGCATTTTGGTTGAGGTTTGTTTATGGCTCCTCAGACCACTTTGGTATCACTTGAGAAGTAAGCGGTTGGCAACATTCATCTCTCGAGGGGGTGTCTAACTGGGTGTTACAGTGTGTTTGACCTTGAATTAATTTTTCGCCGGAATATCCCTTTAATGCTGTGTTTTTGTACTCGCAGTGCACATGACCGAGTTTTCAGGGCGCTTCTGACTAGTGGATTCTGAAAGTTGTCCCACAGCTGAGCGCTGCTGTTTCCCCCTAAGTTCAACTATTTTCTACCAAGAGCGCTAAGAGTATAGCGACAAAAACAAGCTAGCAATTTAAAGTTACAGTATGCTACATATTGTAACCAGTGACTGAAACTTGATGGTTGATTTGGTCCAGCCTTGGAAGCACTGGGTAGACTGAACTAAAATGAGACAGGCTACCTTAAGAGGATGGCATGGTTGTGTCACTGCTGTAACCCTAGTGTCATGTAGTTCTGCTCTTGTCACATAGCAACAGGTGGCCACTTGGCTAACCAGCTAGCGCACCATCACCAACGCTGCCTCTGCGATCCGGGAAGTAAGACACATTTTCGACAGGAGTCTTTGATACAGGACAGCCTTGGAGGCACTTTTGTGACACATAAGGGATGTGACCTTCTGCAGCTCCTGAACTTGGATACAGCTACTGCTTATTATTTGGTGCTTATATTAGTATAGTAACCGGCTAGCTAGGAAGTAGCTGTGGGTAGTTGTAGTAGCAATGGCAGATGTAGTAAGCTAGCTAGTGTTTGTAGGTTGTGGTTGTGTAAGTGTTCGAAATTTCAGACATACTTCTAGCTAGCTAGACAGCAAGGTCATACGCCCTTAGATTCAGGATGAGTCATTAGTTGTTTTATTTTAGGAAATGACACAAAGAGTACCGCGAATTGATTAACATCGCCGGGGTCATTTATGTGGTTAAAGGGGAAACATTAACGCTTACTTAAATTTAGAGAAAGTTGTCATTTCAATAAAGCTAAACCAATCAAAAGAAGTCACTGAAGGCTGAACCATATTAGCTTTGAAAGAGGTCAAGTAGGCCTGTTCCTTCAGAGAGCTGTCAATGGCCTTGTCTGGTACCTACGCCCTCGCAGTGGTTACAGTCAGTAAAATCTGTCATTCCTGTCATTGATGACCTTGTTTACTTTAGTTAAGTCACTGAAGGCCATCAATGTCAATTTCAGCCTGTTTCATAACCAGTCAAAAATTCCTCAGTGTGGCTTTAAACACACAACACAACTTTTAACAAAGGGCTGACCTAGATTTATTTTGGTTGTAATGCCTCACCCTTAAAAAAACAAACACCTCACAGAACATTCGTAGTGAAATCACAGCTTGTGCAGTCACTAATAATTCTGTTTCCTTCTACTTAATGTATCGCAGATCTTCACATCCAGGACTCAAGGTGTTCTGTGTTCTGCATTATTGAGCTTTAACATTAAGGTTTATTACTCGGAGTGTGAAACTCTATCAATTGATCCCCTGATCATTCTCCTTGATGAAGAAAACACGTTTCCAGCCAACTTCCTCGACTTTTATGGCTTCAAGATTGTGTTATGAATTCTGGGCAAGTTTCCGAGTTTCCAGCAAAATCAAAGAGTGTGGACGCAACCAAGGTGAAAAGTTTGGCGAGCTAGCGCAGGTGTGGACAGATGTGCTAAAAAAACTGCAGCTTTTTATGGTTTGAGTTACCTCAGCCGAGCCAAATCCTGAAACAAAACCTGACCAGATTTCAGTGTTTATGCGAGCGTTCGAACAGAGCGGTTTTGTTCTTCTCGGACTGGACAAATAAATAAGTACGTATGGAAAAATCTGCCAAAACAATGTGCCTGTGGACATGCTGTAATCATTATGTAGTCATGTAATGTACCATAAACGTCAAAGCGAGAGGCAGTGATTGAGTGTGTTTGCTCTTGTGCGGGCTTGCTGTGTTTTTAAATGGCGCTCCATATGTGAAGAAGCTGTCGGCCGCTGCTTCAGTATCTCCTCCATCTATCCCCCGTCCTATGACTAATTTAAACATAATCTCCCATTCAGTTTTTTCTCCTCTTATTCTCGCTGCAGCTCCTTTTTTAAAAACACCCATTACCGTGGGACACAAATCCCCTCAAACAAACATCTGCTTGCATAAACTTCGGCGCTTTCTCTCCGCTGGTAGACAGTATTGAAATGGAAAAACAACAAGACAGAAAGGAAGAAAGACAGCTGAAGAAAGACAGAAGAGAGAAGCAGAAGGAGATGCAGGGGGGGAAGGAGGGAGGGAGGTAGAGACAGGCCCTGCTCCAGTGTAGAGAGAAAGTGCGGAGTCATGCTGTAGGAATGCTGGAGGGGGGGATTGTTGGCGTGACTGCCCCATTTTTCACAGCCATAATCAGAGCCAGCTGTCAGTGAGAGGGCCCATAAGAGGAGGGAGGCAGGGAGGGAGGGGGAGGAAGGGAGTGGGAGGACTGGGTTTTGGAAGAAGTTTGAAGAAGGGGAGGGGTACGGCAAGCAATAAGATGGAGAAGTTTGTAGAGATTTTATGATGTAAATCTAATTCCTCTCTGTGTGTCTTCAGCTTTAAGGGTAGTGCTGCGCTGTGTGTTTTTTGTGAGGCTCTCCTTGCGTGTTTGCATGCATGGTAACACTCAAAAGCAGCAGAGGATCAGACCGCGGCCTTGGCTCGGCCCGGGTGCAGCCTGAGTCAGGTTAAAGGAAGATGCAGGGTGGAGTTTCCTGGTTTTCCCTCTGCTCCTCTTCAGTGAATAATGACAAAGCAGAAGCTCCATACAAACATTGAGGTACAACCTCTTTATACAACACTGCAGGGGTCTCAAGAACAAGGAGTTTAAACCACGCACTGTGTCATGCAATTTTCAGATTTTCTATTGCAGATTAGGAACTGTAAAAGAGCATTAGGGCCACTTACAAAAAAGAGAAAAATTTAGGGGGAATTTTTTCAACTTTTTTCCAAACATTCTGAGATTTAAATTGGGATTCTGAAGTTTGTCTTAGTATGTCGTTTTTAAAGTCAGAGTTTCGACTTAAAACTTCAAAAAAATTCAAAAGAAGGAAAAGAATAAAACTCTTCGTAAGATTACGAGATTTGTAATTTTTTCCCTAAAATTTAAAGCTCATAATTCTGAGATCAAAAATTCAGAATACTGGAAGTTATGCTGTGTTTGAGTTACCTCGGAAGTCAGAGGTCCAAGCTTAAAAAAATTACGTCACCCCGAGTTGCCAGCATTTCAGTTACCAAATCGGGGAAAAAAAAGCTATTATTGAATAGCTATTATTTTAGGTTATTTTAGCGCTCGCCTTGTCCGAATATAAGCACAAGCACTAAAATAACTGTCATAGATGTAGCCATCTTGTTTCAGGCCTCCGATTTTGCTTTTTTTTCGACTTGGTAACTGAAATGCTGGTAACTCGGGTGTGACGTCATTTCCAACTCTGACATCTGACTTAGGAGGTCACTTGAACGCAGCATTATAGCCAAGAATTCTGAATTCTGAATTAAAGTCAGAATTTGGAATCTGGATTTTAAAGAACACAGATTTCTGACCTTAAACTGAATTTTGTAAAAAGTCAGAGAAAACCTTGTTTTCTTTTTAGTGACGCTTCTCCTTTTCTCTGCAGGATCAGATTAATCTTTTATCAGGAATCATTTTACATTTCTGTCGTTGTACTCAACACACTTCTGTATCTGCTGCTGCTGCTACCAGCTATGCCAGTACTGCTGCAGTCCCACAGCTCCCCATGTAAACTCCTGCTGTGTTTATGTTTAGTCTGCAGTCAAACAGTACATCTTCCTTCCACTATATGTGAAGTTCTTTAATGTTTTGTTTCAGTTTGTCCGCTGTCCCGGGACATGTTAACACCAATGGAAGGTCAGAAACTCACGACCTTGTTGCAGCCTCGTTAGAAAAGTCTTGAAAGGAGAAATAAAACAGGGAAATAAAACTTCTGAGGTGAATAACGGCTGAAATGTTTCCTGGAGTAAGCTGTGGTATTAATATATTATCATATACTGTGTCGGATATTTTTATGACCTATCTCCTAGCCTGCACTCTTTAACAATGACAGTGCGAGGTACTTTATATAACCTCGGTGATTTGGTGGAAAAAGACTCCAGTGGGAACGACTCGGCTTGTTGATTTTCGGGTGATTCATGGCTGTTAAAGCGGTGACCTCCTCGAAGTTGAAGTACTGACTTTCCAGTTCCCCCCAAGACTTCCAAAAAAATAGTGTCACTGGCTAATGAACTTAGCAGCCACAACACTGATCTCTTTCTTTTCCTAAGTGGGTTAAAATAAATTACCTTGTCGGTTGCATAAGGCTCCATTTGGACTATAAGCTCTAGTTTTTTTAAGTGAACCGGTTCTCTTCAATAGAGTGGCCTTCTTACCTGTCTTTGTTTTTAAAAATATCTCCCCCTTTGTATTTCTGCAGTGAGCTGTCACTGCGGCACAATGGAGGACGCGCCCAAAAGAAAACTGTCAAATACATCTTGCTGTCTGACAAGTTTTTTGAGAACTCCCCTTTTTTTGCCCACTTCCTGTACTCAGGTTTTGATGTGATGTGAGGTTAGACAAACACAGCAGGCTCAAAGTAGAATTGCCCATGACACTCTCTGAGAGGCCAACTAGCTTTAATGTTTGCCCCTGAAATGAAGAAGGAAAAAGCCCCAGAGGATGTGGAGGCTTCTTTGATTTTTAAAATATTCAAGCAAAAAGTGGTTTGTGTCACCTTAAGGCCACCGTAGACAAGCTTTAGTCCAACTTTATTCTTAAATACTCATTAAGTTAAGTTGGTTTACATGCTAATTCAAGCCAACCCATGAGTAAAGCTCAGTTTGGCAATTTAAGTGGACTTAAACTGGGACTAACATATTCCTTTTCTTTATTTATTGCACTGTAGAACATTATAACAGCAGTGAGTGCTCCAAATCTTAGAAATTTGCCCAGAGTTGGAGGTGTTTGATGGACAGATATGCTGTTCTGTTGCTGTATGGACTGTAAACATACTCTACTGAACTCATTGAGTCTTTATTTGCCAGGATGTAACGCATGGTTTCATACTAATGTAATGTTTTGTGGGTACATTTAGTTCTGCCCCCTGAGTCGGCCTGTGTCTCTGCCTGGGAGTTGTTTATCAGACGGCCTGTAGCCTCTCTGAGCTGCAGCCAAGTCCAAAGTGGAGCGGGTTCAAACTCCGGACTTTTGCCTCTTTTGACAGAGTGTCTGCTCTGTCTTCATGTGGCCCCGGCTGGTCCATTATCAGAAGCAGAGGGGCACTGTGACCCTCTGCCAGACCCTGATTTTGGAAAGTTTAGAGTCTGCTCTGAGTCACTAGTGTGCTGCCCACGGAACAAAAGGTGAGACCACGTCTGGGTGGTTTCTAAAAACCCCTCGCTTTCGCTTTTTCACTGCAAGTGAAGCTGCAGACTCTTTCTTTTTCTCGTTTGTTTCCTTCTGAATGTGTCTTTCTTTCTCTTTCTTTCAGCCTCGCACAAAGACAAAAACACACAGCCTGCACGCAACTTCTTGTCTTAACTTGTGATCTCTGGCATCTATCTCACCGTGTACAGATTAAATCCAGGCTTAGAGTGTCTCCTCTTATCAATTGCTTCAGACTGAAGATGATTTCCGTCCCTTTTTTTTTTGGGTACTTTCCAGGACACTTTCTCCTGTTTGGCAATCATTTGTCTTGTTTACAGAGCTGCTAAAACCTGGCGACACCACAGGCCGTGACTCACGCTGTGAACCCGGGCGGTCGCTGGTTCAGGGTTCAGTTTACAAACAATGTTGCACAATGTGTCCTCTCTGGTCATGGATGCACTTTCGATCTAATCTGCTTGTTGAAATCGGACTCTGTTAAGTTCACTTTTTCAGTTACTCTTTTTCTGAATCTGATGAAGTCGTTTCCTGAAATGATCACATGATAAAAGTTATGATCTGAGACATTTGAATATCAGAGATCCAATATTTAATATCGGAGCAAATGTTTTAAAGTGAACAGAGGTTACCGTAGGACACTTTGGTCTTGACTTTACGATCACGTCATGACTTTGGCTGTAGGTTACACTTGATTGCCTCTGCATAACCTAGTTTATAGTCTCGTAAAGTTTAAGGCATATTAACTGAGCAGGGGTGTGTCCAAAATGGTGGCAAGGGGTGGCACTGCCCCTGTTTGACCGGCCACCCCAGATGTAACCCTATATTTCTGAGCTATAATTAACTTTTTGCCGTTTTAGAGGTAGAATTTGTGTTGAAATCAACATTTTAGATGTGTGAACTCGACCTGAGTGTTGCCACAAGTTGCCTGATTCGATTCATAACTTTTGGAGCTAGCCTCAAGTGGACATTTAAAGAACAGCAGTTTGAAGCGCTTCCACATCAGCTCAAAATTAGTTGCTTATTTTTACTTTATGATCACATTATGACTATGGCTGTATTCACTTTTAACCGAGCAGGGGTGTGTCCAGAATGGTGGCAAGGGGTGGCACTGCCCCCGCTTGACTGGCCACCCCAGATGCAACATCATATTTCTGAGCTATAATTAACTTTTTGCCCTTTTAGAGGTAGGGTATTTGTTGAAATGAACATTTTGGATGTGTGGACTCGGCCTGGGTGACGCCACAAGTTGCCTGATTTGATTCATAGCTATACTGAAGTGGACACTCAAGGAACTGCAGTTTTAAGCGCTTCCACATCCGCTCAAAATCAGTTGCTTCTTGGTTTAATTAAGCCTTGGTTTCTCACTGGCACTCGTGTTGACAGGCTGGCAGTCGTTTTCTTTGTATTCAAATGTCGCACTTTGTTTCCTCGAATTGTGATCTTTGACGAAAGTCTTCTTTACAGGTCCGTAGGGATTTGAGTTTAGAGGATTCATGTGTTGACACCCTGTTTTGTTTCTTTTTAAAGTCAAAAATCAAACGCAGGAATTCGACAGCTGTATGATTCATCTATGATGTGTGTGTTTGCACACAAACCCCGGCCACCCTCGTCATTGTCAGCACCTCTGCTTGGCCACCCCGGTCGTAAAAGTCTGGACGAGAATTAACACTTTGTACCAAGAGATCTTCTTCCAAGAATGGAGAGAAAAAGAGGAGAAAAAGAGGTCAGCGAGGATGACGAACAGATTGAAAATTTGATCCAGTTGTTGTTATGCAAGTGTCATTTCTTTTTTTTCTTTTCTGTGAACACATGAAGTGCTCACTATCAGCCTCGTGCTGCTTCTGTGCGGCGCAGCACAGGAACTTATGTCACTTCCCTTCTTATCTTCTTGATGTGGAAAGAGGAAGCCCCCTTACTTTCCCCAGACCTACTTATGTGAGCACCACTGAATGTGTTATAAATACTTCAGAGCTGAAAATCACCTGAAATTCTCCTTTGAAACCACTTATAAGTTTAAAATTAACTTGATTTCCTGACTCATAACTGTCAGATTTAACGCAGATGTGTCAGGCCGTGTTTGGTGACGCGCTGCGGTGTCGTAGCACCTGTGTGCAGACCTATCTGACAGGATGTGGATGGGGGTTGTTCTGTGTGTCTTCTTTTTTTTTTTGCAGGCTTTGCACACCCACCCCGGCTTTTCTCTGCCTCACACTGTACCAGTACTGCAGACTGTATGGAACATGCAGAGGAGGCGGCGGGCGCTCCACTCTTTGAAGCCTCTGTGTACATATGGAGGCATGAAGCGTCTCACCGCTCAGCCGTTTAACCCATTCATGCCCACACAAGAATAAGTTAGTTGCATGAAAGAGCAAGAACAACAACAACAACATCCTCCTCCATTTGGAAAATCCCCCCCTCGCTGAGGCCTTTCATTTACTTAAAAGCACTTTTATATGCTTCATTACCATTTCCATGATGTTCATGGATCACCATTCAGGCCGAAGATCCTGTTATTTAGGTCAGGGGGTTTGTTGTTCTGCAGCACGTCATGGTGGTAGAAGCCCCTCTGTTTCCTTAGATATATGGACTTTAAATCAATGAGTCAAGCCGCGAAAAACACACGAGTACAAAGAAGACCAAACGATGAATTCCTACATACTAAAAAAGCAGGACTTGGAAATCTACGTCTTCAGAGAGTCATTATAGATTCTTGTTAGTTTAGTTTTTCCTGGTTTTGTAATGTAGTTATATTTCCTGTGTATTTTTCCTGGTGTTTCTGTTTTCTATTGTTCCTGTTTCCCTTTGTTAATTATTCATATGTTCCTGTTGTTCTTTTCATTTAGTTTTCAGTGTTTCCTGTTGTATTTTGTAGGAGTCAATCCCCATTTGTAAAGTCTCGTTTTACTTCCTTAGTTTTCTCTCCTTTGTTGAGTACTCAGGAGTCTCACCTGTTGCTTGGTTCCCTGTCTTCTCCTGCTTCTTTGTTGGTCCATTGTCCACACATTGTCCTTGCCTGTCAGTTAGCTCTGCTACATAGACAGATGGGTTGTTAAAATGATAATTCAAGTTCTTATTTAACATCAGGCAAGCCCTTTTCATTATGCTCTATGTCAAACTGTCAGTACGGACATTAGGGTTCATTTGAGGCAATTTGGACAACATTCACATCTAAAATTAGGGACTTTTATTGTGAAAGGATTGTCAGAAACGCTCAGGTAAATCATCGATATATACTTTTTTTTTGTTACCCTCATGCTAACGTGCTGGTTTTGGTATGTGGTGTGATAGATAAACATGGAAAAGGCAGACTGTTGTCTTTAATGAGTCATGTTACATGTGGAGTACCCCAAGGTAGCTGTTTAGGCCCACAACTGTTTTCTGTTTTTTATTTATTACGTAAGTTGGGTAACACTCAATGCCTAACACTCAATGCTATAACGCATTATAAATATATGTATAATGCATTATAATCACGTTATAGCACTGTATAACTAAAGTTACAAACACTCATAAATGATCATAATGCTTTATAGCAATAATCGTAACATATTATGAAGCATTTTATCATGACTTACAAGGTCAGGTATTATAATGTGTTATAACAGTTAACAGCTCACTGACAATGCCCACATAGATAATGCATTATACATATATTTATGATTTGTTATAATTTGCTTATAAACTTGTATAACTATAGTTATAAACACTCATAAATGATCATAATGCTTTGTAAATCATGATAAAATGCTTTAATATGTGTTATGAATATTGCTATAAAGCATTTTGGTCATTTATGAGTTCTTATAACTATAGTTATTCTGTGCTATAATGTGATTATAACACATTATACATATATTTATAATGTGTTATAGCGATAGGCGTAAAATAAAGTGCTACTGTAAGTTTTAACGATCTCCAGTGTGTCTTAGAAAAGGCCCACATTACTGTATCTAATGTTTTTGTTTGCTCGGTGGGATCTTTACATTACCGTAGCAGGATGAAGCTGCTATAAGTAGAAATTAGTGCGCTGCAGTCAGGCATGATAGAAGCTAAATTTTGTTATTTCTACAGCCCCACTGACTCCACTCCAAACCTTCATTCAGCATCGGTCACTTGGCCCCTGGTAAAGCGCGGAGGTCCAGGCTAAGTGGGTTTAAATAGCAGCGTATTACTTCCTCTGGGAAGCTGTTAATGACATCCACTGTCCACAAAAACAACCGCTGGATATCAACACAAGCATCTTTGGGTCACTTGACCTCAGTTTTGTGCTGGAAAGTATTTGAAAAATTAGAGAAAGTGAACATGCCCCTTGTCCAATCATAAGTCATCAAAATGTAACAGAGGAGGATTTGTTCTGCTTTGGTGACTTGTATTTATTTCAGTCCGGGTTTGCAGGAATGTACAGTCACAGTCAGCCGTGGTAGAGGGGAGTGGAGGGGGATTGAGTAACACGCTCTGAAAAAGTTTGGGTCTAACTTAAATGCAAATGCTATGAAAATAATGTACCCAAATTATAGCAACATGCCCAGATAATTTCCTGCAGCGGTGCTTAAACTTTGCTATTTCTGCTTGGCCTTGTTTATTTTTGGGGGGAAGGGGCCGGGAGGACGGGGACTGTGGACACATAATCCTCCCAGAAAAGTGATTTATTTATGAATTCCAGTGCAGAAACTCCCCTCCTGAGAGCCGGCCTGCCTGCCAGAAGTCATTGGCTGATGTTTACAGGACTGGGTTGGCTAATTCCCATGGTGCAGTGTGCCTGCAGTGCTATCTTATTTATACAAGGCCTGATATGGGAGAACAGAGGGGTTTATTTTGGGATATTCCCCATAGATGGATCCAATTTCTCCAACTGGAGCGATTTCCTCCATACGTGCTGCGCTTCAGGTCCTAGCGGCGGTGAACACAGCTCGCCACTCGCTGGAGTTTAAAAGGGCTGAATTGGCTCAGGGAGAAAACTATGTCACAACATCTCGAGGTTAGACTCGTGACAGTACGCTGAGCTCAGGGACTACACAGGAAGTCGGATATTAGTCTCATCAGAAGTCCATTGTTTCCCTTGTCAAAACAAATTTCAAGAGACAAAACCCTCACTTACAGTTCATTTATCACCACATTAAAAAAGATCGAGTCTCATTTTTTATCTGCTGGAACGAATATTTTTTATATTATAGGATCATGTTGTAAAATCTGAATGCACTCAGTGACATTACCGGGGGAATCGAAACCAATTCTTTGTTAGTCAGACTTTTATCACCACGTTACAGCTGTTGTCCCTGAAGTCTGGCCCACATGAAGAGGATTTTCACAGATGTTGAAAATGTGTGAGATCCCACACATGACGGCGCATAATAATAGATTTAACACGTTTGATTTTACCATGTGAAGAGAAACAAATTCACAAACAAAGCTCAGATCTAACAGACTTTACAACAACAATCAGTGTTGTGCAATTCAAGCTGAAGATGAATCGACTTGTTAACATTTGTGGCTCATTTTAAGTTTTGAGCTTAACTAATCGTCCAAAATGGGGCTTAATGCACCTAAAGTGTTATTCAGTGGAGCCTCCTGTGTTTCAGTTCTTAGACCTGAATTTCTCTTTCGATTGACTCAATCTTGGAAAGCAAGTTTGAAAGCCAAGAAATTTTGGTTTAAAAAAAAAAAAGAGTTTGCATCATTGAGAACTTAAAAACAAATTTACGGGCGAAGATTTAATTTGTTGGCAGGATATTTGGCTAAAGGTTACGGCTTTAACATCCAAACACACTGGGAAAATCTGCTCTGTAAAATACGATGTGGTTCATATGGTTTTTACAGAAATGCTGACCCAACAAACACAAAAAGTGAGTTATTCCCTATTTTCAAAAAGCTACACCTCTCTAAAGTTTTAGTCTGTGGGAATCTGTCCTGATTTATCCACTAAACTGCTTCAGATGTCTCGAAAGGTTGGCTTCATTAGCACCGCTAACCGAGCACAAGTTGGTAGAAGTGCCAGGTTTTGTAAATCTGACCTCGGAGTGGAGAGAATGAGAGGAACCGAGGCAATCTGATGCCGGCTTTTATAGCTAGTGTGAAGTACCAGGTCTAGGTGCTTGAATAAATTTGCATGGAAGGTCTGTCATAGTTGATCCTCCATTTCTGACTATACGCTCCATCTTTGTTGTTCTCATCATGGCCAAATTCCTTGTGCTTCCTTCTCAGTTTAGTTTGTTTCCCCTTTGACTTCTGTTCCCCAAGATAATCCTCAGAGTACGAGCTCCGGTTTCCTCACAGCCCTGATCAGACCTGCTCTTTTTGTACTGTCATGATAAAACTTTAATTAAAGGGATATTCTGGCGTAAAATGAATTTAGGGTCAAACACACTGTAACACCGAGGTAGATACCTCCTCAAGTGATGAATGTTGCCGACCACTTGCTTCTCTAGTTATACCAACTTTAGTAATGACAGCACAATAGCAATACACAGCAGTCTGAGGAGCCATTTCTTAGCAAAGAGACTAAACACAACTCACCTACTCTCTTCCAGCAGCCGCTTGTTTGTGGCACGACCTTGCCAGTCCATGACGGACTACAGCGGGGTGACGCAGCTCAAGGAAAAACAAGGAAGATGAATGTTGCCGAACGCTTGCAACTTTAGTAACGACTGCACGATAGCAATACACAATAGCATAAATGTTCTTCCTTGAGCTGTGTCGCTGCTGGAAGAGAGTAGGTGAGTTGTGTTTAGTCTTTTTGCTAAAGAAATCAGGCAAAGTTGAAAAAGATGTTTGGTGGCTAGTGCTGTGGCTAGGACCCTGTATGTACTGTTGATGAAGTTAGGTGCTGTTCTGAGTATTATTTGTGACTATAGAGTGGCGTTTTGGTTGAGGTTTGTTAATGGCTCCTCATACCGCTGTGTATTGCTATCCTGCGGTCGTTACTAAAGTTGGTATAACTAGAGAAGGAAGCAGTCGGCAACATTCATCTCTCGAGAGGGTGTCTAACTCGGTGTCACGGTGTGTTTGACCCTAAATTAATTTTCTGCCACAATATCCTTTTAAGTTTTAGTTCTTAAAAGATAAGAGTCGACTAAATTATAGTGTTGCTCTAAATTTATCTCAGCCTGAATCATGTAAAGTCATCCAAACTCTCAGATATGCAAACCTTTGCCTGCTTGAATATTTTGCCGGTGAGTAATTTTTGAAGGCATGACGCTGAATTAGGAACACAACTCTTCCAGTCTGTAAATGTTTAATTATGAAGCACAAACACATGCAGACAAGTGTTCATAACACACCATATTAGTGATGTTAAAGCAACATCTGCCTTTTATAAGCGCTCACGTCATTATCGGCCGGTCACACTTGTTCTGTTTGCTGACGTACTGCGTCTGCCATGCCAGAAAAACACCTTGCACCTTCCTGTTTATTTCTTTTACCGTCTCAGCTCTCTCTCTCTTCTCGTTCCCAGCCCCCTGCTGCTCTCCCTTCACATCCGCCGGTGATTTCATGATTACATAAAGGGATGAGGGCATGATGGGAAGGAGTTCAGAGCCCCGACACCCTGGCCCAGATGTTTCCCTCGCTGCTTAGGTGTGTCAGTCGTCTTTATCCGCCTGAAAGCTCAAAGCTGCTGATGGGGCAGGCCTCTATTACCAAGTTAGGCCAGAAGGAAAACTGTGCAATCATCTTCTCCTGCATGGGGGGGCTCTTATAACAGCTCTGATCCTCAGGATTTGGGGTTCACTGTAACAGAGTGGGCATCTTATATAATGGACTTTCAAAGTATTTCAAAGTAAGAGCTCAGGCTTCAGATTCCCCTGACTGCTCATCTCTAAAATTAATTCGGCTACTTTTACTGGATTCATTAATGGCGTTATCCTCATCTGGTTGAGGTAGCATCAGGAGCCATGAACTGAGACAGAACAAGAGAGATCCAGGGTGAAGCCAAAACCTTTAGAGCTCCACTGAGGCTCCACTAGCTAAACAGCCTCACCAGTCCAAGATGTCAGCACTTGTTAACAGTGGAGGTACGCTATCTAGAGATTTACAGTCAGTGGTCATGGATGGGTCATAAATCATAAACAATCATAAATTTAATCCCAGAGATGAGAGTTTAAACTTAGTTAGACTTTAGCGCTACATGCTACACTGGTGTCCTCTAACAAATATCTCATTATTCTGACTTTTAAATGTAAGATTGATCACTTTTTTTAAATATTTTCTGCAGAAAACATAAAAATCCCATGACATCAAAATTACAACATAAAAACGGTCAATTTCAGTCTATTTTCAGTTCAGTTCAGAGAACTTTATTTAGCCTAAAGGGGGCGATTAATTTATGGCTTTCCAGTGCATATTCATTCATTTATACAGTCAGTCAAAAACATATATAAATAATCAATCAGTCAAGTGAACATGTTTAAGCCTGATGTCAGATCCCAGATGTCAGGACTTTATAAGTAGCCTACATCTTAAATGTGTTTTAAATGTTTTATGCTGTTTTTAATATGATTTGTATGGTGACCTTGAGTGTCAAAAAGGCGCCTTCAAATAAAATGTATTATTATTATTATTATTATTATTATTATTACTTATATGAATTGTAGGGCAAGATAAAACAAGATAGGATAAAAAAAAACAAAAAACAAAAAAACAAGTGAGGTAAAAACAAGGCAATGCAAAAACTTCAGAAAAAAAGTTTAAAAATAGGAATACATGATCAATAAATAAGAGTAATGGGTGTGGTCTGTGTTTAGGAGGGAATGAAAGACTTTGAGTACCGATTAGTTTTCTTTTGGGGCGCATTATAACGTCTCCCTGAAGGCATAAAAACATAAACATACAAAAACTTCTCACTGGAGTTTGTCGGGCAGCTGACGCTGGGGGGAAGTTACTGGATATTCTGAATTATGTCGTATAAGGTTCCCTCATTGTACAGTTTAACTTTAAGACTTGAATTACTAGGAACCAGCTAATCTGGCCAAATTTCAATCTACAAATTTTATATAAATTAAGAAACATGATGTTAAGATACTGTCTGTTTTTTTCCTGGAGGTAAATTAAGCTGTTATTCAATTTTCTTCTCCTAAAACCGAGAAACCCCAAACTCAAAACCTACGTCATATTTTCTTTGGTGAAACTGAAACTGGATTTGTTACTTAAGTCAACATTACAGTAAAGTCCATGTTGTTTCGATCCATCTTTGTTGTTTTTTTCAGGAAGATTTTCAGTTCCTGAGTTCTCAAGACACGCTAATCCCACAGCACAGCAAACACAGCGAACAAATGATTACAAGAATATGATCACAGTGTTTGGGTTTCTTACAGCCATGCCCCTGGGACAGTGGTCACAGCTTGGTGGGAGTCTAGTCATGTTTTAATTCCAACTGGCTTCCTCTCTGGGAGCTGATTAGAAAGTCTGTTGTTCATTACATGTTCATGTTTTTTTTTAAAGGGGAAAATAGAGCGAACCACCAAACGACTACTTCGCAGAGAAACACAAAGATGCGGCTCATCTCTGCGTTCTCCCCTGTAGGTGCACACGTGTGGTTTGCACCTGAAACTAGATCTGCTGTTTACTTTCAGTGGAAAAATACCCGACAGCCATGGCATCAGGAGGAAGTGCACAAGGAAGGCTGTCAGGTTTTTACAGGGTTAACTCGGCAGAATTTTAAACTGCTGAATCACTACGGTCTATTTTTAAAACTGTGCAGTCATTTGGTGACAGTCGACGCATACGAAACTGACCTTCATGAAATCAGAAGCCACGGTGATGAGTGACCTCCTGTGACTTTTTCCTGAATATAACTCTATCTATCGATGAGTTTAAACCACAAATAGGATCCCCCAAAACCATCTTATTTGTATTCTTAAGCGAGTCTACATACATCTACCAGGAATAACAGAGCATGACAAGTTTTTGGCTGAGAATAAACTCTTATGTGACGGGCTGATGTAACTTGTTTGACACTCGGCCTGATCCAAGTTTCCCTATTGGCTATACCACTTTTTCCTTAAGCGCTGCTGCACTGGGTTGGTGTCGTGATTCCTTTGTGGATTGAGGGGAAGTGGGATTCAAGTTTTCAAACAGCCTGTTAAAAGTTGTTATTTTTTAGAGGACTACTGCAAATGGATTGGCAGAAAGTTCCCAAAATGTCATAGGACTATAAAAAAAAGCTTATATCCTCTAACAGGTAAGGAGTAGAGTCAGGATTCAGGATAGAGTTAGGATAGTAAATAGTGCAAAGGGAACATATAAAACACTGCAACTACAAATTATAATCTCTTGATATTTTTGGTTAATTTGCAACAGGTTAATAAAAAGTCTGGATTTAAGACAGGGATTGACACTAACTTTTTACACAAGGGGCACACACAAAGAACTTTAGGGGCACAATGAAAATTGATCAAATAATGTGTGTCTTATTGGTCGACCTTAGAACTATAATTTGAAATCAACTTTAGCTCAATTGGTCACATGACATGGAAGCTATTGAAGGAAAACAGCCTTTGTTTGAGAACATCAATCGGTAATTTATTGACGGTCCCTTGTTCAACACCCGATGTTGACAGCGAGGGTGCCGAATAGATTTAACTGCGCTGCTGTTGCTATTCCCGGTTATGGAGATTGAGAAGACAACGGTAGATCCGTGATGAATGTCCGTCGAATATCCAACCTAAATCTAACTTCACTTCTTTTTTTAGTCGCAAATGCAAGTGAAACGGTCCCACTGTCGAGCCCTGCTTTCTCCTTTGTTTTTGACTTCAGACTCTTAAAATTTTCCAGTTTAAAGTGAGACATTTACACCTCTGCTATATTTTGTCTGAACTGTGTCATAAATGTTGGCGCACAGTTATTCTACCTCTGATCAGAGTAGCAACTGAGACCCGATGGAGGAAGGTTGTGTTGGAGTAAGAGAGGCAGAACACCACAGTGTGTGTGTGTGTGTGTGTGTGTGTGTGTGTGTGTGTGTGTGTGTGTGTGTGTGTGTGTGTGTGTGTGTCTATTTAAACTGCTTTGTCCATTTTCTGCTGAGTCTAATTTCGTATTTTCACGAACGCTCTGTGCCCCAGGGGTCTTTGCTGCTGCTCTGCCTGCCTTGGCTCCTCATGTGTGTCTGAAAACAGGCGCCTCATGCCAAATACAACTCCTTCGATGCAAACATGGCCCTGACTGGACTTCTTTTGCAGTGTGATGTAAAGTAATGTTTGATTTAAACAGTATTCATGTTGAGTTAAGATAGACGCTCTGTTCAAGCGGATGATGTATTCTGAATGTCTCGTATCTTCAGGGGTTTACGAGCTACATGAACCAGATTGATCTCAAATCCCTCATTTCACCCGGAGTCGCTCATGATTTGGAAAAACAGGTCAAAGTGAAGTTTCAGATTTTCAACAAGCACTTTAAAGAGAAAAATATGATTTCTCGGGGTCTGCTGGGTACTGTAAGGAACTTTTATCTTTGAGGAGGGGAGCCATGTTTTTCTTCTCCTTTAGACCAATGGAAATAAAATCCAGCTGTGCACATGGGAGAGGGGCAGGTATTCAAGTAAAAATAGAAAGTCCATATGTGCAGACGGAGTCCAGGGAACGAGGAGATCACGCAGAAAATGAAAAACTTCATGCTTGATTTAAGGATATAGTATATCAAGACTTTCATCAAGGTCGACTTATTTATGTCTGAACTTTAACACCCAACGTCTTCCTGGAGGTGTTTTTGTCCTCTTACATGAAATCCACTTCCCTTTAAGCATATATTCTCGTCACACTGGTGCTGACATCTTCAGTGACTCACTCATTTTGTTTGCAAGTTAAAGTGTTGAGCGTTGTTGGAGCGTGCCGCGGAGCTAACGCCTGATGTCATTGTGAAGTCGTCTGCTGTTTATCTGGTAATCGCAGCGCTGACTGGGTAAAACTGCGTGCCGCTCAGGCTCTGGTGTCTCGTTGTGGGGGTTAGTTGCGTGCTGCGCGTCTTCATTACGAGTGTGAATTGCGTGTAAATGACTCAAACCGGATTCTTTTGTCGTTTTTGTTCTTTATTCTTCCAAACTCCTCTTCAGAGTCTGAGACGAAACACGAGTTCAAGTGGCTGTTGAATCAAACCTTAAAAATGTCAAAGACAAACTCAAAACAGCAGGCTACACCCACGGACTTATTGAAGCCATCAAGAAATGAGCATTGAGAAAGTTTCTGAAACCACTTCCTCGCGTTTTTTTTCTTTTTTTCTCTCTGCAAAAAATTACAATAATTCAGCACAGGCTCGGTTTGCACAAACATTTCGCCAAGTGTCAAGTGCTGAATGACTCAGATGAGCGCAATGTCTTCATCCTACACGTCTGAGGAGGCTGTTTTATAAACGCTTTAAACATTCATGCAGATTTTATTTCCTTGAACTGGTGTAAACTTTGTATTTTCATGAATGACCAACACATCCCCGCTTGGAGAGAATCCAGATTTCTGTCCCTTCGGTTTTCCCTCAGGCCTCTTTCGGGAAATGAAGCTGATGATTCATGATGTTCAAACACCCCTCTCTCTCTCTTTCACTCACTCCCGGCATGAAAATAAATGACACAGATATATGACACATACTTGTTCTTCTCCGCCTCGGTTTCTGGTCTTACTTCGGCGGTGGAAAGTAGATTCATCAAGACAGGCTTGCCCTCCTGATCCTCTCCCTCAAGCCCCTCTACTCTCTCGCTCACTAACCCCAAACTCCTGTCAATGGTTTCCAGCTGGCTGTGGCGTGGTGGTTCTCCTGGGAGAGGAGAAAGAAGAAGAGGAGGAGGAGGAGGAGGAAGGGGGCTAAACTGGCTGCGGGCCCTGCCTTGCACACCGTCCAAGAGCTTTGCTCAACCCCCCTTTGACCCAACCCCAGCCTCGCTTTTTATTTGTTTAATTTGTGGAAAAACCCATAAACATTTTGCGTATGATTTGTGGAAAGCGGCTAAGCGGGCAGGAGGGCCGCGTTTGCGTTCGTGTTTGCAGTCCAAACTTCACATGCTGATTGTGTCCAATGCCTTTAATGATGAGGCGAGGTTAGGAGGTAAAAAGGCAACAACTATGAGCTGTTAGCATATTCAGCACCGAGCAGTTTGACGCTGGAAACTTAGGAATCTGCAGAGGGGCTCTTCAGTTTAAGTGGTCTCTTTTAATGTCTTGTTATCTTGATGGGTGCAGCACTTTGCTCTGGTGGCTGAAGAGCGTCTAAATTTAGCAAAGACCAGTTCAATAGCAGGGCACTGCTTGCGTCACCTTGGGTAAATATTTCTCTTTTTGGCACTGGTTGTGTTCCTAAAACCTCGCTTTCCCCCCAAAAAAACATTCAGCAGAAAAATGAGAAAAGGCTGAGCTTTGGTGGGGGCTGCAGGTGGGCTGGATTTGGGAGTGAGTTATTTAAAGAGCAGAGCAGATAAAACCAGAACACATGCAGGTTTAATAAAGAAGTTTAAAAGACGGCCTGGATGTTTGAAGAGGACAGAGCACACACTCTCAGCTCCGGGACTCGGTCTGTGCCCGAGTTTTTTGTAGGACGTTGTGTTTACCTTGCAGGAGTGACGGTGATGACAGTCTGTTGTCATCGAGGTCAGAGGTCGAATAAGGAGGGGGAGTGTGTGTGCAGGCTGCTGATGGAAGTGTGTGCTGCTTTGTCACTCCTCCTGTCTGGTCAGAAGGCTGAGTGTGTTTGGCTTGGCTTAAGGAGTTTATGTTTGTGTCTGTGTGTGTGTGTGCGTGTGTGTGTGTGTTCCTCTGATTGTGCATGCTCATGTTTCTTTGCAGCAAGCCAACACACTGCTGGGAAATGTGCCTGTGTCAGTATGTAGGTTCTGACTGTAAAGTGTGACACTGTGCTCACTAATAGATCTGCACCATCAGCAGTCATGCCCAGACGTTTGTTTAGAGGCTCGCTTTTATTTTCTCTGAATTCATCACTTGAGCGGCTGTGCAGGTTTCAGGACACAGATCGCTCAGATTAAACCTCAAAGACAAATGAACATGCTGTATGTCAATGAGATAAACTTTTGACAGTTTTCAGCCTGATTATATCTGGTCTGAAGGCTTTAAATCGTGTCGGGCAAAAAATGTAGGTCAAGCATTGAACAAAGCAAAAATGAAATGTGAACCTGCGCTTTTATCGGTCTTCAAAGTGAGTTTTTCTAAATTAGAGGAAAAAAAGTCTGAGTTTGGTTCATTAAATGTCGTCTGATGGGGCGCGCATACCAAGCGTGAATAAGTCAAGTCAAGTCAACTTTATTTATAGAGCACTTTAAAAAACAAAAAGTTTGAGCCAAAGTGCTTTAAGGCAGTAAAATTTGGAACAGACTTTGATAAAAATCAGAATATTTAAAAACATACTCGATGATGACGTAAAAATATACATATATACTTTACAAAAAGGACAGGAAGGACAGGATAGCAAAATGGGTAAGAACTTAATTCAGATGAGAAATCAGGTTATGAGAAGGCAAGAGAGTAGAAGTGAGTCTTTAAGAATAAAATCATCTACTCGCTTAATTCGCGCGAATCTAGATGCGTGAATGAATTCCTCGCTTCATTTGCGTGTCAACGGTAATTTCAACCATAATCCCTGCCAATTCAACCTGCAAGGTCAAGTGATTGACAAAGGCTTTTTTTTTTACAATGTACCAGATATTCCAACCTCCTCACTCACTTGCCTCCAGGCGAGCTCCTTTTTATTCCGGTTTCGGTAATTGAAAGAAAAGTTATCATAAAATTTCGGGGCACCCACACTCCGACACGATCAGTTTGTCCTCCAAAATCCATCCGTGACCTGGCAGCCTTTGTGCTGATTAGTTATCATGACGTGAATACCCGCTCAAGTTGAAACATTTCCAGCTCCTGCCCAATTCGCGTCATTCGCGCTGCCAGAGAAGTAGGAGCGTCTACTTGTGTCTTTGCATTGACTTAACATGTAATTCATTCGCGCGAATGATTCTACTCGTGCTTAGTGTGTAGAGACAGTAACAGTTTATCTTCTGACTGTGTGTCCATGCTTTTGGTAAAATTCAACTTCTAGTGAGATTTTGATGCCTGATTTCACTCCCTGTAACAGCCCAGTGTTAGCCTTACACCAGACAGCAGAAGTGGTTCATGTGGACAGTGTGGCCTTGGATGAGGTCGAACTCCAGGCCTGAGTTTTTACCTCAATCTGCTCTTTCATGCAGGATGTCTTTAGTAAAACTTTTGTTGCTGAAATTGACTGTGAATGAGTGCAGAGATCACATCATACAGGGCAGGGGAGGGAAAACGTCTGCACAGTAGTCGTTGCTGAAAGTGGTCACCAAAAGCTGTAAATTCACACATTTTTACAAAAGTTGCTTTAGTTTTGTAAACTTTCTATAGCTAAAAAAATGCATATCACATTAGCATTCCTCATTTAGTCGGTGCTAATGCTAGCTATAGCTGCTGCTGCTAATTCTCTCCAGCTGCGACTACTCCGAAGAGATTATTGAAATGGATTTTGAGGCTTGTCGTCTTTTTCTAAGAACACACGCAGCTCGTGTTTTGCAAATTAAAATTGTGCGAAACATTCACACTGATGTTATTTTCACTTCCTCATCAGCTTGATCATCCCCTCTGGATGAACGTATAATGCTTGACTGTGTTGGCTTGGTACTAAGTAAATAAAAGCAGATACTAAATTACAAAACTTTGTTGGCCTGGTATACTATTCGTCTATATTTTCCGTTCATTTTCCTCCACAAACATTTGCAGATTGCACTTCTCTTTTTCATTAAATTTCCGTGCAGATGTTTGGGTTTGTCCTCATGAACTTAAAAACACAAACAAAGCAGAAAAAGGTGTGTAATTCCCACTCTTCTTTGGAGTACTTTCTGCCGTCAGCTGACCTTTAACACACATCTTGCTTTGCTTAGCACACATGCTCTCCATTCGCACCAGCAGGAACATCAGAGCCCTGCATTTACACTGTGCTGTGATGTTATTAATGCGCTGCTTAGTCAGTTGTCCGGCGACCTGCTTTGGCCCGGAGTAAACCCAAGTAAAAACCACAAGGTAAACATCATGAGATCAGCCCGGGTGGATTAGTCACAGCGCTTGTGTTTTAGAAGAGCGAGGAACAGCGAGGTTATCTGTGTCAGAGTTTCATCTGCTGCAGAGTTAATACAAGCACAGCTTTGCAGGGTGAGGTTGGTGAGTAATTTGAGCAAAAACCAAATAAGTCCTGATGGTAAATAAGAGTGAGCATGAATATTAAAATCAGGAGACAGCACCACAAACCAATCGCTGTGAGCTGAAATATAACAGCACAACTTTAAAACATCTTAGCACGTCAGGAGTAAGTTAGCCAGTGTTTACAGCTGACATTATCCTCGACCGGTTACCACTGATACAAGATAAGCTCTGGCTCCAGGGCTCTTGAGTGCACTGAATTGATGAAGTGTTTTATTACCTATGACTTCAACATTTTATTAGTAACATTCAGAAGTAATGCGCAGTCATCTTGCTTAAAGGTTCGATGTTTTGTAAGAGCCCTGAGCTTTACTTTAGCAGCACAGATGATTGATCTGAGCAGAGATTGGTTGTAGCAGAAACTTCAAAGGAGGGCAGAGTAATACTCTTTGCATGCGGCGGTCAGCCTGGGAAATGGATCAGAAGGCATGTGGTTGGATATAATCAAAAGAAGGAGCTGTATTGTGGACTCCAAGCAGAGTTCTGATCATTTCTTATGGCTTTCCAGTTGGTCCCATTAGTTGCTGTCAAAAACCTTAAAATCGTCCTTTTATACAGAGGTTTTTTTTTTATTTGAAACCCCCGGAGTTATTGAACTATTGAGCTGATCATCTGCCAGCAGCCGTTTGATTGGATGACGTCTACAGAAGGGCTACAACAGTATGCTTGTATTGACTAGTATACTAAAAATAAGCATGTTGTAAGACTGTAAGTTCATAGTGGTGGTCCTTTATTGTGGTTACCACAGATGTGTTAAAGGGATATTCCAGCGTAAAATTAATTCAGGGTCAAACACACCGTAACACCGTGTTAGACACCCCCTCGAGAGATGAATGAACCGCTTGCTTCTCTAATTATACCAACTTTAGTAACAACTGCAGGATAGCAATACACAGTGGCATAAATGTTCTTCCTTGAGCTGCGTCACCCCGCAGCAGTACGTATGGACTGGCCTGAGGTCTCGCTACAAACAAGCGGCTGCTGGAAGGGAGTAGGTGAGTTGTGTTTGGTCTCTTTGCTAAAGAAATCAGGTAAAGTTAAAAAGATGTTTGGTGGCAAGTACTATGGCTGGGACCCTATATGTACTGTTGATGAAGTTAGGTGCTGTTCTGAACATTATTTCTGGCTATAGAGTGGCGTTTTGGTTGAGGTTTGTGTATGGCTCCATAGACCGCTGTGTATTGCTATCCTGCAGTTGTTACTAAAGTTGGTATAACTAGAGAAGCAAGTGGTCGGCAACATTCATCTGTTGAGGGGGTCTCTAACTCAGAGTTACGCTGTGTTTGACCCTAAATTAACTTTACGCCGGAATATCTCTTTAAAGAGACAAAGAAGAAGCAGAAGATGTTAGCTAGCTAGCTGTAGCAACCCCCCGAGAGATGATGAGTCCCAATCAACTTTCAAGCCTGTGCTTCCTTGAGGCTCCCATTAAAATGGTCATTTATACTTTTAAACCTTTCCTTATACTGTTTTTATTCAGTTTAGTAACTTCTGATCTGCCAGACATTATCTTCACTTCAAAATAAAAGCATAGTTTTAGAATGACCATAATAAACCAACCTAAACAGATGGAAAAACATGTCAAAATAAAAGCACAACAATCTCCAAAGAATAATTGCGTTATTCTGTTTTAAAATTATTGATAAATATTGTGATAATATAGCTAACATAGGGTGACCACATTCTGAATCTCCATAAAGAGGACACGACTACGCAGGGGTGGAGTCACAGAGTTGCACATAGTTTTTCGGGTCGGGTTGAGTGTTTTTATGCTTCTAACTCAGTAAGTCCACACGACACAAACTCAAAACTTCCATACAAAACCCCATTTTGAAGGACATTTGAAGGATTTTAGTAACTACCCTGGACAAAGCCATACAAGGCCAGACATGCCGGACAGTTCCCAAAAAAGAGGACATGTCCAGGTAAAAGAGGGCGTATGGTCACCCTAGCTGACATATTTTATGGCCACAGTGATTGGAAGTTGAAAATCTGATATCATGATAGCCCAACAAAGCTTAAAATTAAATCCCACTGACTGACTTTGACTCGTTTCTCCAGTCAAAGCATTTCATCACATTTGTATGAGATATACTGACCTGACAAAGTCCAAATATAAATCTTGTTTTAAGATATTTCAGGCCCAGGCTGTCTTTATAGGTCTCTCTGCACAGGCAGGGATGCATCTACAAAGTACAACCTCATTCATTAACTTCACCCATGAGATGCAGAGTTGAAATCACTTCACCTGTCAGTGTTGTCAGTTACATAATAACAATTGGTTTGGGAAAAATCTGTTTTAAATGAACTTTACTCCCACACATGTAAGTTTTCTTCTTATTTGGGGAGTTGTAACTAAAAAGGACCAAAGAAGGAGGTAAGAGAGCCGTGACTGTGGATTATTCAACCCCTCCAAGTCCAGCTGAGACACATCTTTTTGCACAGATTGTTTGGAGTTCTGTCTCAGACAGGTGTCCGACCGGTTGCTCAGGCCAGCTAACCCCGAGCCCCGGGCCTGGCTCTGGTGCCGTAACGCTGGAGGTCAGAGGTTAATGGAGCAGAGTGGCGCCGGCCAGTCATCCCCCAGGATCCTGGGTGGATTTGGTAAACAGTGAAGCTGTCACTGCAGATTAATACTGAGAGGAGGTAGAGCTGGGCCGAGCACACAGGGGGCTAATGGCTTCCAACTCAGCCATGAAAGTGCCTGTCTTCCCCATTCTCCTCTCTCCCTCATCCCCACAGATAAGCCCCGCAGGCTTAGAGAAGGAGGAGGGACGAAGGGAGGAAAGGAGGAGGGAAGCAAAGGTAAAAAAAGGAGTTAGCTCCATAAAGAAGAACTAACAAGAGGGCAATAATTACGAGTGCACTTGAGCTCAACAAAGTAAAACTAAAAGAGGGGAACATCTTAAAGCTGCGGGACCTTCTTTTGAGGCATGAAGGAGTTTTTGTTTCTTCCCATTGTGCGAATGTGCAGCTCAGCCTTGAGGTCATCCATTGGTTACAGCTGTAAGAGCACAACGCCAACTGCCAGCTCACCTCTGTGGGGGATATTCGGGGACTTTTTTTCCCCGTCTTATCAAGCGTCTGCGAGCGTTGACACTTTGGTTAATCTGTTATTGCATCTTCAACACGGGGCAGCTCACAACACTTGGTTTGCTGCTTGTATCAAAGCAGGATATTGTATGTCAAGTCTCCTCACAGCTTGAGATTGTGGTTTCACTCTCACCGCAGCTCATGCGACAGTGAAAGAAATAAAAAAACTCCTGTTATCTGCAAAGAGAATTTCTTCTTATGTCATGAATATCTAATGTAAGCTTAGTTTCCCTTTTTTTATTTGCGGTTTGTGTTTTTCCATTTGCGTCACTATGAACGGTTCGATCAATTTAATTCCTCTATAGTTTTATAATTCATACAAACAGCAAAGTTGTGTTGTTTAAAGGTCACATATTTCCAGTATACAAAAAGAGTTGTGCACTACAACAAACACATTTCTGCTTATTTGTCTAAAAAGTGAAGGATTAAAAACGTTCTTTTTGTATTTTTACACAAAACAGCATTTAAGCGTCTCCAGATGTATCATATGAAGTGTAAAGGATGTAAGATTACTTTTTTGGATAAATATTAACTGCTTCACAGGTTTTGCAAAAACCTTTTCTATGTTGGGTTAGCATTGGGTTAGTATTTCAGACTGTTTAGTTTCCCGTCTGTCCAACAGGTCTTCCTTTAAAATGCTTGGAAATGCCACCACTCTCTTGTGGGGTACCTCAGGGCTCTATTTTGGGTCCCCTTTCATTCACTGTTAACATGCTTCCACTGGGGCAATGGTTTGGCTTTTCACTGCTATGCAGATGACACTCAGGTCTATGTGTCTATGCTTCTAGTCTGGCACTTTCTGTTGTTTCTGATACTTTGCTGTCTGGTTGAAATCAAGATTAAAATTTCCCTAAATTGATTCTTAATGACTCATACTCTGATGTTATGGTCGTTACTATCTCTGCTCTAGTTACGTTAATAATCCATTCTCCAGCCTGGGTGCCTTATCTATTAATGCAGCAAAGATAGGGTGACTATATTCTGAGGACACGACTACGCAGGGGTGGAGTCATGAAGTCTTACGAAGTTCATTTTGAGAGTTCTTCAGGTCAGATCGAGTGTCTTTTACGCGCGTCTGACTCAGAAAGTCCACGCAACACAAACTGGAAACTTCCGAACAAAACTACAGACATTTGAAGGATTTTAGAAAGCCGGACCAGGCCGGACAGCCCCCCAATAAAAGGACTTGTCTGGGTAAAAGAGGACGTATGGTCACCCTAGCACACAGGCCCGAAACCTAGAAAGTATTTTTTTTATTTCAATTTTTCCTGTGATTCTTTAGTGGCCAAAGTTTTGCAGTTTTATTTTGCTGGGTTGGGAAAACAGACTAAACTCAGTTCTTGTATTTTCCCCACTGACATAGCAAAAGTCCTCAAGCCTTGACTATTGCAATACACTTTATTTTGACATCAGCAAGAACATCTAAAGACTTCATGTAATTCAAAACCTCGCTGCCAGGCTTTTAACACATAGCAAGAGAGGAGATCATATAACACTGTATCCCTCGCTGCCCTTCACCGGCTACCAGTGAGTTTAAGAATTGATTGGAAGACTTTTACAGCTTGTTTTTGGAGCCTTAAATGACCAGGCACCAGCCTGTATCTGTGAGCTGCTAACTCCCCATGAGTCTGAGTGCTGCCCTCAGGTCTTCTTTGAAGGCCCTCCTCGTGGTTCCTACTGCAAATGTGAACCAGTCAAATGAGGTGACTGAGCATTTGCAATTCAGGCTTTAACAGCTGTGGAACTCCCCGCCTGGGGATGTTTGACAAGACAAGTGGGTGTCCTCTTATAAATCTGTTCAGAAAGGTACAGTGAGTTGTGTTTAACAGCATTTACCAAAGCAAGCGTGGTAGAAATGGAGCAGGTATTCACTCGTATCTTTAAAGAACAGCCTTTATATATATTTTTAAACTTTTATAAGCTTTTTATACCAACATTGGAGCGGGACCACTTCCATGTAGGCGGTCTTTTTGTCACTACAGTAGCACAGACTGGACTTTGGTCAGTTTGGGTTGGTTTAAAATGAGCTCCAGAGATCAAATTGACCCTACTCTGGCGTTTTTGGTTTAAATCTGTGTTAATGTGTGAAAGAACTGTACTCCACTGTACACAGTACCACTCATTCCTCCAATTACCCCCGATGCTCCCACCCAGCTCTGCTGTCAGTTGGCCTGTGGGGGGGTCCAGAGCAGCAGAGGGAGGGGGTCCGTCTGAGCATACTCTATGCAGTCGTCCATTGTACAGTCCTCACAATGGGAGCCTTTGATCTTAGAGGGGTGCACCTCTCTGTCTCCTCCATCCCTCTTCCTCTTCCTCCTTCCTCTCCTCTTCCCTCGCCTCCTTTTTTTCCAGTATTAACCTCGACCCTCCACGTACCGCCAAGAGGGCCGAGAGGAGAGAAAGGAAATGAAACACTGATTGAAATGAATGAAAATGTAATGAAGTGAGGAGAGGGCTGGAAGATGGACCACAAAGCGAGGAGGGGAAACAGAAATCAGTTGTTATATTATTCCTCTTGTCCGTCCTTATTAAAAGGCCCGGGGGCCACACTGAGATGGCCCTTTGACAGATTGTTTTCAGTATATTGCTCGGTCCCCTCATCTCTACACTGACACAGAGCAGGTGCTGCCAAGACCAGACTTGAGCTTGGGATATGGAGGCTCAAGGATGGGAGGCTTTGGTTTGCTATAAGGGTGGGAGTTTACAAGGGGGGCCAGGCAGGACTGTAAGGCCCTATACATCCCCCGGTGAAGTCTGTCAGGTCAATATTTTCTGTACGTTGTGACTGCATTGCTAATTCTGCTGCTCCGATTCAACCAAGCTCCCCTACTGGCTTACCGGCCACCACAAAGCCCCATCATGTCCTCTGTGCTTGGCTTTGGAAAACAGAGCCCTCCTCCCCTCCCTCCCTCCGTAACCCTCCCACCAATAGCGCAATGCTCCAGTGAGCGTCTATAGATTCCTGGATCTGCACAGCGTTGCATTGTCTCCCTGTCCTGGCCTTCTGCCAAGAACCGAGCCAGCTTTGGAAAGTTGTACTTCTCCAGAGCCTAATCTTTTCTCTGCCCCGCTTCTTTTCTTGCTCCCCTCCCTCCTCCATTCTTTCCTTTCTTCTCCCTGCACGGCTATTTTCTTTATGCCAGAGAGCCTGCGAGTATTTACTGATGCACTGGCATTGAGGGTTATTGTGTGTCAGGCCTGGATGGAGTGCAAAAGGCGGAGTGGAGGGGTGGTGCAGGGGCTGCTGAATAAACAAGGTTATGCAGATTGCACTGCAGAGATCTGAGATATGGTTAGTGCTTTACAGCACAGCAAGTTCATTGGATAACACAAAGTAATAAAAACAAAACTATGTGGAACCTCAAACGGTTTCACATAGTTTGGTTTTTATTGGTTCTGGTTCTGGGGTCTCTGTCTAAGATTTCTGTCACCAGCCAATCACAATGGAAGTTAATGAAGTCAAATTGTTTGGTGACTGAAACTTCCACGGTAACGTCTCTTCCCAGAAACGAATCCCCGCTCGCTGCTCTGTCTGGCTCTTTCCCAAACCTCACTGTGTACAGTTTTCATTGGATCTACTCTACCGAAGGAGCCGTGGTATTTCACTGATAGTTTATAGGGCTAAAAATGCTTGAAACAAAGTGGTTGTAAAACATGTTTTCCAACCTCACCCCAGGAAAAAGTGTCTGAAGGCTGAAGGTCTGCTATCACATTCGCTCTGGTTATATTTCACTCCCTTTCTTGAAAAAACACTTTTTTCGGCATATTTCTGCAAATATTCGCCAAATTAGAATTATTAGTCGTTTCTTTTAGTAAAGCTCAGCGAAAGAGTCTCAAGCATAGACTGTATAAACTATGGACAACTTGGTTTCGCCTGCCGCCAGTATATATTCTGTGTAATAGATTTCTACAGTTTGTCCACAACTCCATAAGGATTGCTGGAGGAGGCGGGATTTCTGACCTATACTGCAGCCCATCACCAGAGGGTGCTGTTCTCGGAGTGGCTTCACCCAGCTGGGAGGCAGATGGCGTCCATTCTAAGTACAGTCTATGGTCTCAAGCTTCTTTTAGACATGCAACATCTTTATAATTTTTCTTTATAGAGATTTATTTTGGTAGCTGTTACCTTTATTTTGAAAGAACAGAACAAATTAATTCTATGTGCAAATGGACAAATGTACAGACATCACAGAGATGATCCTTCTTCATTAACCTCTGATATTTTTGTTCATCCTCCCACTTATTGCTCCTCTGCGTTGGTTCACAGGGGTCACATAGTTTAAATGTCATTACCTAAACCCACTTGTGTTGAATGGTTCATCTGAACCATGACTTCATGGTTATTGAAGGTCAAAGAAAAGTCATGGTGGAAATTTCTGTCACTGTTGTTTTCACATATCGTTCACCCTGATATGTGGAGAGTCTGTAAGAGTTTAGGGTCAGGTACACAATAATTTAGGCCCCTGGTTAGCTAAAAGTTGTACATGTACAGTCTCTCCTCTTAGATACAAGAAATAGGAGCGACTCAGGGTGCAACTGATCATGCCTAAAATTCATTAAACACCCTAAACAGAGCTTTTTCAATCAAGGTACTGTAAGAAAACAGGTAATTTACTGGAAATAATGCTGTTTTAGAGAAGATCTTTGCAGGAGAGGCTGAGAGTCAAAGAGCTTGAACCAGATCAGCAAAACGGCTAAATTAAAAAGGATTTTCAAGGAGCTGGTTTACTACACAGCTTTGCTAATTACCTGTGGTGATGCTAATGCTTAACTTTGCTGCTTCAGCCTCCTTTTTTTTTAATTCTCAGGGATCAGACCAAGTTATCACATAAATATGCCTTTTTATATCGAGAAATTGCACCAACATCTTCAAAGTTTAGGAACATAGTTGGTTAGGTTCAATAAATGACAGATTTAAAGAGGGGGCAGTGGTTAAGCTTGTGCCACTTGATCTTTGACACTGCAAATGAAATCCTCTGAACGGACATGAAAGATAACAAATACGGAGAGCTCACCAGTTCACATTCAAAAGGTTATTTTATCCTTATGTCGGTAAACTGCTCCTTGACAAAATCCTCCTTCTCACTTATTGTGACTCATTGTCTCAAGAACCGGCTCTGCTTTTCTCTGGGACATGATAAGACCCGTATTTCCTGAGGGCAGCCTAACCCTACACTCCTCCACCCTGGAGTTGACCCCCCAAGCTTACAGTGTCGTCTCTCCCATCAGCGCCCACACCCAAGGAGGGGTGGAGAGCGTCCCAACCCCGACAGCACTCTTCATCCCAGACGTAAACACGGGTGACAAATGGGCCGCAATATCAGGTATCAGGTGTCGGCGTGGAAGATTTATAAGGTAACAAGACAATGGGAGGCAGACACAGAAAGCCCCTATCTACCATCAGCACTGCAGCGAAAACCCACTTTGGTTTTAGGAGCCGTGGAGAGAATGATTTCCCCTTTAATCCCTTGAGTTTTTTCATCCATGCAGCACAGATTAGAAGCTCTCACACTGCTAAATCAGATGTTAGTGGCTCTGCAGGAGGACATGTTTTGGTTTGCTGATTGAAGACAGGGGAGGCAGGCACAAGAGGACTTGTTGTGAAATGGAGGAAGTTCCTACTTATGGAGAGGGAAGTTCGGGGTCATGTAAAGCTCGGTCTGGGATGGAGAACGCAGTTGCTCATGTCATCCGGTTTCACAATCAGCAGCTGGTCGTCTGTCTGTACAAAAGTCTTGGAGAAAAAAAAAACTCCCCCTTTCTCTTTGTATTAAACCGGCTTAAACATCCTGTTTTTGTTGGTGGATGTTTTGATTTTTAATAAAAGTGCTCAGTATATGATCAGCGTGTGTTTATGTAGGAGGGGAAGAAAGTTAAAGCTGCAGACTGCACAGATGCAATCAATCAAGGAGTGCAGAAAAAGTTCATTACACTCCCTGTTCAGAGCTATAAACTTTTGTGATATGTTGACGGTGTATACAGAGCTGAAATGATAAAATAGAGCTGTTATCTGCAGTCATCTGATTCACAGTCACTCCCTTTGGGTGTGGATTTCAACACAAGGCCCTTCAGTTTTTAGCTCTGGCCGGGATCATATGTGAAAGTGAATTTGATTAATTAGGTCACATGTACTAATAGATATTAATATTTAACTCAGTGGTACATTTATAAGACGAAAATCTGTGTTCTGACTAATCGGCCATCGTTAAAAGGATGTTCCAGCATAAAATTAAGTTATGGTCAAACACACTGTCACACTGAGTTAGACACCCCCTTGAGAGATGAATGTTGCCGGTTTCTTCATGGAAATACAATCAGACTGAGCCGCTAAGGCAGAAGAACTACCGCATCTGCAGTGCAAAATGATTAATATGATGATTATTACTTCAAGGAAATGATAAAGTAATGATCATAAATGTTCTTCCTTGAGCTGCGTCACCCCACTGCATCTGGAGATGGACTCGTCCGAGCTCTCCCTACAAACAAGCGGCTGCTGGAAGAGAGTAGGTGAGTTGTGTTTAGTCTCCTTGCTAAAGAAATCAGACAAAGCTAAAAAGATGTTTGGTGGCTAGTACTATGGCTGGGACCCTATATGTCCTGTTGATGAAGTTAGGTGCTGTTCTGAATATTGTTTGTGGCTATAGAGTGGTGTTTTGGTTGAGGTGAGTGCGTGGCTCCTTAGACCGCTGTGTATTGCTATCGTGCGGTCGTTACTAAAGTTGGTATAACTAGAGAAGGAAGTGGAGTATCCCTTTAAGGTGCAAACACAGGATCACAGATTCAGAAGCTCCAGGTTTTCTGAATTTGGATTAAGTTTGCAGAGCTAGTCCTCTTTGCAGATAGACAACACACTGCTATGGCCATGTGGTTATACGCCAAGTTAGCCATTCACAGCCCAAAGTAAAACATCATTTCCATTGTCCAAACTGGACCACACTAGAGGATATCATCGGTCATAACATAGCATTATGTCAAGCTAGTTGTACTACCACTCTGACTCAACATATGAGCGCAATTTAAGCCAATACAAATACAAACATAAATGATTACAACCAAACTGAAAGTTCCTCAGAGGAGCTTTAACAGCAGTAGATAAGGCTCATGAATATAACTGACCTCTTTCACCTTTTCACATTCTTGTTATTTTGATATTCTGACAGTAAAAAACGATCGCTGACAGTTAAGGGCTTTTATTTTCCTTGAGGTCTGTTAGTCATTTATTGTGCAGAAACAGAAACCTCAGCAGCGCCGAAGGACCCTCACATCCATCTCTGAGGCATCCAGGTGCTGACATGAGAAAGAGGAGTTGAGTGTGGGTGCCGGAGGAAGGAGGTGCTGGCGCCGCGTACCACCAGATCCACAAAGATCATTCTAGAGATGGTGTTCCTGACACGTGAAAACTCTGCATGCAGAGGACAAGACGCACACTCCCTCTCCCTCCCTGCATACATCACACAATCACCCACCACCTCCTCCCACGCTGCACGCCCACGGCCACCCTCAGAGGAGCTGAAACTGGAGACCTAAACCTCCACCCGTCATCCCCACTCCCTGTCCTTTGTCTCCTCACAATGTGGAGTGAACAGATTCCTCGTGCATTTCCTCAGGGAGAGGCTACAGATTTCGTGTGTGTGGAGGATTGTGTGTTCGGGTGTCCGAGTGCGTGCGTTGCGTTATTTGTTTGTATGTTTTTACCCTCAGTTAACCTCTTTTTGTTTGACTCTTCATTACTCACTCTGACCATGACACATTTTCCTCTTATTAAAGATTTGGACTCACAGGTTGAGTTCAAACCCATGACATTTAAAAATACTCTTAACAATGCGTTTAATTTGTCAATTAGTTCTCATATACCTGAAAAACTCTAAAACACTTCATAAAAATTAACATTTAATTAAGTCAGTGTGTGTTAATGTGGAAGCTGTTGCTACTGGTGACAAACTAATAGGACAACACAACCCAACGCTGCAGTTCCTATCATCTATATGGACCTTGTTTTGTAAGGAGAAAATTCAGCTTTGGGTGATTTGCAGCCTGAACTAAATGCAAAGAAGTTTGTGTGGTTGACCCTGAAAATAAACTGCAAACATGGAGATAGATTCTGTTCTCGTCCTGTTCATAGTTACCCAAATCAAACATGACAACAAAAATTAAAAAATGAATAAAAATTGCCATAAATAAGACAGCAAAGGACTCTGTGTTAGTGAAATCTATTACTAGTTTCTATGGAAGCCCAACAATGGCAGTCCCCATAACAGAAATATTAACTTAATCCAACATTTAATCTAACACTTAATCCACTTCTAGACTTCTATAATCAGCATCTCCTCATCCATGGTGTCATCAAGATGAAATGCTATCTATAAACCTTTTACTTGTTTATCCTCGCCTGTTTGCATGGTGTGAAATATGATCTGCTTGAAACATGGAGTGTTTTATTTTGAAAAGAAGCTGGATGTTTTATTTTGTGTCTGTGCCCGACTTCGATCCACAGCGAAACGGAAAGAAGACGGACACATTAACTTCAATGGTTACGATCAGCTACGGTCGACGGATATGGCCTTTTCGTAGCCATTTCCGATGCGGTGGAAATTGACAAATAGAGATGGAGCTGAGGTGGACTTTAAGCCTCCGGGCAAACAGCTGCAATAGTAAACCTGACAGTCAGAATTTAAGATTTATGTCATACTCCAAGCTTTGACCCAATCAAAAGGAGTGTTTGTAAAAAACTGTGAATTTAAAGGTACAGTGAGTAATATTCAGACAGATCTACAGACTTGGTTTAAATGCAATAAAATGTTCAGGGGTGAGTAAGGGGTGACAAAGGGAGCATTTTAATCCAGACTCTGCCCATTACATATTGCTAGATGTTCCCATACAAACTGTGGTTTGGTGCTGAAATAGGGATTTCCTCAGATTTTGGAACAAGCCTCAAATGGACTCTTGAAGAACTGCAGTTTGTTTTAACATTGGCAATAGTCCTTTAATATTTCCTCCACACAATAGCACAGTTAAGACGGCCTTTTGCACGTTTGTACACTCCCACTCTGCTTGCTTTGTGATCCTGTCTCACCTCTGTTGCTCCTCTGTAACCACCTCTGGTGCCAGTATCGCCATTGGACCACTCATTCCCGCCATAACGTCTCTGTGACATTCATATTGAAGGGGAAATATTACAGGGGTATAAATATTAGACTTCAGTAAACAGAAAGGTAATAAAATACTGAAGTTCAATCCAACAAAAATGACAGTGAAGTCGGCTTTTATTTACCGGCTCTGGCAGACTTTAAAACTGAAATCTCTTCAAGCTTAAGTGTTACCGATCCAAACCGCTGTGTCTTTTAACTTATTCTTTTATACAGCACATTACTGAGAAAGTTCTGTTTCAGCAGTATCCTTGAACTGAGCATCTGAAAGAGGCCGGTTGTTTTAAGTTACAGAGCATAAATCATAGTATAATCCTATAATTAGCTCCTTGACTGAATCTGTTTATATTACGTTATTTATTACAGCGGGTCATCATCAGTCTTGTGATTGCACTTCAGTAAAAACCACACAGCAACATTTTTCCACTGCCGTCTAAACATGGCGTCACACCAAATTCTTCAAGTCGGCTCGGTGGGCGGAGTTTTCCCAGATGGGTGCCGGCGTTGAGCCCTGATTGGCCGACAGAGACGGTTGCACTGAGTGACGGGCTGTCAGAGGGGATCCATCGGGGGGACAATGTGCCCGCTCAGAGGCTCAGAGGTCAGCCTGTTAACAACGGCTCCTCTGGTGAAGTTTGTTTTCTAGCAAGGAGCCACCTTTTCATGTGTGCCACTCATTATCAGAGCTCGTGCCCCCTGCTGCCTCGAACAAGGCCGTCTGTTTGCACCACGTTGTGTGTCTATGTGTGTGTATTTCAACCAAAACCCTCTGCCTCTCTTCCTGTGACCCTGTTTTGCCAGAAATGGAGCGCACACAATGTGGAATCCGACTCAGGTTGACCTGATCTGATCTAGGCCTCGACTGTGTTTGGTTTGGCATCGACGTGGAACAGTCCTTGTATGTTTTATCTGGAGAACCTCTATCACTTTGCTGTAGTTTTACTCGAGCTTTCCCAAGCCTATAATAACCACAGGCAGCATCTTTTCAGCTATTTCCAGCTGTCTGCGCTCCAACCCTTTACATAATCACTGTTACAAAAGAAGAGCGGACATCTTGAAAAACACTGAGCAGATATGGAATCGTTCCTGGAATGTGGTTCCCCTCGGGGAGTCGATGTCAACAGGGGGCAATTTTTTAGGGGATGCCAGAGAGGAACAGTGGACGTGCTGTGGAGGGACGGACCAGCAAAGATCAATAGGCTGGAGACAGAGGGGTGTTGTCTTGAGCAGATAGACTCAGGCCTCTTCTGGGAGAGCTGAGAGATGGACCGAGGCTGTAAATTCAGCCTAATATGTGCTTGTGCAAGAATGTATGGATAAAGGAGCATTTGACTCTAAAGCTATGAGATTAAGATGTTGCAACCAACCCTGGAGTGTGCATTTAACCATTAGCAGTTAGGATTTACAGCAGATTTATAATACTTCATTTGCTAAGCAGCATTTTCCATATGGGCAGTTATTTGTTTAGCTTGTTCAGAGAAGTGCTACAAATCAGTTTAACCTTGCTGGGTCCAACTCTTGTACTTAAAAAAGGAGGTATGGACAGAAAAATAAAACATTAGCATCTCTACATGCCATAAGCAAAGCTAAAGCTAGAGCCTAAAAAATGATAGTCTTACTCTTTAACTCTCAGCTTCTCCTGCAAAGATCTCCTTTCAGACAGCATTATTTTCAGCTCTTCACAGTCTGCTTTATTTTGAGTTCTCTTTTCATATTTTGTAAATGGTTCACTTTGTTACTGGCGTGAAACTTTTTCTCAGGAATAAACTACCATGACTCTGCCTCTTCTTTCATGTCTCAATGAAAGGGACATGGTTTTTTGCTGCAGACTGATGGTGTGTAATGTGGAGATAATTTTTCCCAGTTAGCCCCCGTTTCTTGTAATGAAGACACCACTGAGATTAATGACCTTAAAACTCATATGGTATGCATGTATGTGCAAATTTCTGCGTGCAAACACAATGTCTCAATGTGGATGTACTGAATGCATTTCTGTGCATGTGTGTGGGTTCAGTTGGATGTGTGTGTGCCACTTTTTGAGTCGATCAAATGTGGCCTTCTCTCTGCAGAAGAAAGCAGCTCACTGTCTTCATTCTGTCCAGAGTCTGAGGTCCAGCCTGTCTCAGTCCGGGTCCTGTCCTGCATGTCTGGAACTCTGTGTCTCTGCACGCTGAAGCTGGGCCTTGTTCCCAGCTGTTTGTTCAGCTGGCCCACCAGCGGGGACACCAGGGACTCAAAGCCCCCCCCTCTCCTTAGCTCTACCCAGGCCCAGTCGGACACCTCCACTGCCGCACCCACCCAGGTCAGCAACCTCCTGACCCCCTCACCCGGGGGGTTATTTGCTCTGAGGCCATCGTTTAAGAAGGGTGTTTTGTTCGGCCCTCATTTGGTCTGCAGTCTCGGCTTAGGCTCTTGTCATCAGTGCCATTGATCTGCTCCAAATGAGCTGATTAGGGGGCCTGCAGTTTGTCCTGGTGAGTGGGCCGGCCTGAGCTGGGCTGAGCTCTGCAGGATGAGGAGGGGGTGGTGGTGTAGGGGGTTATGAGGATGAAGGGGTCAGAGTGCATGCAGAGCAAACACAGTTGGGCATTCAAGCTCAAAGATGCAACATGAAATTAGTGGTTGTTTGAAGAGGATTGGATCAAGCCCGTTTGGCTGTGTTTGTTATGTCTCCTCAGACCCCCGTGGATTCAGTGATGCTGCAGCGCTCAGATCAGTGTTTGGTTTTCTCTAATGGACCCCCTTTCACTTTGTTTTTCAGCTCTGTGAAGCTTTCTCTAATGCCGTGTGGCCTATTTTAAGCGGCGTGCATGCATACCTACCATAGGCGTAGATTTCTACTGACTTCCAAATGCTGCAAGATTGTCCCCTCCTAACCTAATCCCTCACTGGTCAGGTTCCTGCAGGGTTACTGGGTCCTTTACAGAGACTTTACTGTATTATAAGGATGAATTATATATCTATATATTATAAGGCATTAATAACCACAATGTTCAGCCTTCATGCTTCTCAAACTTCAGTGAGTCATCCTTTCCTTTTCCCCCTCTGTTCAGTTTTAAAAAAATCCACTCATTATAATGGTTATCACATGGATTTTATTTATACGGAGGATTAGCCACAGCATGTCCAACTGATTGGTTTCTTGCGTCATTCAATCAAGAAAATCTCAGAAACAGCAGTCAGACCACCACAAATTACAAAACTGTAACTACATCGAATGGGCAGTTCTCTTAGAAACAGAGAACTTTTAGATATGAAACCCACATCAATAGATAGACACATTAACGACTTATATTTGATTCATTACTTTGGGGGTTAACTGTGTGAAAAAGATCTTGATGTTTGGCATTCTGCCACCACCATCTATTTTTATCAGTCAGACAGTCTTAAACTCCCAGTTTCATGATTCTCTCCAGTCTGGATCAGGAAAGAAGATTTAATCTCGTTTGGGTTCATCCCCAGAGTGAACAGAGGAAGTGGACAAAGCATCTTTGTTTTAGAGGAAGAACTTTTACAAAGCACTTTAAATCTGCACTCTTCCCAATGACCAGCAGGGGGAGATGCCCCTGGTTGTTAAAACATGAACACTGCACCCCCAATCATCTCTCATTGTGAGATATGGAAACAAACATGGTGCTATGTTGCTTTGGTGGAGCCAGCACATGCCTTTACTTCACCTGTGTAATACGTTAGCACCCATTAGCCGTTGTTTTGGCATCATATCAAATTACACTGGTGTTGATATCAACCAGAGGAGTCTATCCCTGCTGATGTGGTGTACTGGGGGAGGGGGTCGCTGGTGTCTTAATGAGTGAAAAAGTGCTGCAGATGTGCCCAAGTCAATGCCCAGAGAGTACATCAAATGTGGGAAAAAGTGCAATCTCAGTTCCCTGACAGTGGTAAAAACATAATAAGTTCCCTCTGGATGTCCCTCCAGTGTATAAAACATTGACACAGTTTCTTCTAAATGCCCTTCCAGTATTAAAAATGTGAAGAGGTGTCCTTGGATAATCTTTAAATGTGTAAATTCTATAATAGTATTGTCTTAATGCTCTCTAGATCACTTTCAAATTAGACAGTGTCCTCTGGGTCCCCTGTTAAATCCTCTTTCTTTCCTCTCACGGTGAGAAATGTAAATGAAAGGTATTCTGGAGGCCCTTCAAGTGTATATCTCTCTTTACTTTAGAAACTTACCTTTAAAATGTGATTGTTTAATTAGTTTATTTCTGTTTATCATATTTTGAGTAACAATACCCAACCAATTTTTTTATGAAGATGTGAAACAGCAGATTAGATCTTACTAGACTGCTCTTTCCTTCAAACATAAGCAACTTTCATTACTTGTTGATTATGCATGAATAATTTTGCTCAAAATTCCTGCAGTCTGATCAACAGAGCTGTCTATCAGTCATCTTTTCTTCCACACTGAACACTTGCACATAATCAAGCATGAAAAGCACTAACTATGATAACAGAAGGCAAATGTTTGTCCCAGTTTACATCTGTTTTAATTGAGGAGGCAGGCTTTGTGACATGTACCGCATACAGCCACCAGGGGGAGCTCTAAAGGTTCTGGCTTCACTCAGAATAGTTGCAGCAGATAGCATGCCATACTCTCAATCACTAATTTTGAGTATTTTCCATGCTGTGCAGCTTAATTCTATAAATTGCATAATCTTATTTAGAGTAGAAATGGAAAATAAACCACGTTATGTTTTTAGGCCTGACTCTATGTGATTGGAAAGTTGTTTCCATGTCTACAAGAGAGACAAGAACTCCAAATATGGCTCAAAAATAAGATGTTGTCAGTGGAAATATCAAACTTGAGGCTTCAGAGGCCAACACACAAACAAATGTGTGATCTGACAATGACAACATCTGTTTCTTTTGTGTAATGGAAGGTTTTACTCCTTGGTTAAGTGGTTTCTCACACACAAAATGAACCAGAGTCCATTTCAGCTCGACTAAACACAAAGGAGACAGCCACAGAATCTCCCGTCTACACTCACGCTTTAATGTGCGTCAAAGTTTGCCTCTTTTTTATCAGCCTTTGGACCTTTTAATTACAGTCTTAGCGTAATCTAACACTCCCACTTCTCACTCTGTAAACCGAGTGTCCTCCCTCCTCTCGGGTCAAGGATTAAAATGGAGACCCGGCTGAATGAGCCGCACATAGACACAGAGATAAGGAGGCAGAGACACAAAGAGGTTACCTACAATTACGGACACATTTGTAGAGGAAACACAAACAGAAAATAATGAGCAGTGTTGTCTATCGGCGGACACAGTCGGCTTATGCGTGGTCAGAGACTCTCTTCATAGATCTGATCTGAAACCAGCCACAAAGAGGTCTTTGTTTTCCCACTTGTTTACTGCAAGCTGATATTTTCCACAAATTGAGCTGGTTTATAGTGTGAAAACGTTTCTTCCACTCTGATAGTTAAACTGCAAGTATGTTGGACGGGTGTCATGTGCGGTAATTATCCAGAGTAGATGGAGCTGTTTTCCCCGGCTTAAGCTTCTCTTTTTTTTTTGCTCTGCTTCACTGTGCCACAGGTCAAAGTTCACGAGGTTAGGGCGGACGGACACTGTGTCCTCACATCCGTCTTCATTAGAGGTCTGGAAGTACTCAGTGGTCAAACTTCCTTCTCCTCCACTTCTTGCTCTTTCTTTTCAAAACTATCTGTCCATTACTGATAAACAGCTACATGAGAAGACGGAGCTTAGTAGTGTCAACACAGCGCTGCATGACATGATCCACCAGTCAGATCAGCAGTAAACAATGCCTACTCCCTCCAACAGGCTTTTCCTGCGCTGAATTAAAGTTTTAACTTGTGGAAATAAGGATTTTCATTTTGTTTACTCTGGACTTGTGACACGTTTGCTTGGATTAGAGCTGATAGGACACTTAAGTCACGTTTAAGCCCCTAAATGAATGCACTTATACAGTCAGGTGTCCTTAAGTGAACAGCCAGCACACTCTCACCTAAACTTGTTGTACTTAAGAGTGACTAAAACTCACAAAGTGCAACTTCACATGGCGTGGAAAATCACTAAATAAGGAGACAGAAGCTGCCAATCTTCAGCTAATGTGGAGCACAGTGTGGCTAACTCTGATGTTGTTCCTTTGAGTTGCAGCGTCATGTTTAAAGCTCCTGTTAGGAGTTTTTTTGACATTTATGAAATTGGCTGAAATTCCTAAAGATGCCTTTTTAGGATAAACAAAAGCAAACAAGACCATCAGAGACAAGATTGGCGATGTTTATTCTGTTAATTTTAACTCCTGAAACTGGTGATAGGTGATAAGCCGTTTTTTTACATTTCTGGCATCAAGAATCTACAAAAAATTATACATGTGTCTTTCAAAGATCAGGGGGATGAGATTTTTTACAAAGAAAACTATCTCAACATGTGAAGGACCTAATGAGAGAAGATTACGGTAGCTCATTCTGTTTGCTAGGTTAGCTTGAACTGTTCACAGCTGTGAACAGCTGTGAACAGCTACGAAGGCTGCATCCGCTGATCGTGGCTGATGGTAACCATTCAAGTTAATATGTCAATTTCCACCGGCTTCTTTCCATTCTGCTGCGGATCGCCGGACTTCGCAGCTGATCGCAAGAGTTCTATTTTTTCTGGACATCGGAGCATGGCAGTTAAATCCAGCACAGATTAACTTGTGCTGGAAAGGAAGTTGGGCAAGTTGCGGGGATGAACAAGTGAAAGGTTTTTAGACAGCATTTCATCCTTATGACACCATGGATGAGAGGATGCTGATTATCATGCGACTGCGCTTGAATCTGCAGGGTTTTGTAAGTTCCCGTGATTCCTACTGTCCGTAATCTGCTACGGCATTCGCCTCGCAAATGGATCTGGTAGGAATTGGCGTAAAGTGAAAATCGCCACCATTCCAGATCGGAGTTGTTCTGGTTGCGGTGAAGATTGGGTGTAAGAGTGGCTCATCTCTGGTCGATGGTAACTTTAAATGTTGGCTAAGGTAACATGAGTTATACTAGAGGACTGCTCAGAATGAGTCTGCACCTCAATATTATGTTTTTGAACCTATTACACCAAATTTTCTCCAGAGTTAAGTTATTGAAGAGGCTCTACATTGACAATTTACTGCTATAGTTCCTGTACTGAGCTAACTGGATGTAGCTTTATGTTTAATAGGCCAGTATAATAGAAGTATCTTCTCATTCAACCTCTTAAAATAAGTAAAATGAAAACAAATGTTGCATATTTTTATTGTACTGCAGAGAAAGTTTCAGGAGATTACTTAACAATGGAGCAGAACAACCAGGAAGAGCTCCCTGAGATGCTTCTGCTGATTTCCTCTCCTGATACTCGAGTCCAGCTGCTCCGCTATAAGATCACATCCCATTTTCTCAAATGTCAAAGCAGTCCTCCAAACCCACATAATGCAAACTTAACCCTCCTGTCCCTTTCATTGAATTCATCCAAAAACATGCTCACTCCAGTCATGTGGCTCCGGCTGTAAAGAACATCCTAAATCCCCTCAGAAGTTCTGCAAACCAGGGCCTATAGAGGAACATCAAACTGGATCTGAACTAGACCAAACTGGATTAAAGGAGACACTCGATCAAACCGGCGCAGACATAACACATGTGAGGGGACTGTCCCTCTTCCTCCCTGTGGTCCTTATCAGAACAATGACATCACTGTGGTGTTGTCCGCCTGTGACATTACCAAATATGTGGCGACTGTTGAGGGGGAAAAGGAGCAGAAGAGTGATGATGGGAATGAGAAGAAGATGGAAAGAGGGATGCATTGACCGAGACAGAAGCAGTGTTTGAAAGAGAAAGAGAGGGGGGATAAGAGGGAGAAAGCCTCGAGCTGCGGCTTGGCTGAACTCACCATGAACCTCTGCAGATTTATTTTCTCCAGAGCCTGTTGCTTGCTCAAAGGGGGCCAGATTTACATGCTTCTCCCCGGGCTGCTGTGCAGAGCGGCTCAGGGAGAGCTGAGGATGGGATAAGTGGACAATATGGAGCCTTTCTGAAGGTTACAAAGGTTAGAAGGAAATAAGGTCGCAGGTATAGAGCCCACTTTCTTCTCCATTACTCCCTGGCCTTGGGTTGAATATTCCTTCTTACCAGCTCGCCAAGCTAATTAGAAACACTCCCTCTATTAAGCGGGGTGTTTCATTTTAAACCCCGTCATTTGTTGCTGGCAGAGCTGGTGTGAGCCGATGGATCTCTGCTCCCACAGCTCGCCGCCTGCATCAACCAACGGTCGAGGTTATGTAATTTTTAACACGATCTGGTTTATGTAAGCTGAAACATAATGGGCCGCTCTGACACATGCACAGACAAGAGAATCGACAGGAATCAGTGTGTGCACAAAAACAGGTGTGGAAGTCATCTCAGGCCTTAAATTACAAGAAAACAGGAAGAAATCAACCGACACACTTGAAGTTTTCTATTCTCAGATATGTTGAGGTACTGCATTAATTAGCTGCAACTATCAATCAGTATGTTTACTTAACACTCGAGAAAACCGAATTATTGCCTCATTCTGATTAAGACCGGACAACTGAAGTGCATGTGAACACCTTAGTCCGACTCCAATCGGAGTTTGAGAACTCCGACTAAGACACCCAGATAATGCGATTGGAATTCGATTTTCTCTACCATGTAACCAGCGGAGTTGGAGTATGATCGGACAATGCATGTGCGTGTGCGCCACGCCCCTGTAACCCCAGATCAAAAACACCAGAGAAGAGGAGTAGCGTGCACCACATCTGTAGAAAAAGTAGCGCGTACATCATGTAAGACAAAAACAACGCTGTACGATTCTCCATCTTCTTGCTCGAAAACGCTCAGCGGCAGTTGTAGACACTTCTGATGTCTGGTGTTGTTGGGTCAACCAAAAACAGCGCCGCTAAAAGGACCCCTAGTTTTGGGGAGGGGGACACATTCACGTAAATAATTCGATTTTCTCAGCTGCATGTACACACAGTCAGGGAGAGAAGTGCGATTCGGCGAATTATGAGCTTTATCCAATTAAGCTGTGCATGAAAACGACTGAATGTATATACTGAATAAAACTGTTTATAGTAATTTTTGGGGGTGTCTAATGAGATTTATGACACTTTTTAAAAGCAGCTGCATCTTGTCGCTTCATCTACTGAATATCTGAAATAAAACAGTGAAGCTTCAGAAAAATCAACCCCAGAAACTCTTGTACAAGCGACCCTGCACGCAGCGCCAAAACTGTGGTAAAAATCTAAGACGTAGAAAATTCACCTCTTGTTTAGTTTAATTGGACTCTGTATGTGTTACCTTGTCAACTCCTTCCAGTAGAGTGTCAGTAGAGTATATCTTATCAAGACAGAATTGTGTGCAAGCTCACAGCTGAGGCCGCTGAGGAGGAGAGGAATTAACTAGCTGTCCTCTGACTCAACTCTCTGTGAGCTGCTTGTGGAAGCAGAGGTCAGCCACTCCGGCTTTCAGTTCATTTTCCCCTCCCTACATTCTGCTGTTTTAGCTGAGGAGGCCAGGGTGGGGGTGACATTAGGGGGTCCGAGGGAGGAAGGAAGGCCCACAGCTCCTGAACCCGCTTTGTCTGACAGGTAACGCTCAACACGCCTGTAGGAGCGGCCCAGCTGTGACCTGGAGGAGGGGGTGATAGGGTGAGAGGGCAGACAGGAGGTAATTGTAAAACAGCTCTGCTCACTTGATCATGATCTCATTTTTGATTTCACAACTTATGATCAAGACAATGGAAAACAACAGCATCAATGAAATTGCTGGTTGCAACACATTTTTAAATCTTTGCAGACTATTTTTTTTAGGACTTTGCAATTTTTGTTCTCCCTCCTCAGAAGAGTAGAGGAACTTTCTGTTGCACTCTTTGCTAAATATGTCAAGTTTACTTCCCTAACTGACTGCAATGCTAATACATTTAATTTGCTGAGTCAGATGAATTAGTGATAATGTGTAATGTGATTTTGTGTATCTCTGCTATAATCAGAAACAGAGAAGTTGGAGTGGAAAGATTTTAGTCTCCGGAGTCTTGGCGATTCTTTCCCCTCATATTTTGATTGGCCTGGTCTGCTTGTGTAATAATGCTTACATAACCTCCACATTGTAATGAAAAATAAATTAATGGGCGTCTTTTTTTTTCTCAAGGCAAGCTGGACTATCATAATATGTGTGCCGCTGTGATTTGAGAAAATGTTTAAAAAGAATAGAAAAGTTACAGGATAAATCTGAGAACTTTATTGCAATGTGACGGATTATAAAAGTTAGTGAGGTCCAGTGGTGTGTTTGTACGATTGGAGTTTAGCTGCTGGAGTGAACTTAAGAGGTTCTGGGCAGATGTCTGGAGCTCTGCCTGATTTCCAATATGGATATGAGACTCTTGACTCTGACTTCAAGTGATCCAAATCTGTCCCAGGACTGGAAAGATGTGGATGTTGACTAGTCCTGGGTTTGGATTGATCTGGATCTTGACCTCGTCCAGGATTTAGAGGATCTGGAACTTGGTCTGCCATTCTGCTAAGATGTGGGGTTTTCAGGGGTTTTAGCAGGGACACAAGGCATGTCTTAATCCTCAGAATTATCGCCTTCTGGCTATCGTCTTCTGTGCCTAGATCGTAAAAGACTGGTGCATCATCATTATTGGTCCCCGGCAGCTCACTTCCGTTGTAGCTTCTTTTATTTGCATCCTTTTATTTTCACACTAACTTTTTTTTCCATTGCCACTTTTTGTTACATCATTAACTTGTGTTGTGGCTTTTCTTTGTATCTGTACTGCTTCTTTTTACCTCCGCCAAGGAGGTTATGTTTTCAGTAGCGTTGGTTTGTTTGTATGTTTGTCTGTTAGCAACTTTACAGAGAAAGTAACAGACGGATTGACCTGAAATTTTCACCAGAGGTGCGTCTCAGCCCCAGGACGATCCCATTACATTTTGGTGGTGATCCAGATCGCCTTCTGGATCAAGGAATTTTTTTAAGGATTCTTTATCATTGTAAGATAGGGCAAATTGTGGAATTTTTGCATTTAACTCTGTAAAAATGGCCAGAGTCTTTAGTAAAAAATTACACAAAATGATCTCAATGAGTTTTATGAGGTGTCAAAAGTTGATCCTGATCCAGTCAAAATTCCGGATACTGTGATCCGGAACACACAAAAATAAGGGTGTTGTTGGAATTTTCAATGCTGAAAGATAACCAATAAAGAAACAAGGAAGTGTACGCCTACAAATATTGCTTAACTAAATCATGCATTTATGTATCTAATATGAGCTTTGTTGTTTTAGGAACATTATGAACAGTGAACATACCAGTTTAAACACAAATAAAATTTAATAAAAGACACGTAGCAGTAAAAGTTTTGGTGTGAATCACAATATAAGGGGGGACATGAGCTGCTTGGCGGAGGTCTGCGCTCTCCGAGTGCTTTTCTAGTTTAATTTGCAGCGAGCTTTGGTTTCTTCCTTTTTTTTTTTTTTCATCGCTAACTTCCGTTGTGACTTTTTTATTTTTATTTTTTGCATTTTTTTTATTTGCAGCAGTGGCGGTTCTCGGCCACCGTACCATGGGACTCATTTGGAGAAAGGAGCAATGAGAGACGGCTGGTTTGTTGGTGAGTTTAAAGCCTGTCTACAGTACTAATGTTGGTACTTTCTCAATAACTACTGTAAATTGCTGAAGCCTGGACACCTTCCCACAAATGTTGATTAAAGAACCACCATTGTACGTGTAAAACGGGTTTGCATATATTAAATAAAGAACAATCAATCCTAAGCTGGATCCGGTTCTTGTTGGTGTAAAATCTCATCATTAGTCAGAAAACTTTCTGCTCCAGACTCAGCCTCATCATCACTTTCACCAACAACATCTGTTAAAACATCAAGTTAAAAGCAGAGAAACTTTCCTGCTCGTCTCAATCGTTGGCTCATAGTTCGCTTTAGTAGCAGTACTTCATAGTGCTTCAGTAACACCAGCTCTGATTGGTCAGCAAGTCAAGAACACACGCAATGATTGGCTCCCCGCTTCAACTCCAATGAGTGTGGGAAGGCTAAAAGGGAGGCTAACTAAACAATAGCGGTTTCAACTTAAAATAAAAGGTTTCTAAACTCTCTTGTAAATTCCAGATTAGATTAACCAATGCGGAGCTTTTCTATGAAGCTTTGAAGACGCATATGAACCTCCAGGCTGAGTTTAATCACTTAAATAAGGACAGGAATGCGCTGTAGTCCGCGAACAACACTCGGAGGCAGACATGTTTTTAGCTGAGCTACGGTGGCCCCGATGACCATATCACACGAAAAGCAAAAGACAAAGACGAAAATTTTGTCAGAAACGCGAATATTTTTCCATAAAACACAAGAAAAGTATAGAGTACAATAGAATTAAACTGAATTAATCCTCCAAAGGGTAAATTCATATTGTCAGAGCAGCAATAGATACGACAGGACACACAAGAGGTATCATCAAAATATAACAAAACATCCCTTTTATTCTCTGAAATATCCTTACATTCTGCATTTTCATGGCAACTCTGTGTGTGTTGTGAAATGATATTGTGTTCAATGTAGCATTTTGAGGTTTTGGAAAAATATTTCTACTCCTCTTGAGATTATTATTATTATTTTAAGTGTTTGAAGGAAAACTGGATGGAGAAAACGGACACTTAGGGGTTAAAATATGAAGTCTGCTTGTAATAATGGCCACATGCTAAGACTGGTTTGATTTGTGTATGGATAAAGTGCTTTTTCTCAGGTTTGAGACTTAGAGACTCGTGTGATCATGTGCTTAAAGAGAGCTGAGGCATATGGAAGTCAATATTTCAAGTGATGTTTCAATTAGAAACGTCCAACACCACATTATTACACTCCTGCAGACTCCCCAAAACCACCAAAACCACTCACATAGCGCACTACACATACACAAGTACAAACACCCTAAAACCACATGTTTTTGCTCGCATAAAGGCTGCGCTGTCTTTATGTTTTCAGGCTGGTGGTGTTATCAGAACTATGCGCACACACAAGCACACACTCCGACACTCGGGGGCAAGAGTGGGAGGAGCAGATCAAAGAAAGTGTGGTTAAAAAAGAACACCCAGGGACACCCACCTCCACATAAACAGGGGATCTCCTTACCAAAAACAAAGAGGCCTGAGCAGCCAACCCACATCCAGCGGAACAGGGAGGGGTGAAGGAGCTTAGGGAGAGGGGAGGAAGGGGGAGGGAGGGATCAGAAAACATGTAAGATGGGCGGAAAGGTAGAGCAAAATCATTCATTACTGTAATTACAACCTGAGCCCACTCACTCTTTCATTCAGAAAAGAGGAGAAAAGAAGCAGAGGAGAGATTAAACTTCCCACAAAGGTGTTTACCGCACACAAGGAGAAATCTTTTTTTAATTCTTTCTTCAAATGAGTCCTCCAAAGGCATAAACAGAGAGGAACACACATGTGACGCTCCACGGGGGATCCTTAATCGGTTCAAGTGATGAGGTTTATGTCAGTAAATAACATGAGCTATGAAAGTGCTGTGTCAGGGTCTACATCAGGGTATTTATTTTCCCATAAAACATCTGAATCATGCTCTCACTCACCACCTCACAAGAGTCGTTATACCTCCAAAGCAGAGCTGTGTTTGAGTGCCAAATAAATATTTACTTCTTTGTTGTTTTTGCCCTCATGTTTCAAACTGGACACAAATCATAATTGAATGTCTTTGATGAATAGTTTCACAATTTAGGAAATGCTTTTATGTGTTTTTTTTCTACCAAGCAACAACCTCCAGTGTTGATGTATGAAGTCCAAAACAGTGCAGTTCTTGATGTCCGCCATGAAGGTTAACATTGACACCCATGTTAAAATGCCGATTGTTATGGCGGATATAAACACGTTTAAAGCCGGGAACAAAAAATAAAAAAGTTTTGTAAAGAGTTGAACTTGTTAACTTTTTGAAAAAAAAAAAAAAAAGAGGTAATTATAACTGTTTGAATGTAAGTAGTTGTTAAAAATGTGGATAAACTTTTGTTAAAGTCACTTGGACTATTACAGTTCAGTTTATGTCTTAGGCTACGTTTACACTGCAGGTTATGATGCACAATTCGGATTTTTAGTTAAGTCCGATCTTTTTGTGCGGTCAGTCACATTAGAACAACGAATGCGGCATCCAATGTGAACAGAATGCGTCCAAAAGTGACCCGCATGCACACAAATTGCTTTCCGCGCCTGTTTGTGTTGTCGAACAATGGTGACATTCTTTGCATATTGATGAAGTATAGGTCAGATTAACGTGACCTGAGCATCCACACTGCAGTCACATCGGATTCATATCCGATTTACATCCACATACAAAAGAGGCCTGGGTTGGATTTGAAAAAATCAGAATTGCACTGTTCACACTTAAATGAAAAAATCTGATATGTGTCACATATGGTTAAAAATCGGAATTGACCTGCAGTGTGAACATAGCCCTAGACGAAGCTCATGGTTAAAAGATAGATTAGTTAAATGTGTTTAAAAAATAGACCACGCTATATATTTTTTTATCTTTGTTGTGTCTGTAAAAGCGAAGTTTCAGTGTCACCCTGTAAGGACAATACTTAAACACACCACCAGAGGGCGCGCAGTCCCTGTGAAGCACATGATACCCATTAAAGAAACACTTTAGCCGAGCTGAACACATGCGAAACTTCATTTGTTTTCACATACAGGTGAGTTAGTAGGCTTAAATCAAACATCTACAGTACATCCCAGTATGAGGGGTACCAGTGCTGTGAATGTTTTTCCGTAGTTTTGCTGTTTTGAATCTATTTTGAGATGTTGCTATTAGGCTAGCACACCTGTTGCTAATCCCCACAGGGAAGTACTGATGAGACACATGGAGGGGTTTGATTACTTTGCAAACAAATTTTCAGTAAAATAAGATGATAGGGTTCAACTCAAGGGAAACTGTTGTAACATTTACGGTTAACACCATACTTGAGCTCATTTCTCCTTTGCACACACTATACAGGTATGATTTTTAATTTTAATCCATCAGTTTGGATGAAGTGTAGTCTAAGGGTTTTACACAATTACTGAAGTGACTGTATGGTTGGGGCATCTTAGGTTTTCTCCCCATGCAGGAGACTTTCAGCTTGCCTCATCTTCACCTCAAGGTTGAGTCAGCATTTCCAATCTGGTGTCTGCCATCATGAGGCTTAACCCCACTTCGTAACCTCATGGATGGTGTAACTGGAGACACTGTGTTTCATGCAGCCCATGGTTGTTGCTAAGATATGAGGATCAGTAAATTGCATTAAAGCAGCTGATATGAATATTTTTACAATAGTGATGAATTAAAGGAGGTGTTGGTTAGTCTTTCAGATCTCTACTCTTGAGTGGCAGATGGGGCATACCTCCCTCATGCCTCTATATGAGAATTTTAATATTGTAAAAATTGTTGGGCGACCTTTCACAGTCATTTTCAGCTTTCATTATGCCAGTCGATGACACCTATAAAGGATGTTTGCTGTTCATAAAACTAATTTTTGAATCATTTTGTTCTTATCATACAAAGTTAGTCATGGCTTGTGGGTGTTACTTTTTCTTGTAAAGTCATGAAACAACTCAATGAGGGTGACTTTTCAGGAACAAGGGACCATTAAGGTGTTTTTAGTCCCAGGGTATTGGGTCGGTCCGTCAAAGACCACATCTAGACGTCAGTGTGACGTGCAAAATAGGTTAGAAATTTCAACCTCCAAATTGGACCTTTTTTAGACGTTGCTCTGACGTTTAGAATTTGGACGTCATCTGAAGACCAAATCTAGACGTCGGCATAACTTGCAAAATGGATTCAAGATTTACACGTCATTTTTGGACCTCTTTAAGACGTTAAAATGACATCCACGTTTGTACCTCATTGTCGAAAAATGTGGTAAATAGATGTCATTTTGATGTCGCATTGCGCAGTGGGGAAATGGTACTCCACTGGGAGGCTGAAGTCCTGGGTAAATAATGCAAATAAGAACAATAACATCTATGTCTGACCAAAGGCCTCAATAAGGTGCAAAGTGGGACATGTAACAGCCAATAGGCCAGACGAGGAGATGGTACAGACCAAACACAAAGCTCAAAGGAGGTTCTTGCCTGTTTTCTATACATCAATATTAACAAATACTTGCTCACAAATTAGCCACAATATTCAATCAACAGTTACATAAGAAGGTTTACTCTTTACCAGACAGTCTTAAAACCCTTTTGCTGCAGCCAGCACCTGGTTAGATTAGCCTGGCAGAAAAGGAGAGAACAGTCAGCAGTCCAAAGGTCACAAAATCTGAATATTAGCAGCTATAATGCTCTTTAATTGGCACATTTCATCTTATTTGCCTAATCCACTCTGTAGAGCAGGTTTCCCCCTGAATAAACAGTTGAATAAGTGGTATCAGTCTCGGCATCTGAGTCTCAACAGGAAAATAAACGAGTTCATTTCCCCTGAAGGAAAAAACAAAGTGACAGAACCGAAAATTGATATCAGATCATCAAATATTAAACAGAATACACATTCTGTGCTCTCAGAAACTCTGAGGAAACTTCTCTTTAGCAGTGACTCTAAAATCCCTTTCCCTCATCACTTTACATAACAGACTCCGGGCTTCAAACTATGTCTGCCTGTGTTTGTGGAACATGTTCTGAAGTAGGTTGACTCACTTTCTGACCACAGCTTGTAGCCTCTTGGTTTCTTTACAGCCTCCCCTCAATGTGTTTACCTTGCTCTCATCTCCGTGTCCCTCAGGACTCCTTAACCACCACCCTGGGTGTCCCTCTGGGGGGAAACAATCGGCCGAGCGGAGGAAAGGAAACAAAAGCTCTGATGTGATCTGAGGACATCAACAATGCCTGGAAAGTTCACCTGCCGTCACATACTGCAAGGGAAGCCGTTTCCAGTCATTCAGGAGACCCACAGGTGTTTTTTCCATGCTCGGAAATAAGCATCAAGTAACACTAAGTATAAAATATGATACTGCGAACGCACAGAAAAGTAGACAATAAGTCTGCTTATATGCATGTATATCAAATGTTTTATGTATAGAGTTTGTGGTTTGTGCTGGGTATGTGGTCCAAACTGGAGGCCTGTTTGTGGAAGAACTTGATACAGTGAGGAAAGGAGACAGTATAACTCATCCGTAACATTTCCTCTGTAGTTATCCTTTGATTCTCCCACAAAGAGGTCGCAGACATGGCTTTGTTAGGTTTTGGTTTTTGCCTCCATTGTGTATGTTTGAGTGAAGGTCATGAGTCTCAGTCAGGAGGACAAAGTTTCAGACTCATCTGGAGAGGGTGGGTAAGTGCTTTTGTTTTCCTAACTGGCGCAGAGACAGAGCACAAGTGACACCTAGTGGACTGGAGCAGTACTGTGTGGGAAGTGAGGCCTTTTTTAAACACTTGATCTGATTCTTAAAACACTTGACTTTTGGTTTTATGTCTCTCACACTTCACCTTCAGTCTTGTTCTGGACACTTTGAAGAATTACTCGTCTTTGGTATTGTTGAAATGAGCTTTTACATTCAGGCAGTGAGTCGAAATCCTTTTAGATTGAGAGGTAAATGATTGAAATTAAGCTAAAAAGGGGGTAAATATGAACAAGAGAAGTTGGTGTCACAGTATGTATCCACAGAGATGTATATTCTGTGTGGTATTTAAGGGAAACTATGAGTGAAATGTTGAAAAATTGCTCAAAAAGTCCCAGGACATATACCTGCGAGTCTCTTCTTACAAGTTTCTTGTCAATACTGATTGTGAGTTATACACAAAATGATGTCTGACTCTCCTGGAAAATGAATAGAGTCGTATGTTAACAAAGATATGAGCAACATCAACAGCTGAATGTAAAATTGGTAGAAAAATCTGTAATCAATTTGTGCTTTTGTAAGTGTTACAGAGCTAATATGTTTACCCCACTTGCTTTTATATAAGATTTATTTAATAATTTGTAGTTGTGGCTGTATGGCGTCTCTATTTTATCATGCAGTATTATACCTGATCAGCACTCACAAAACTGTATCTGTATGAGAGACATGCTGCGATGAGAAGATTAGCAGCAGGAAGAACAAAAACTGTTTATTAAAGGCACCATTGGGGGTTTTAAAGTGGGTGAGAAATTGATAGTATTGCCTCTTTACAACCGCCAAAGGCAAACATGATTATCAGCCAAGAGACTTTGATTTTTCTGTTGCGATTTTTAGTATACAGGACAAGAGAGAAAATGTACTGCTTGACCACAGGGGGCGCCAAAACCAACACAAACCAAGCTTTACTGTTTCTTGTCGCAACTTATGGAATGAATAGCTGTTTATGTAAATGAGTCCAAGCCAGGTTACTATGGCTGGTACTCTATAATACGTGCATATAACAGCACTTTGCATCCATTAGCATGTTAGCTAGGCTCAATAGTGCTGACCCCAATACGCCATCTGTATGACTGAGCACAACCTATTTTCTTCCTGTTTGGAGAGAAAACGTTTATTGAGCCAGGTAGCTGCAGTGACGTGTTTTTGAGCCTTACCTCCAGTTTTCACCACTACCAGAACGGCAGCGATTTCTGCTGTCCACCAACTCCTACCGGATCCGTTTGTGAGGTGAATTTCATGGCGGATAACGGACAGCAGGAATCGTGAGAACTCACAAGAACCCGCGTATTCGCGTGGAATCGCGCGATATCAAGTTGTCTTTAGCCACATAGGCTAACCATATAAGCAGTAGATTGTGTCCTTCCAGAGGAGGAAATCGACTTCTAGACTTCTAAAATCAGCATCTCCTCATCCACGGTGTCATCAGGATGAAATGCTGTCTATAAAACTTTCACTTGTTTCTCCCCGCCTGTTTGCATGGTGTGAAATACGATCAGCCTGAAATACAGAGTTTTTAACATTTTTTTAGAGAAGCCGGATGTTTTATTTTGTGTCTGTGACCAACTTCCTTTCCAGCAGAGGTTAATCTGTGCCGGATTTACCCCGCATGCTCTGTTGTCTGGAAAAGATAGAACTCTTGCGATCAGTTGAGGAGTCTGGCGATCCGCAGCATAATGGAAAGAAGCTGGTGGAAATTGACACGTTAACTTTAATGGTTACGATCAGCAGATACAGCCTTTTAGTAGACATTCTGGATGCGATGGAAATTGGGGGCTAGGTGCTCGAATCCAGTTCAAGTTTAGTGAAGTGATGACAGCTAGAAGTCACTTTAAGTTTTGAATGACTTTCCAAGTTTGTTTGTGAGCTTTAGAGGAGCTGGTGTCTCCAAACAGCCTTTCCCCCCTGTTTAGCTTTAATGTCAGGCCTGCTGCCGGGCTTAACTTTATTATTTTCCTTAATTATTTTACCAGGAAAGCTTCAACTGAGTTAAAAGGTCTCTTTGACAAGACTGTATCAGCCAAGACAAACAGCACATTTGAACAAAATTCGCACACGAGGACACATGACAGGTTACATCGGGTCAACATATCCGGGGTCACACAGCGTGATGGTGTCCTCCAACGCCATTCAACAAATCAAGATGCACTTTTGAGATGAAGATTGATTTCTCCAGATCTAACTTAATTGGATCTTGTCACATTAACAACAATAAAACCCTAATAACCTCATGCATTTGGTGAGTTAAACCAAAATAGTTCACACCTGTCAGTCAGTGAAGTATGGAAATGATTCATAATCTCGTTTAAGAACCACAAACATGTGAATATGAGGGTTATTAGATCCTATTAGCCTAAGTTAACCTCTTTTCAAACATAAATGGTGCGTTTCATGAGAGATGACTGATTCCTCCGACATAAAAGAGCTCGTATCGAGATGATAAGTCATGAGTTATACGACCTGTGGCCTTCCAGGGTGAATTAAAGCTTCTTCACATGAATTCAATGTTACAGAGTCATGCTCTGACAACAGCCTCATAACCAGAGTGAAGTCAGATGCTTCCCTCCAAGAACTGGATGCTGTCTTTCCTGAGCTTCAGTCCAACATTACATCATGCATACTTGAAGACTTTGCTGTGATTTCAAAGCACAGGGTGGGCCCTACGTTTTTATGAGCCTTTTTATTTATTTATGTGTTTCTGTCCATTTTTCCTCCTCCCCTCTCTCTTCCCAGTTTTTTTTTCTTGTTATTATAGAGAGTGTAAGTAGCGGTCAGGACATCTGCATCCATCTGTATGTTTCTCTTCTGCTGACCTGAAACAACTCCCCTTCCTCCATAGATGTCGAGCAGACACGCCTTTCTAAACAGAGTCCTCAATGACTGATTGTGTGGACTCCTGTGAAGCTCCTCTCCTTCCACCCATCAAACTGCTGCTCCCGCTACGGCCCATTTAGTAATATACATAGACACACGTGTGCGCGGCCTTTGTATACAGAAAGCGGTGTGTGTCATGTAAATATAGTTACACACAGTCATTCTAACACATCCATGCACGAGTACAGAGCAGCACAGCGGCCTTGTTTCTGCTGATGCTCCATCTGCAGCCCAGATGTGCCGCAGCGCTCTGAGGTGCCGCTGAGCGCAGGATGTTTTGCATTCCCTCTGTGGAACATGTGAGGCGTTCCTGTGGGCCGTCCGTCTGGCTGCATTAGTCTGTGTGTCATGGGGATGTGTTCGCCTCAGCCCCTCGTCGGCTGGCTCCAGGGGGTTTGGGTACGACTGTTAGCGGGCTAATTCGGCACAGATGTCGGGTGCTGAATCAGGTGGTGAGAGGAAACTCCGGTACCGGCGGGAGGGAGACACTGGCTGCCCTGTGTGGTGGTCCAGCCCCTTCATGAGCAAATCCTCCCAGCTTGTTCCTGTTTCAGTCAAAGCTGAGGTGGAGAATAGTAATGTTTTTATGGTGTACTGTATCTGCTCTCTAATGACAAGACTGTTTCCTTTTTTATGACTCCAAAAACTCCTAAAACTGATTTTATATTTTTGTTTTTGAGTTTCAGAGGAATAAAACTTTACAGGCCCGACCTGCACGACTTCGGAGGAAGGGAGTAAACGCAAGATAAAACTTTCTGATGTTGTTTACTTAACCTTACTCTGAAAGGGTGTTTACATCACGGAGTATTTTTTTATGTTCTTGTAATTTTGCAAAAGAAAGTAATACAACCACTATGGTTAATCTTTAACTTTGATAATCGATAAGAAAAGTTGGATTAAGATAAATACCATTATCTCCATTGTTTTGCAAGTATTAAAACCTTGTGCCCACATTATTTGTCATAGTGGGTCATGTATCTTTTTACCATTGCATCGCATTTACCTCGAGCTAATTTTAAAGCCAACCAGTCAGAATCAAAAAGAGGCGGGCATCTGTTAGCAAGTTTGTCAACGACAATCGCAGATGTCTGGGAGGTACATTTCCCAGTGCTAGAGCTAATACTAATGCTGTGACACCATAGACCGTGTATATAGAATGGACGCCGTCTGCCTCCTCGCTGAGTGAAGCCACCCCAAGAACAGCACCCTCTGGTGACAGGCTGCAGTATAGGTCATAAATCCCGCCTCCGCCAGCAAAGCTTATGGAGCTGTGGACATGTAGTTATTGCAAGACTGGTTTGTGCTGGCTTGCTGTTTGAGACAAGCGTCATCACAGCGACTCCCGCCCAATGTGTCCAATGCTATTGCACAATGTTGGTTTCAGGAAGTGGAGAGAAAAAAAAGGAATACAGAGAGCTTTTTGGCTTCAAATCCGTAGACTGGTGGATGGCGGGAACCAAGTTGTCCATAGTATATACAGTCTCTGTTTGACACACAGTTTGTCTCTTTGTGAAATGCCATCGAATGAAAGCTATTATAAAGCACAAAGAGCACTGTAAAACAGACGTAATGTTAACTACTTGGAAGGTAGCAGAAGTTCGGCAATTTTTGAGTCTGCCAGCGCAGACTCATAAAAACTCGCCATGGACAGTATATCAATATCATCTTTAAGCTTGATCATTTTTAATCCTTATAAATACTGCTAAAGCATGCCTTTACTGTAGTTATTAAAACTGATGTCCAACATTTTAAACCTTCAACACTTAATATATTCTCATTGAATTTGATCAAAATGAGAAAGAAACACCTCAAGTTTGAAATTCACCTCTTCAAATCTAAACCAGGCCACTAAAATGTGGATTACAACCAGGAAAGATTGCGTCATCCCTGCTGTCCCCCCTCTGTTTTTACTAGTTACATTTCATGTAGTAAATGTGCAGCTTATTGTGCAGTTAAAGCCGCACAGGAACTCTTTAATTTGCACAAACCTTGGAGAGGAAGTATCAGGGACATGACACAGATATCATTAGCAGCAGTTTGCTTCACAATGAAGACGTCACAAGTGGAAACTTAACATTAAATAAAGGAATATACTTAAAATCCCATGTTTTCTTTAAATTTCGATTTGATGAATCAGCTCCTGTCTCTTATAGACGACAAACCAGTGTCGTGTTGCTTTGTCGGTACTGAAGTTGGTATCTGAACAGCTCCTTTCGGGCTCATTTCTTTCGGCAGTACATGCCGTTGGCCGGCGCCTCCACAGCTGGCAGACGACATATTCCATCCCAAGCAATCGTGGCCCTCACCACCTGCTATAGGGTCATGGTTATAGTGTGAGCCTGTTTAAGATCTGCACTGTGTGTGTGTGTGGGGATGTGTGTATGTGCGTGTGATGGGTGTCTGCTTATAGAGGAAGAAGATGCTTTAATACACACACATGTAACTGACACAGCATGAGGCTCCATTGTGTCCTAATCAGTATACCAAGAGAACTGAATAACCAATATGTCCTCCGTCCTCCGCTCCAGTTGAGCGAGTATGTCCAGATAGAGACGGAGAGGGACGGAGAGCTGGAATTCCTCTTTGATCACGGCGTCCGTTGGTCAATGGGACGTGGCGTTTGCCGAGGGGGTGCGCAGGCTGAGGAGGCTGCAGGGGCCGGAGCAACAGGGAGAGAGTGCTCAATTGTCTTGTCCCTTTCTTTTTATATTTCTCAGGGACATACACCCCCACCAAGAAGCCGATACCGAGGTCAGGACCTTCTGCCCCCCCCTTCGTTTTTGCTCATTCTTGACGGACGCTCTCTGTCATGTATAACTGCTGAACAAACCCCCTTTCCTCCCTCAACTGTCTCCCACAAGTACTTTCTTGCCACCCTGCTCCTTTATGCAGGAGGTGGAGGTCGAGGCGTTGGCTTGGGGGTGGGGACGAGTTGGTCTGGAAACTTTTTTTTTTTTTTACATAAAAGAGACAAAAACTGACAAAATCTGGACAAAGACAAATTGACTGCGAGTGTGTTTTAGTTCTGGAAGCATCTGGTAGTTTTATAAAAAGCATTTCTAAGAAGCAGAAGGAGGCTGCTGTTTGTTTCAAGAGTCTGTTGTTATTTACTCCATTGTTACGTGAGCGGGCGAGTGTGCAGCCAAGCCATCAAAGAACAGAACATTTGGTCGTTAACAGAACTGTAGTGTTTGACAGATGTATAACATATTCTCTTTCTTGGAAATGCTTTATGGAACAACAAGTCTGCACCCAAAGCATCTGCAGCGTTGAGAAGAAGCCTTTACAGGGCCTTTAGCTTTTATTATTCCCGTTTTCTGGCATAAACTCAAAACCTGTTCGTGTCCAGCATGTGGAAAACAAGAAGCAGAGTGTCACCAATCCACAACTGAAAGAAGAAAGGACAGATGATTGGATTATTCTGCTTTTTTCAAGAGCTAACAATAGTAACATTGATTGTTCAGGCAGATTAAAGTGGTCGGTGTGCAGCGCAGAAGAGTAAGACTGAAGTTTTAGAGTCTGTGTTTGAAGCAGTGACACATTTAGATTAATAGATAGTTTGACATGGATGTGGTGGGAACACAGATGTTCAACATCTGAAAAGATTTATCTAATGAAATCTCTCAATAAACAAATTAAACGCTCTGCCCGTGTGCAGCTGTGATACTGACGATCCATATTAGATTAATATAATCTAATAAATCCAGGACGCATCAAAAGAGAGCCAAACAAATCTGACACTTCTGGGTCAAAACAAGTTAGTCTTGTTTAAGTAAAAGTCGGTCGCATATTCGTCATTACTTTTAGTCAAAGTGTTTCCCGTCTATGTCCAACATCTACTTCAAACACTTCAGCTCGTCTCGTCTCTGTGGTTGATGTTCGCTAAATGAACGCCGTCATTCATTCTCATCTTTGAAGCCAAAACGTCGTCCCTGCTGGTGTTGACAAACAAAGACCTGTGTGACTGTGACTTGGCTGGTCGTGTGGCCGGACAGACTTGATATCCCTGACTATAACCCAGAGCCGGCACAAGCCTCAACAGGGCCCTAAGCAACATTTGATTATGGGGCCCTCTATTTCTGCCAGTAATATTGATCGTTGATCACCTTCACCTTCACAAATCTCTTTAACATTCCATGACATGCAAATGTACCTTTATCTTGGCATGTTTTCTCTTCTTCCTCTTTCTTCCTCTTTCTTTTCTCTGTTCCTGAAGGATACGTCCTTTTTTGCGACATTGTTTCGCCCCAAAACTACCTGCTCTTTGGATGATCAGTGCACATTACACAGCAGGAGGCACATAACGGTAGCAGAGCTTTAACATATCGGCAGTAATAATCATAGGCCGACATCAGCAGCAGCACTAAAAAATTTTTATTTTATTTTATTTCCTTTTTACAATAATATATATTTGATCATACAGAAAGCATCACTCATACATGCAAAATATAAAAAATATTAATTATTATTTTTTTTTTTTATTGCTCTTGGGGGCCCCCTACTGGCTGCGGGACCCTTAGCAGGCGAGTAGTTCTCTTATGCCTTGGGCCGGCTCTGCTATAACCAAACTCCACAGTAAAAACATACCCATAAAATGTCAAAGATCCCTCTCCTCAGGTCTAGAAAATCCACAGCAGAACTTAATCTTGTGTTGATTTGAGGCAGAGACAAACTCTTGTGCTGGTGTTTTATATATTTTCTCCCTGTTTGTCCTCGACTGTGTTAATCTGGAGAATCTGCAGAAACTGTTCATCATCATGGTGTTGAACCCGCTCTTTTGAAAATCAAGGACACAAAAACTTTTATATCAGAAACCATGTGTCAAAAAAAAAGTTTTTAAGTGTATTTTAGTTTTATAGAGAAGCCGATCTGTGATCTATTAACATTACAGAGACAGAGCTTATGACCTATACTGTAGGTGGCCACCAGGGGAGCTCTAAATCCTTTGGCTTCAACCCAGACTGATAATTATAGTGTTCTATGTATACACAGTGATTTTAAGAGGTTTGATAGATGAGTGGGGTTTTTTACTCAAGATGATTTTATTTAAAGCTAATTTAATTTTGCTTCATGTTTAATCTGATTAAAATAATTTGATAACCTTTGCAAAGTAATCTGATTATCTCATGTTTTTAACTGGTTATGAAACAGACTGAAATCATCACTGATTTAACTTTATGACCTACAAAAGCAAAACAGACCAAATCTGTCATAAACAGGGAAAACAGCCACGAATTTATGAGCAAAATATTATATTTAGCAAACTACTGTGGTGTCGGTCAAGACAGTGAGAGGTGGATGTAGCAGTGTGGATGTAATGTAGAGGTTCACCATCCAATGTGTCTGAGTGAGAAATAGTTCAGGGACGATGTTTATTATTGGTAATTTGCAACGACTTTGAGGATTTTATCATCTGTTTACCCAAATTAAAAGATCCTGCAGAAATCTCTGTCGAAAAAAAAGGCAAATCTGATAATTGATTCTGGGTGGCTGTGATCTTTAAACCCTCAGCTGGCACAGAGTCATAACAGACATGACTCTGCAGTGGAAATCACAGCACGGACTCAAAGTCACATCCCAAAACCTCCAGTCTGTGAACAGAGTCTGTTGCTGCAACATCAACAAATGCAAGTTAATCAAATAAACGTGCAAATGAATGTCAAATTAATTGTCTTTGCACTATTTTCAATGAAATAGGAACTGAAATGATGCAAATCATCAGACTCTGCTTGCATCAGCCTTTCTTATAGCATCTCAACTCTTTGAATTAAGTTTTAATAAACAAGTTTAATTATTTGACCCTCTTTCTGTACTTGAATGTGGAATAATGCTTTCAGTCGATCACCAAAATTTGTCATAAAGTGACCCTGTGAATTGGAAAATGAACAAGTTGATCAGCTGTATCTTGAATTTATCAAAGAAAACGAGTAAAAGTGAGAAGCTGCTGCTCTGGCGGCCTCTAGTGGATGAAAAATAGAAAATAAATAGATATTTATATATGTTTATAATATCTTTGTTGTCCAGCAGAGGGCAGCATGTCTCTGAAATTACATATTAACTCAAAGGTAGCAGCCAACTGTGGGCTTTTTCTGCCCCTCTGTGCAGTTTCTTCATGTCATACTTTGCCTTTTATTTTTACTTTTCCCTCACTCTGTCTTTTTACTCTTATTTTCTATCTTCTCTTTTTCAGACGTTTGTTTTCTCTCTTTTTTCCACTGCCAGTTTAGTGGAGTTTCACACACACAGGCAGAAACGCTCAACATATGGTTTGCCTCTTGAGTTGTGTAGCTGTTTTCCCTCTTCTCTCCATACTGAGTCTGCAAAACCCATCACTCCATCTGCCCCCCTCAAACCTCCTCCACCCCCTGTTTTTCCTCTCTTCCTGCTCCCTCTCCTCTCCTCTCCTCCTCCTCATGCATCCATCTCCCCTTCCTACCTTTCCTCCCACTTGCCTTTATTTCTTTCTTCGTTCTTCACCTGCACATCCATCTTTTTCTTCCTCTGTGTGACCGGATGAGTCACTTCGGATGACATCAGCTCCACACTCACTGAGATGAAAGAAACTGAAGGAAAGTCGAAGGTGGGAGAAGATCAGTGTGTGGGCTTCTTCTTCTCACCACACCGGGTTCATATTTCTCACATGTTTTTCTGACAAGGATGCAAGACTGTGTGGATTCTGGTCTTGTTTTTAACCCTCCTAACCCAGGATCATCTCAAAACTCCTCTCTAATCCTCACATTGATTGGTTGTTTTTGTCAGGAGTTAATCTCTGTCTCGTTTTTAGCGGGCCTGTTCAATGTTTTATGGTCAGAACTCTTGTTTCTATAATGACTTTTAAACTCAGTAAGGTGTTGAATTCTGGTCAGATTTAAAAAGACTATTTTTATCCTCTTTGAAGATGAACTAGGACAACTATTTGTCAGTTTTTAACATTAAAAAGTCCAAAAATAATCTAAAAGGGGGTAAATATGAGTTTACCTGAGGGCAGATATTATAGTTTATTTGTTTGTTTATTTATTTGGATCCCCATTAGCTCCTCTTCCTAGGGTCCACAAGAAAACATTCAACATTCATATACATTAAAATGATAAAAGTCCAAACAGGAGAATTATACAAGATGTTAAAATCATAACTAAAACAAGAATTATGATGACATTACATTTCCAATTTAAAAAACACTAAACAGTTTGTCACTGTGAGATTTCCCTACTCTTTCCTGTCCCTGCAGTTTGTACAGGTATGCGTGAGTGTTGTGGGTTTTGGTTTACAAGCCTGTCGTGGCTCTCTGTATCCTGTTCCTGGTCCCTTGAAGTCCCATGTGGACCTCTGGAGGGTGTCTTTAACAACAAAGTCAGTTTGGTATGTGTTTACTCAGAGCCGCCCTCAGTGTCTCCTCTCCTCCTCTGAAGCAGAAGCTGGCTGACAGATAACAAACACCTCTCGGCGCTGACTGACCCACAGATTTACGGCTTCATAAAAGTCTGGTTTGGGGATTTGGTTAACAGTTTCCCTTCAGGAGGTCATTTGGAGCTGTTTTCTCCTCTGTCAGCACGTCAAACTGAGAGTGAAGATAACCAGTCTGAAGCGAAGACAATGCTTCCTGAATGAGAGGATGTTTTCTTGCCAAATCAAAACCATGTCAGTGTTAGCGTGTGGTGTATTTAAAGCCTCATGAGGAAACATGCACGTGTCAGTGCTAATTCCTCTGTGGGGCATTCACACTCTTTTGTCTCTCTTTCTTTCTGGGGGTAAAGAGAGAAATCACACTTGTAACAGGTGGAGCATTCAGCAGCAAACAGGGTGTTAATAGAGTGTATGAAGGTCTGTGTGGGCCTCACACCTTCTCCCTCTCAACATAAACTCTAGAAACAACAGATGGATTCACACATTTACGCAGACATCCTCAGAGGCGGGTGAAGTTTGAGGAGCGTTTGTCAGCCTCTCATGATCCGGTAGTTAAAGGGATATTCCGGCGTAAAATTAATTTAGGGTCAAACACATAGTAACACCGAGTTAGACACCCCCTTGAGAGATAAGTGTTGCTGACCGCTTGCTTCTCTAATTATACTAACTTAGGTAGCAACCACACATGAGCAATACACAGCGGTCTACATCTCCATGCGCAAACCTCAACCAAAACGCCACTCTATAGCCACAAATAATGCTCAGAACAGCACCTAACTTCATCAACAGTACATATAGGGTCCCAGTCATAGTACTAGCCACCAAACATCTTTTTAACTTCCCCTGATTTCTTTAGCAAAGAGACTAAAAACAACTCACCCACTCTCCTCCAGCAGCCACTTGTTTGTCGGGGAGCCCTGACGAGTCGATCACAGAGTGCAGCGGATCATTTCCATGAAGAACTAATCACCAGAGTAGTTCTTCTGCCTTAGCATCTCAATCATTTCTTTCCATAAAGTAATGATCATAAATGTTCTTCCTTGAGCTGTGAAACTCCTCTGCACTTGGTGATCGACTCGTCAGGGCTCCCCCACAAACAAGTGGCTGCTGGAAGAGAGTAGGTGAGTTATGTTTGGTCTCTTTGCTAAAGAAATTAGTCAAAGTTAAAAAGATGATTGGTGGCTAGTACTATGGCTAGGACCCTATATGTACTGTTGATGAAGTTAGGTGCTGTTCTGAGCATTATTTGTGGCTATAGAGTGGTGTTTTGGTTGAGGTTTGTTTATGGCTCCTCAGACCGCTGTGTATTGCCATCATGCGGTCGTTACTGAAGTTGGTATAACTAGAGAAGCAAGCGGTCGGCAACATTCATCTCTCGAGGGCGTGTCTAACTCTGTGTTACGGTGTGTTTGACCATAACATAAATTTATGCCGGAATATCCCTTTAAAACACAGTTGAAGGAATCAAATTTACATTTTATGACATAAAACAATTACATTATTTTACATTGTGTCCTCAGACTTCTCTCAACAGTGGCACCAAACCCAGAATCCAAACAGACAATATCGAAAACCACTTATTTTTTAATGTCCAGACCTTGTGAATCATGGCTACACACTGAGATTAGAGTTTACCAGTCCCGTCAGACTACAAACTGTTTTTGTAATATGGTTTTGTCTCCATCCTGCATCTCTAAAAGTCCTGTTTGTCCTCCGATCAGTCCTTTAACCAGCAGAGCTTAAATTTTGTCAACTTTGCTGCTTTCCTTTCCAACGACGGCACCCGAACGAACCTCACATCCTGTGTGCTTGTGTCGAACGAGGCGCTTATCAAAACTGGATCTTATCGTCTCTTCATGCACAACACTTTCACTCTGCTGCGGCGGCCGCTGACAGAGGGCCAGCAGCATCAGGGCAGGACCACAGCCAGAATTTCCCCTGAGGAGCGAAGCCTTCGGGCTGTGGAGTCACAGTTTACAATGCTGGGTTTTCTCCATTTCATGCTCTCATACTCTCCATTGTCCCCGAGCTTTCACAGCTCCCCATCCGAACAGCTTCAAAAGATCATGTGACATTGCCTCATCCCTCTGTTTGCAAGAACGCCCTGCTTTTCGACCTCCACCCTGTTTTACTGTGCTTTTTCCAATCTTTTAAACATATTATGCACGCTATCTGCTTTTGCACTTTTCCTCTATCTCAGACTCTATCATTCTTCAGCTCTCTTGGTTTCCTCGTGTAAACAGGGAGTGTATTGTGCTTCTGCAGATCTTGTCTGTCCTCGGTGTTGACTGTTTTGTCTGTGAGTAATGATGGATTCAGATCCACACGTCTGCAAGGTGTAAAAGCAGACATTTCCACTCGATCTCTCGGAGTCTGTTTTGACAGCGTGTAAACAACAGAGATGCTTGGTTTTGTCGTGCTATGACTGCTTGTCCTCCTCGAAGTCAGGGTGTTAAATTTAGAGATGAATGAACAAAGTTTTTGTTTTAGTTTCACAAAAGTTTTGTTATTTTTAGGTGTGGATGTGGTTTAATGCCAAAATATATCCCGATCATGATGCTCAAAAGCTCTTCTCTCTATGAATCAGAGGTTCTACCTGCAAAGATCATTATTATCATGTTCAGGCGACTTTACATTAAAGGGATAGTTTCACATTTTTGAGGTAGGGGTCGTGGTTCATGCTGTTGCCTCACACGGAGACGGTTCCTGGGTCACTCCCAGGCACCTCTTTGTAAGGATTTCGCTCTTTCTCAACATGTATTTAAGGTTTTCCTGCAGGTACTTGTTGTGGTTTTTCATGATTCAAAATAACCCTCAGCCACAAGACAAAACATTACATGAGTGAGAGAGCCTTCTGACCCACGTGAGACTTAATTTAGCATCACATAGGTGTGTCTCGTCGACTGAAATGCACAGGGTTACATCATTTTCTTATATTCAGAAAGTTTGCAGCTCTCCTTTGTACACGTCATCTCAGAGTTCCTCCAATATCAGAGCTCATTCGACAGGCAAGTTTCATTACTTTTGGATAACCCTGAAAGAAAACAGTTCACAGAGGTGATTCTAGAGTGTGCTGGGGCCCCAAGCAAAAATTCTGAAACCAGCTAAAGAGGTCAAAAACAGAAACTTTTTAAAAACAATCATCAGTATTACTACATAACTTGAAAATTGTGCTCTAAAATAACTACAGCTCTGGTATGTTTTTACCACAATAGCAGCACCTCACCTTTGATCTAAGATTTGATGTCCGAGACTTTTGCTGTATTTGAGTTACCTCGGAAGTCAGATGTCGGAGCTGAAAATGACGTCACACCTGAGTTCCCAGGGTTTCAGTTACCAAGTCGGAAAAAAGCGAAATCGGAGGCCTGAAACAAGATGGCTACATCTACGAAAGTTATTTTAGTGCTTGCCTTATATTCAGACAAGAATTTAAATGCACCAAAATCAGTTTTACTTCTCATCACTGACATGGACCACACTCTATTTATTAAAAAAATTCATCTAGGTCATTTTATATGGGAAATATGTCAATTCTGTGTTTATTTTTACCGTTAAAATTAACAGTGAGATGTTGCACAAAAACTGTCATAAAAAGGGTAATACATCAAATTTTTTAATTATTTTTTAATGGTCAGGACTGAAGATGTTTAAGAGATATGAGTCGAAAAAAAGTTAACAAAAGAGAATTTTATGAACTCTTACCTGCATGTCAGTTTTGGAGACAAAGTAGGCTGGATGGAGCTTAAAATTAACAGAAACCAAGGGTTAATGGGGTTGCAATATTTAGGACATTTTTGTAGAGTAAGGCTCGTCAGCCCTTGTGGGTAATATTCTGATATTACTTTACATCTCTGCACACTGACGTTGTTGCTGTCTGTTCTGACTTCCTAACTCTAGATTTGCTTCGACATCATGTCGACAGAAAACACTCAGACCAGTAAATTCTGCACAGTCAAGCTGAATCAAATGAATCAAAACAACTCAAAGACACTCTGAAACTGAGTTGTTATTCTCTGTGGCAGACCTGGCTCTGCAGTCCTACAGTACGCTGAAGCTAAATGTCTGCCTTAGCATAAAGAAAACATGAGTGGAGTCAATCTTGAATATATTTCCCAAAGAGTGTGAGAGTTCTTGTTGGTACTCTGCCCTCTAACAGCTGTTTTTCATCGTTTTAGGATACCCTGATGGGAAATAAGATCCCCCCTCGACTGTAAGGTTAAAAGGTTCACCCTCTTCTTCCTCTAAAAGTTCTTCATAGTGGCGCTGAACTCTTCCCTCTGGTGCGCATGTATGTTTGCTTAAAGGGCAGCGAAACTCCCAGTTGCATAATCCAATAAGAGGATCGAGCTTTTAAAGTATCAGATATGACACTGGGGGTTTGTCAGAGTGAAATCTCTTCAGTCCACAGCTGTGAATTTGTGACCACAGGACGTGAACGTGGCTGCTTTCACAGCTCCAGTCAGAGTGGAAAACTACACTCAACTATTGTGGTCATGTGGTTTGGGCCTTGGCTGTGATTCGTGAGCACTCAGGCCAGATCACCTATAGTAAATCACTGCAGAGCTTGACCAAGAGTTTCTGCGTTGTAATTAAGATTTTTACAGGCGTTTATTCTGCGCACAGACAGATATTCTGACGTGCAAACACGCACATTTATCATGTACACACTGCATGGCTACTAATGTCTTTTGGAGCCGCATATGCGCACACAAACAGCTCCACGTGCAGCTTTCTGAAATGAGTGTTATTGTGAAGTGGCTAAACAGTCATCACTCTCTGGACCTGTGATTTAAGGATCACTGTGTGACCACGCTAGCACTGTCATCCTCCACACACTCACTGTCACCATTTACACTGCTCTACGTCTCACTCAGCACTGATTTTACCATAACTTAAGTATTGGTAATGCTGACAGCTAAATGAGCCAGTCAAACCCCTGCTGTAATATTTCATACACATGCCCAGTATCAAGTCAGACAGTGTTCGAAACTGACATAAATCACCAGAGTGAAATTTTTACTGCTTTGAGCCTCCCAAAGGCTTTTACTGCTTTGAGCCTCTTTTTTTTTAACGTTGTTTGTTTTTACCTCTTTGTAAAGCACTTTGTGTTCCCAAAGGGATATTCCAGCATGAAATTATTTAAGGTCAAACGCATCATAACACCGAGTTAGACACCCCCTCGAGAGATGAATGTTGCAGACCACTTGCTTCTCTAGTTAAACCAACTTTAGTAACGAACGCACGATAGCAATACACAGCAGTCTGAGGAGCCATAAACAAACCTCAACCAAAACATCACTCTATAGCCACACATAATGCTCAGAACAGCACCTAACTTCATCAACAGTACATATAGGGTCCCAGCCACAGCACAAGCCACCAAACATCTTTTTAACTTTGACTAATTTCTTCAGCAAAGAGACTAAACACAACTCACCTACTCTCCTCCTGCAGCCGCTTGTTTGTAGTGAGACCTCTGGCCAGTGCATTACGGACTACAGCGGGGTGACGCAGCTCAAGAAAGAACATTGATGATCATTTCTTTATCATTTCCTTGAAGAAATAATCACCATATTAATCATTTTGCACTGCAGACACGGTAGTTCTTCTTTAATTTTTTTATACATATCCATGTAACATTTGGCTAATTCTACCCAGATATTGAGAGAAAAATCCATACTAATTTATGTTTTTGTGGAAGAAATACCCAGGATTTAATGTAACAACAATGCACTAATGTGAAAGGAGTAATCTGTAGACATGGACCTGTAGATACTTTAGCTACACAATAAATTTCAGCTCTTTATTTTGGTTTCACTTTGCACAACACCTTCCGAAAGCAGATGATTTTAGTTTAAAAAAACAATAAAATAAGGTTAAAGGTCCAGATATTTCCTCCAGTCTTGAGAAAGTGAAAATGCTGAAATCTGCAGTTCCTCTAGTGTCCACTTGAGGCTGACTCCAAAAGTCCATGAATCCACATACACACCCATACTAAAAGAAACATCTTCACGTCAAAAAATAACATGATTACATTGCCAGGGTTAAATCACACTTTAGGGGTAGGAGAGCGTTTTTAAACTGTAAATCTGATTTATTGTGAAAATACTAAAGCTATTAGTTTTGCATAATAAGGGGCACTGAATATGATGGTATACTATAAGTAAATAGATATTGAGGCGCACTTGTTTGACTGAAAAGACCAATAGTTGGCAAATTGGTCACAGTGGGTTAGTATAGGCCTCAAAATTATCAATGCAACTTATATAATAAGTTTTACGGTAATATGTCAAACAAATATTTACATAATACAAACACTGTAGCTCCGTAATTTAATAAAATTATCTTTGCAACTTAAATTGATCATCATCTTTTCATCTTCTTGAGCAATTACTTTACCCTTCCTGTTTTTGATCATTCTGCAGCCAAGTCCTTAAAATCCCATATGAGCTTTTTATGAAAAATATAAAAACAAGCATTTTTCTTTATGCAAATTCTATCCTGACAAGTATATTTAAGACTAACAAGTAGATTTATTCAGAGTTTATGTATACCAACCAGGCATGGGTAAGTAACCCAACACTCAGTCAAAACAACACCTCAGTTTGTCTGTTTTACGGGGTAGAGTCGGCCCAGTCACTGCATTTGTTCAAGTGCTTTTTAAGTGTGCTATTCAAATGTAAAACTTTGAATGACTTTTTACTATTTCCTTTCACAGCAGAGGCCAAAAGAAGAGATGACCCCTACCTGCAGCACCAGCTTTTGTTAACTCCGAGCTAGACTGCAGCTCATCAAGCAGACCACACACGGAGAGAGGAGGAAGCGCCGCGCCGAAAGAGAGAGAGAGAGAGAGAGAGTGGAGAGGAGTTCACGCTCGTGTTATCACAGAGGGTGAAAAATGAAATGCTGAGGAGTTTTTTCCACCGTAAAAACTCATAATGTATGTCCACCACCTCCCCAGCAGTGTCACACATGTTACCCTTTGCATCTCTCATCCTCGGCGCTGCGCTCTCTCTCACAATGTTGCTGTTAAAGTGAGTTTGGTTTATTTTCTTTTTATATGGAGTTTCCATCATGCTCCACTCCCTCTGTGGTTCCAGAGCGGCTGGCCAAATGGCAATAAAATGCTCAAAGGACATCAGAGAGGGAAAAGGAGACTTATTTGTTAGCCTATAACAAAATCCCCAGTAGTTGCATGAGGCAGTGAACTTGTGAGAATAAAGGGGGTAAAGCTCTGCCTCAGTGCCGATGTAAGAGCTAAGATAAGTGGTCCAGCAGCGAGTCGACCAACCTTAGACAACTGAATGAAATCAGTCAACTGTAATTTTGTTGTTAGAGAGCTAATTTTACATTTAAGCTCAATTAAAACTCAATTAAAGTTCTAAAAACATGCGAAAAAACAGCAGAGATGGAGTAAGCTCGTTAAAGAACAAGGACACAGCTAAAGTAGAAGCAGCTTTGGTTACACAGAAATGCATGCAAAGTCATCATGAAACATGTGCTCCCACTGCTGTGTTTGCTAAAACCATGGCTTTGAAGTGTGAGTGGAATGATTGGGGCTAAGTTAAGATTTTCCTGCCGTGGGCTCCATTTGGATGTGACGTGAATCAAAACTGAAAGCAGATTTTTGTCTGTTTCTTTCGTGGCACATGGAACATTTTTATATAAACAGTTGTGACAAATCTGTGTCAGTGTGCTCCTCGTGTCTCTGCCTCTCTCCTGTCAATGAAGAAGACTTTTTTCTATGTATATATGACACCATCTATGGTTATTGCATATCTGTTATATTTCCATCTTAAATTCCCATTTTTTGTGGGAGTCCCTGAGCTCCATCATGTTGTAGCTTCCTGTTTTCCTGCTGCTTCAACTACCAGCATCAATCTCACCTGTCCATCTCTCTTTCTGCATCTCCCTCTAGATCCTTTGCAGTCGAGGCAGATGACTGTCCTGACATGAGTCTGGTTCTGCTTGAGGTTTCTGCCTGTTTAAGGAAGTTTTTCCTCTCAGCACTCGTGCTACACTCATAAAGATGAAGATGCAATTGGAGTGAGTCTGATCTGACAAGGTGGGGCTCCATCTTACACCATTTTACATCAAGTCTTTTTCGTTTCGTTTCATTTTTATTTGTTCCACTCATGGCCATTATTGAGCATTTTCATAAATACAAAAGGCATTTAACAACTGTAGCACAGCACATGACTGGAAGAGAGCAGGTAGAAGACAAGGCGTATTTTACCCGCTCACTCCAAACAGAAATAAACAATAACTAAAGATGGTCCGTCCACTTCAGGTTTTTTTCCTGTAACTTTACAAACAATATTACAACCACATAAAAGGAGACACGCAAACAAAAGCAAAGTCAGCGTCACAAAAAACTACTAAAAAAAGCACCTGATGGTTGGAGCCCTTCTTCCTCCCTGTACCTTCACACCTTCTAAAAATTCTTCACAGGTGCTTTAAGTTATTTTATTCAGCCTGTTATCTGTTGTTCATTTTAATACTGTTGCTGTTGTTATAACGGTCGGTTCATTTTTAACATCATTTCTGTCCAAACATTTTAATTTCATTTTTACAAGTATGGACCCCTGATGAGTTGCTGTTACTTTAGCAGAGACTAATGTAGAAATAAATGACAAAACTATAAATATAAATGCAAATGAGTGCGTTATTTCCATTTCATGCGACTCTGCACAACAATAATTCGCTCAAAATCTGAGGTCTGGACTAAAGTGGTGGTTTTGGTGTTCACATGAATTGAATTAATGGATTTACGCTGCAACAGTTTCAGTCATCAAACTATTATCCTTCGTTTCCTCGACCTGACGCCTGCTGAAATGAGACGTCAGTGTGACATGATGGAATACCGTACAAACTCTCTCCCAGTACGTTATTCCAGCTCTGCTTTCTGACCTAAACTGTGACCAGGTCAGCCCACAGCTCTTGAGGTCAAACAGCTGTAAGAGTACACATTCATCTCTGAGCACTGGGTTGAACCGGCCTCAACCTCCCCTCCTAACTGTCTGTCCTCCCCTTTGCTGCGCTGGCAGCCGTGCCCCTAGAATAGGCATGTAAACCATGTAAGCCTGACACCAGTTGTTTTGACTGAGAGCACTGAGGCACTGACTTATTGTGCAACACAACTCAGGGCCCTCAGTCCTGGTGAGCCATATCGCCAAAACCCCCTCTGTAAACCCCAACCCTTCAAACTCCAAAACTGACCTTCACCAGATGGAATTTGGGAGCAGTTTCTCCAGAAAGGTGCGGTTAATCATGTCAGGAGAAAACCTGATACTCACAGCTGTGATAGTGTTCCTGGGAAAGCAACACAGAGTCGAGTCAGTTTGATAACTTTGATAGTTTTTAAGCAGAGATCCAGACCTGAATCAGAGCCATGAATGGATAAACAAAGGGGAAGACACCTCTAAGATAATCCTTAAGATTCAAAGACAAGATTTAAACGGTGTTCAGCTAGTTTTAAAACTGTTTAAACAAAGAAGTACGTCACATATTAGCCAAACAAGTTAAGATAAAGAGGCTGTAAATGATTCGGAAACACGGTTTATCATTATCAGTGTGAGTGCGCTGTCAGACTGGTGTTAGTATTTAGTGAAAACACAACAATGTCAAAGAAAAACCTTTAAAAACAGCCACTATGGAGGTAGTCTTGTGTTTGCATGATGGGTGTTTGGAAAGACCTGAACGTAAAGATGTGCCACAACCTTACTTGTCAGAGCTACGAGGAAGATTACAACGTAAAGCCATCATACGGTTTTATTAAGAGTTTCACCAAATCATAACTCTCGCTATTCTAACTTTTTTAAAATCTGTTTTTGGAGGTTTTATACTTTAAAACCCTCCACGAGCCAAGAAAATAATATAAAAATCCCAATATGTCATTCATTTGGTGGCATGTGTATCCTTCAAGTAAAAGCGTATGAGAAAGGCGTGTTGTTGTACTTCATGGATGTCATCTTCAGGTGCTGGATCAAGGGTTTCTTAGAGCATCTACCATCTTTGTATTAATCCAAAACTAGCTGCCCAATATGTAGGGCTGGGAAATATGGAAAAAAGTTTATCACAATATATTTTTTCCATATCAGTCGATATTGATATATATCACAATCTAAAAAATGAAATTTATTGGTAGCATGTCTTTTGCAATATAATAATCTACTACATCCATGAGGTCTTTGTGATTGTGTTTGAGAAAATGGACTGAATGGTCGTCTGTTTCGGCTGCACAGGCGCCATGGACTCCTTGCTCCACTCGGGGTTTGTAACCTTTTGCATTGTGCGTGCTCTGTCGTGTGTCACTGCTACAGGTGGTGAAAAGATTTGAGTTTATCCCCGACTTTACGAGAACATGTACTCGACATAATTTGCAGTACACATTACTCTGCTTCATGTCCGACCACCGACGTTTTCGTGCCAGTGTTGTCGACGATGTTGTCACTTGTTGAGCCTTGCATTTCTGCACTCATTTTCTAATTTTCTCACCAACAGTACTGTCAGCTTCACGTGTTAAAGTTCTATGGTTGCGTGTAGCTGCAGCCTGCTACTATGCAGTTGTTTGCTACTTGGTTCTAATTCCGCGAAGTGGACCTGGAGCAACTCCCCTTTTCATTGGCTATTCGTATAGTCTACTAAAACATCTCAGAATGACGACTATCAAAAAGCATATTGACCATGTTTTATAATGATATTGAGGGAAATTAATTTTTGACATATATATTGTTATCATTTTATCACCCAGCCCTACAAATGTGTAAACATAAAGTAGCACATATATGAGTATTTCATCACATCACAGCTAATTGGGGAGCAAATCCAGTAACAGCTGACTCAAATGGAATGAGAGGGAAGAGCATTTCTTAGCTCAATGGCTTAAAGTGATACCAGCATTACTTTAGATTCACTCTAGCATCTTTAAACCAGCTCACTGAGACATACAGTATAACATATAGAAATAATCAGATGCTCTTTTCGCAGCGTAAACTTGTTTCTGTTGGTTATTTCATGTCCATCCTGGTCCTTCTTCTATTTCGTTGCACAGACCAGCAGCTGAGGAATACTTGTGGTTATTTGTGTGAACTCTCCAGTCTGACCGTGTCTGTCCTCGTGCCTCCTCACTGTGTTTGTGCAACACTGCTCAACTCAGTGGACACAGCAGGGTGTGTCACACCGCTGCATGCTTGTTACATTAACACGCAAACTCAGAAAAGTCTGACCGAGTTATAAGACAGGCTGCTCTTGTCTTTATAAGATCGCTGTTTTTCTGGTGCTGAATCTCATGTGGACACAGAGGAGCGAGAAACTAAAGTGGATTATTTAATTGGGTGTAATGTAGAACAATTCAAATTCTCGGTGAGAGGTTATAAAACGTTCCAGATGGAGATGGTCAGAGACTAAAAAGGGGGAAACCGATCTTCCCACTTGGGCCACAAGAGTGCCTTTTTGATTAGCCTCCATTTGTTCCTCAACGACACCGCTGATTAAAGCAGCTTGACTCTGAACTGTTTCTGACATCTGAGGGGGATCCTTGTGAGATTTACAGAATGAGGGCCAGGACTCTGAGACCTGAGCACACTTGTGTTTTGTTGGTGTGGTCTCTACCCTTCCCAAATTATCCCCTCACAATTCTTTTACTGCCCAGATAATGATTCATTACGGCTGCAGAGCTCCACACAGTGATTTAACAACTTTTGATTCCAGTAAAGCCCAGCCTGCAAACCTCGCCAATAAACAAACTACTGTAATTAGGCTACTTAAAACCCGAAAAAGTTGGATTTTTCAATGCTCCGTCATGGTGGTCTTCGGAGAAACAAACAGACTGACAGACTTGTGGGCTCGGGTACAGTATGATTTTGTAACTTCTCAAATAGTTTGGGAGCCACCCATGGTTCAATAGATGATGTGAACATTAAAATAGAGCTGACGGATCAAAATGTGAAATATCTGGATACCCTGGGGTTATAAATTTCTGCAGGAGAAAGAGTAGATGTTGGCCTTGGACCAGGATTGTTTGCCATGTCAGTGTAGGTTTGTGGGTGGTTTGGTTCACCACTTTGGTCCAGACTGAAATATAATCGACAACTATTGGATGGATGGTTTTAGAAATCGGTTAAAAACAGTCTTAGGCAATGTATTTTAATAACTTTAGTGATCCAATAACATTAAATATAATTGCATCCTGGGAATTACATTTGAGACTCTTGGTAAATGTCTTAAAACTTGAGGATTGATTGTCATAAAATATGGTTTATTAAGGGATTTGATTACCCGCTGTAACTAAGGAAGACCTGACTGACAGAAACGAAAAGAGACCCTCAGGCAGCAACGAGAACCGTCAGAGAGCCAGCAGGTCATTCGGAGTCTGATGCCGTGAGACATCAGATGGCACAGCGGCCGAACGTACTGCAGAAGAAGGACCAGGAGAAAGAGACGGACCTGGAGAGGATGAGGACTAAGATCACACATCAGCTCCAGCAAAACATCAACAACTCTCCAGCAGTGAACTTCAGAGGCACAAGGAGGACAACTGGAGAAGGATGAGGCTGTGGGGGGAATATGTTTGGAGCATCAGCCTTTGCTCCTTAACATCAACTACAGTCTGCACCAAAACCAGAGCCAGAACCTGAGCCAATGGAGGAGTCTGGAGTGTCCGGAGAAGGTCCTTCGACTTCGCAACAGCCACATGTGTGCAAACAACCAAGACACTACATCAGCCTGAAAAAGCTGCAGAAGCAGAAGAAGAAACAGTTCTCCACTCATCCTCATCTCTCCTACCCGAACTCATCCTCTTCCTCATCCTTCTCCTCCCTTTCCTTAAACCAAACCCATCCTCTTTCTCAACCTGCAAACGAATATTTAAAAAATATTCAAAATGAATAAAAAAACTAACAAAAAACATCTTCTGCATATAAAGTCTCCTTTTTTGTAGTTTTTCTTCAACAGAAAAGTTTTAAAGGTCAAAAAGACTCTGTCCCATTTTTAAGCTGATATTTTGAGTGTTTTTGCCTCCACGGGTTTACTTATTCATGTTTTAAGATGTCTGGGAAAGAAGAAGAAGAGATACCAAAAGTTTAATTCAGGGGATTGTGGTTCAGCTAATAAGCTATTTCAAGATTTCAAGATTTTTTTATTTGTCATGCGCCCTGGATGAGAGGATGGCTCAACTCAAAGGAGTGCAGATAAAAAACACAATAAGTACGAAAGGAATACAATAAAATAAGGATGCAAAATATATACACATTAAAGGTGAATAAAAGTATAAGAGAAATATTTACAAAGGTGCTGAGCATGAATGTATGAAATGGAGGATAGAGGATCTTCCATTTCAAATAGAAATAGAGGATAGATAGAAAAATTGCCATATTGCACATGATGAATGGTGTATGAAATGCTGTATTGCACATCACAGATAATATTGCAGACTTAAATGGGTTATTGCAGGAGTTTAGTAAACGAACTGCAAGTACAGCTATTGTTAGCACGAAGACAGGTGATAGATAGATAGATAGATAGATAGATAGATAGATAGATAGATAGATAGACAGACAGACAGACAGACAGACAGACAGACAGACAGACAGACAGACACTTAATTAATCCCAGTGGGAACTTAACATATGCCATCCATGAGGCACATATGGGCTACGAATTAGCTTGTAGCAGCCTGCACTTGTTAATTGCTAATCGACATTCATGCTAACTTTACGTAAAGAGCTTTATAATGGTTGTATTAGTGTTGGGCATTCACTTATACATATTATACCTGAAAAACATATTGTAAATGATTAGGAGAAGAACATCTGATGTGTCAGCTTAAGCCAAAATGTCCAACTAAACCAAAACTGTTGCTTTCATGACAACAAAAATCAACTTTTAACATCAGTACTAGCTAATTTTACTTCCTGTAAATCCCATTTTGGTTTAAAACAAAGTATTTCTAAACCTTTTGAGTACTTATGTGTCAAGCTATGATACAAACTCTCTCTTTCTTTCTCTCTCTGTGTTATTGTTTGAAGTTAAGGATATAGGGCAACAGATTTTTCCCCTTAGCTCAAAGAAATCTTCACAAGGCTGTGTTTACATCCTGAAAGAAAAACCCGAGCCAGCCTTAATGCAATATCCTGAGCAGCTCCTGCACATAAGAGGGGGCCTGACTCCTGGAGAAATTTGATCCTGCAATGGGCCCTTTAAAGGAATATGGGATGAGTCTGTTGAATGGAGCTCAGAGGGAGTCCCACTGAAGTCTGCGCTCCGGAGAAAAGCGAAGGACAAGCAAGAGACAGCAGGACGAGTCATGAAAACACCGAGAAACAAATGAATGAGAAACGAAAGCGAGGAGAAAGTGGACGGACCGAGGGGGAAGTTATGAGCCGAACTGCGACGAATTACCGGGGAGAGTGTCCGTGAGTGGAGAAAGCCGACTGAGAGGGGGAGAGACAACAAAGTCACAAGGTAAAGTAGAAGTGCAGAGCTGTAGAAACAAACCGAGAAAAGCTTTTGCTGCCATCATTTCTCCTTCTGTTTTGGACTGAGATGCCGCGGGATACATTTCACCACGACGCTGGAGTTTCTCTTGGACGGAAGCCACAGCTGTAGTTGAGTATTTCCAGAGATATCTGCAGCTTGGTTGAACTTTTTTTTTTTTTTTTCGCTGACTGAAGGTTTTAGGTTTGCTGCTGTTCTCCTAAGCCCTGTGCGTCTGGCACACCTGTTCCTTGTGGCCTTTTTTGGACAAAATGTTGGCAACTGCTGGGCTTTGGAGAAGCTACAGAAGCCATGTTAAATCTATAAGAGAGAATACACACATGGTTGCATTGGCAAGACGTTTCAGGAGGTTTTTATGCTTTCCTCACATGCACACTTTTCTTTCTAGTGAGCATCTGGAGAAATTGTACAAGTCCTTTCTGCACCATACATCAATCTGACTCCTCTGTTATTGAACACCCTTTAACAAAACAAAAGCAGAAGATATATAACCTCTCTCATCATGCATTTTACTCCAAATATAAAGCTTTTTGCATGAAGTGCTGTGTGCTGCAGAAGTAGATGTTTGTGATGAGTTTAGGTGCGTCTCTCATCATGCATTTCCTCCAAACATGAAGCTTTTTTGCATGAAGTGCTGTGGCTGCAGAGGTAGATGTTTACACCTCAGTACAGAAGAATGTCAGGGTCTGTGTTTAAAGCCTGAGAGGCTGATAATGAGTGTGGTCAGTTTGCTGAGGCCTGTCATTAACCTGAGAGCTGGGAGAGAGAGAGAGCTTTCCTTGCTGAGAAAAGGTAGGAGGAGAGGATGTGGAGGGGAGAAGGAAGAAAGGCAGGAGAGAAGGAGGGTGGGAAAGGTGCTGCAGGAGGATGGGAAGTGAGAGGAGTTGACGGAGGAGGAGTATGACAAGACAGATAAGGTGATAGATGTGAGGAGGGATGATATAGGAGGTGTGTTCGTCATTGAAAAACTGGGCTGAAGTTTTGCTTTAACTTCTGTGGCGCTTTTGGACACTGAATTATCACAAGATCATGATAAAAAAACTAGGTCAAACACTCTTCTGTTGCACCAAATAAAATTAATCCACTTTCCGAGAGCAGGGGTCAAAGGTTAAGAGCTGCGCAGCTGTATTGGAGATTCCCCTCTCCTTTATTTATAGGACTTAACCCCGGCTGTAGTTGTAAAACAGGACCGAAATAGTGGGGCACTAATTTAAACAAAAGTGTGAGGCCTATTTGACCGGATGGGAGTCGACAAGAGGTCCCCCTTTGTTAAACATTCAAGGCTGCTGAGGGGAAGATATGGCAATATTTAACCCACCCATACTTGACTCCTTATGCCCTCGGATTATCCGTCTATGTCTCAGTTTTGTACACACAGAGATCTGCCATGCTGACACCAATCTGCAGCAGCTGACCCACATTTACACACATGCTCCCGTACTCCACGACAGAGATCGTTGTTATATTTTAAAGGGGGGGATAGAAGCCAAAACGTGGGGGAAGCCAAGTTGGACCTCGGTGGAGACAACAACAGGAGGGATTTGAAATGTCTGGCGGGGATGATATCACTGAACCACCTAATCACTTACATCACCGCAGCTGCATGCTCAGCAGTGTGTCAGTGTGTGTGCACGTGTGTCTGTTTCCAATCTATTTCAGTCAGTGTGTATCTCCATCTGTGCTTTGGTTAAGCTAGCCCTGAAGAGTTACGATCGGCTGGGGAGTGTGTGTTTGAATAAGTGGTGATTAAGGAGGTACGAGGCCTGATCTGAGACCTGTACTTGTGCCTGTGCGTCCTCTCAAAGGTGCGGTCAAATAATCTGATTCTGCATCACACTCCCCCATCTAAACAAAAAAAGAAATCCCCCTTCCAGATATCAGAACTTTGAGCTGACTGCAGAGAAACGATTCTGCCGGGGTCGTTGTGGTGGCGTTTCCATTCAGTCGCCTTCCCCCGGTGTTTGCTCTGGCTGCGTCCACGTGCAAAGTTTCTTGCAGCTACATGGAAGTAGAAGAGCTCCAAGTGCATTCATGTCTGTCTGTGTGCAGCCAGGAGAGCACTCACCATCCCAGGCTTAAGTTCCACTGTTGCAACCCCCAACCCCAAGCCAGCCTCTCTGGGTGGGCTTAGATCTACCATGCAGATCCTGGAAAGATTTTTTTTTTATTGTTGTCCTGGATGTCTCACCTTGACTTTCCAGCACTGAGAACATTCTGTACGGTGGCCGAGAACCGCCACTGTTGCAAATAATAAAAGAATGCAAAAAAAAAGTTACTGCAAAAATAAAAGGATGCCAAAAAAAAAAAAAAAAAAAAAAAGGCCACAACGGAAGTGAGCTGCCGGGGACTAATAACGTACCGGTGTTTTAGGATCTAGACACAGAAGATGACAGCAAGAAAACAAGCAAAGAATGAAGTGAAAAGGTTATAGGGCCCGACCGGTATGGATTTTTTGGGGCTGATGCCTATACTGATTATTAGAGGGGAAAAAAATCTGATTACTGATTAAGGAAGACCGACTGATCAAACTCGGACCAGAAAAGCGTTTTTAACAAGTTAGTGGATGAAGAATGTCTTGAGGTCGCTGCACCATCTACACGATAACTTGGGAAACTTTTCAAATGGCGGAACATTTTCGAAGTGAAACCAAATCTTGTTCTCCACATTTTATTTCTGAAAATATCAGCGAAAATTGGCGAGTTTTGGCCGATTACCGATAAGCCTCAAACGGGCTAAAATTGGCTAATTTAACCGACTCGCTGATAAATCAGTCTTGCCCTTATAGGTTATTTTTAATTTTCGCTTTCAGTTTGTCATTTGGTTATGCCAAGTAGTGCCTGAGTCGATATGAAGTTGAACTGAAGCTAACACTACATCGGCATCCTCCAGTTCCACTTCATATTGACTTAGGCACTACATGGCCTAACCAAGAGACACATTGAGAAGTTTATGAAGCGAAATTATTCAATAACCTTTCAACTAACTTTTTTGCTCGTCTTCTTGTTGTCGTCTTCTGTGCCTAGATCATAAAACACTGGTGCATCATCATTATTGGTCCCCGGCAGCTACTCCCGTTGTGGCTTTTCTTATTTGCATCCTTTTATTTTGCATTAAGTAACTTTTTTTTTTTTTTTTGCATCATCACATTTTTTGTGTCATTAGCTTCCGCTGTGCATTTCTTTTTTTTTATCTGCACCGTTTCTTTTTTTTTTTTTTTTGTATCAGTAGCTTCCGTTGTGACTCTTTTTTTTGCATTCTTTTTTATTTGCCGCAGTGGCGGTTCTCGGCCACCGTAATTCTGCAGTAGAAATCAAAATGTATCTAACAGTCGACTTGGTGGAAAACTGGATCTCTGCAGTGGAAGGTTATATTCATGCAAATCTAGAAAATGACTCCACTTTACTGTGTTTTCACTTCAAAGGTAAAACTTTGATTATATGGATTGCAAATCTTAAATGCAGCAGACAACATCCATTTCTGAGGGTTAACAGCATCAGTGTGAAAGCAGTGAGTTAAGGGTTAACACTGACTGACTCTTGTTGGTCCCATTTGTTAAAAAACAACCTTGTCTCTAACAAGCAGCAAGTGCTAAAGGCCTTGTTCTGTGGAGAATTAGCATGGCGGCGCTGAGAGTGTCGAACCATCAAACGGCTTGTTTGCACCCAGCTGTTTGCTGCTGGAGGAGGGCCCGGCCTCGCCTGTCCTTGCTTGCCCCACTGTGGCCCGGCAGGGTTTATTCAAGCGGTCTGATTTTCTCTCTTTCCCCCGCACCGACTTCCTGCTTTTCATGACCTTTTTATGCTCCTCTGTGCCCCCAGAGAGAGAGAGAGAAAGACGTCGTAGCTGGACCTTGACTGTCCGGCCTGGGTAGAGCGGTCGACTGGGGAAAACCTCCACATGCATGACTTCTGTAATTTGTTTGCTAGGCCTGTATTTATGAGCATGCTAATTGTAGGGAGTGCCACGGTGCAGTTATAGTTGCTGGACTTTGAACGTCTGCTGTTCTGCTGACGGTGTCTGGCTGCTTTTTAAGTTCGTCTGAATGCTGCTTTAAGATTTAACTCGCTTGGTTCATTTTTATGTCACTCTCTCTCCAAACCGCACACATCTCCAGGACTGTCGCTGGTTTTTGCCGCTTCTATCTTTGAGATAATCAAAGTTTTATTAAGCTCGCACAGCGGGGCCTTAACCTTTTGTGAATGAGCCACCAGTCAATCCTCCTCAGGTAAAAATAACCTCAGCGCCCCAGTTTCCCACATTCAGCACTCGGCCCATTCATTCTCACACATTCCTTCCTCCTTTCTTTGCCGAGGCGAGCTGTCGGCCCCCCTCTCTGGCTGTGATGGGACTGTCATGCAGAAAGACACCATTGTGCTGCGCAGGATCCCGTTTCAGCCTTGCCTTGTAATTAAGAAGGGATTGCGTGGCGAGGGAGTTGTGGGTAAGGAGGTGGGAGAGAGAGCAAAAGGGGATTGGGTTAGTAGGTAATTTGGCTAAAAAGCAGAGCGCTGACCTGCTTTGTTGCTGGCAGGCCTGGGAGCCGGCACGCATGAACCTAACTCCCCCGCTGACACACAGAGCCTTCCTGCTGAGGTTTTGTTCAGTGTGTGTGGGCATGCGGAGACGCTGTGGACGAGGAGGACAGAAAATCTCCATCTCACGTCTCTGTGTGTTTGACAGAAAGTGAGTGAGAGGAAGCTTTCGTTTAACGTGTGTCATGGTTGGATCATTCCTGTTCCCTTTACTCACATTTCCTCAGTGAATCATGGGAAGTGTGGTCAGTGAAAGGCATTTATGGGTGCTAAGTCAGTTTTTGTCCTTTTTTCGTAGTAAATGAAAACAAGCTCAAATCTCTCACAGACTAGCCTCACTTTTAGGTCTGCCTTCTTGGTGAAAACAGGAAAAACTCACCTCTAAATACTCAAACAGGCTTCTGTTTTTTTTTTCTCTTTAGTGCATCAGAGACCAGAGGCAGAGCAGCTCTGAATCCTCGCCATGGCAGATGTGCTAGAGAGTGGCGGGTCAGGAGCCGTCAGAGTGGCCAGTGTGGATTGGCAGAAACGCTGCATCGCTCTGGAGATGCAGCTGCTGAGGTTCCGGCTCCAGGCGGGGAAAATCCGAGAGCTGCTGGCAGAGAAGGTAAGAGAGAAACTGATCAGTCTAAAGAGGATTTTTAGTCTGCTGGAGCGAGCTGCACCCGGGTTCTCAAGTTCAGACTTAGAGCAGGGTCTTGGCAAAGTAGCGTTCACTCATTAACGAAGAATAAACGGGTCTGGATCTGTTGCATTGAGACACGCAGGGAGTTTTCGGCTCCTTGAAAAGTTTTTCATTGCTGTTGTGGAGCTACTGTAGTCTGAAAAAGCTAATCTGACCACCGACACAGAATGAAACATGGTGATATGTCCAACCTTTAAAGGGATATTCCTGCATAAAATTAATTAAGAGTCAAACACACCGTAACACCGAGTTAGACACCACCTTGAGAGATGAATGTTGCAGACCGCTTGCTTCTCTAGTTATACCAACTTTAGTAACAACTGTACAATAGCAATACACAGCAGTCTGAGGAGCCATAAACAAACTTTAACCAAAATGCCACCCTATAGCCACAAATAATGCTCAGAACAGCACCTAACTTCATCAACAGTACATATAGGGTCACAGCCATAGCACTAGCCACCAAACATCTTTTTAGCTTTGACTAATTTCTTTAGCAAAGAGACCAAAAACAACTCACCTACTCTCTTCCAGCAGCTCCACAACAGCGATGAAAAAATGTCATCCTGCTGACTTTTGACAGTCAAACATTAAACCTGTCAGGATTATTTCATGTGGAAGTTGTAAACAGAGGGCTGTTTCTTTGGATACTTGGCTGATACCTACCTCCTTGCGCTAAACTGAAGCTTTAAAAACAACAAAATAAAAATGATCAGTCTTGTTGCTGATTGTCTTGTTTACCAGTCTATTTCAAAAGCAATAGAAACTCCTCAGTGGAGCTTTAACCTGTTTTAAAACAAACTCTTTTAAGACTTCAAATTAAAGCTCCTTTAAGAAACCTTCTCTTCATGTTCATTTTAGATACCTCTGTTGACAAATCCTAAACTCTTATCTCCTTGGTGATTCTGCTGACATGTTTAATCCTGTTTTCTGGAGATTATGAAGATTTATTCTTTGAACAAAACAGATGTAATTATGGTTTGTGCGACATATTCCCCCTGCAGAAGTTACAAGATTAAAAAATAGCTAAATAGGAATCTTGATACTGATGTTATTGTTTGTTTTGGCGGCTTAATCAGAGGCATCAGTGTTGATTGTAGTGTGTTTCATAACTAGCCAAAAACTACTCACAGGAGCTTTAATTTTCAGACCAAACATACTTACATTATCTATTTAGTTAGCTTATTTTTTCTTCAACCCACTTACTCTGAATCGAATATTTAGATTCAGAAAGTAGTTTAGAAAGTAGCTTTATCTTTTGAAGTAGTTTTTTGGGGGGTGCTGTGATGGTTGTGAGTGGAAAGATGGCAGAAAATGAAAAGGAGTGACCTTCAAGGGAAGTTTGAGCAGACCAGAAAATAGCTGTTTGCAGTGCTTGTGAAGCACCTCAGTGACCTTTACAATAGACAACAAAGATGTGTTATTAGTTTGGACAAAGAGGAGTTTGAAAACAAGGGCAGAAATCTAATAACTTGCATCCTTAAAGCAAAGATCACCATCCAGTAAATGGAAAGCAGTTTTCCGGGCAGTAATAAGAAAAACTAACAAGTTTTCTTACGAGCTTGAAGCTTTCTCTTTGTTGTAAAACCATTAAGAAATCATTTTATTGAGCGCCATAAAGAGCAGAGCATGAAAGTGAAGATGCCAGATTCAATTATGAACACTTGGATAAGAGAAGTCCATAAATCTGATTAAAAGAAGAGATAATTAAACTTCAGCTTAGGCATATCTCGTGTTTGAACTGTTGATTTGACCCAGCGTCTCCTCACGCTCTGAATCTGCGGCTGTTTAAAACTGTCGTGTCTCTCCTGCTCTGCCAGAACACTCTGCAGATGTCATCAACTCCTTCTCCCCGCAGTGTTTTTATGCACGAGGAGACAATTAAAGCCTGTGAATCAGCCTGAACTACAGGTGTGGATGACTGTGTGTTTATGTGTGTGAAGTAAGACAGATGAGATTACTCAGCTTATTTGGTAAACACTTGGCCCACTCACTCTGTGTCATCACAGGCTGGCTACAGTCGCAGCCAAGATGAATATTTAGCGTTTAACTCATCGCTCCGAGTGCTTCCCTGAAAACGTCGGGGGATGGAACCACCAGCCGCCAGCCAAGTGCTTGTAAAGTTGTGGCTGTTGTAAAGCCTGACTACCAAAAAACTTCGGAAAGTAATCAGCTGTCAACATGCGATTCAGCCCTGAAGTGTCTCAATGAGCGGAAGGAGGAAAAACCGCCTCCTGTCTTGACTTTTCTTGGTTTCTTCGTGGTGGACTTAAATCACTCTGAGCTGCTCTGATTCAAAGTGAGATGGTCTCTAATTCTGGAGTGCTGGAGAAGTTCATTCAGTCAGTCAGCAGGATGTTTACAGTCCAAACATGACCCAGTGTTTGATAAGAGCAGGACAAAACCCTGCTGTGTCCGCTGTCAGGTCCTGTCAGATCTCCAGCTGCTCTGATAAGATCCCATGCAAAAAAACACACAAACTTTTTGCTAATACTCACAGCTGACTGTAAGGAGGTCATCAAGAGAGAGGAGATCCTGTACGATAAAACTAGATGAAAATCTGAAGGTGAAAAAAGGGATTTCTTTGCAGATCAACATTTCTAACGAGTAAAACCTACAAAATAATTCCTCTGAGGAAATATCAGCTTACAGTCGACTTATTGGTCGATACCATAGACTGTATAAACTATAAACAACTTGGTTCTGCCTTCCACCAGTAGACGGATTTGAAGCTGAAAAGCTCTCGGTAATTCTGCCATTTTTCTCCACTTCCTGTTCTCGGAGTGGTTTCACCCATAGAGGAGGCAGACGGCATCTATTCTATATACAGTCTATGATCAATTTGAGGCGACCAAAATTCTGATTGGTCACTTGATTTTTTCCGTGTCAATCTACAGTCAATGGTTAATTTCATCAGGAGGAACGTACCAAGTGCTAATGGGGGGGGTTTCAGAGCACCCCCATTTCACAGGTAACAGCCTGTCTCAGAACACCCCCCTTGTTTTCACCATTTTGGATTCGCCCAACCCACTGGAGACAGGCTAGAGACAGGAAGATTGAAGAGCGTCCACATTAATCAACATCCGGTGGGCGATATTGTTTTTGTCGGACGGTAGGGGAAAGTCCCGCCTCCTTCGCCTCTGATTGGCTAGAAAAGCTGGAGCTAAACACGAGCTGTCGGCTCTGTACATCGAACAGAAAATTATCGCACCTCTGAATCTCCTAACCCTAACCCTAACCTGACAGATGATGACGTCTCACAGCCATAAGGAATAACAAATCAGAGCCCAGCACTTCTAGCCAATCAGAGGCAAAGGAGGGCGGGACCTTCTCCTACCATCCTGCAAACAAAAAATTGCATCCGGTGGTTTGCGAAATATAATATTTGTGTTTAATTGCCTTCTTATGCTGATATCAGTATGTTTCCATTCCGCCGAGCCACATCCTCCCGTGTAAGAGTTGGACCCCCCGATTAGACGATTTTTGGTCGAATATTTCAGGTTTTTGGTCGTCCAAGAATTTCTTTGGTTGATCTCGCCCTACCTATACTGCTACAATCACAGATAACTATAAAACACTATCAGCGCACTTTATTTAGCAGTAACCTTTTGGTGCTTTTGTGGTGCAGAACATGTTACACAAAATGTCAGCACACATCTATCAGTGTATTGCACGTCTATGCTCATTGTAGGCTCTCCATTTTTCGTGCTGACCGAACTACAAGCCCCCAGTTTTCATTCCAGCTCCAGTGCCAAGACTAAAGGGGAGTTCCAAGTTTTTTTTTTTTTAAAGCCGGACTAATTAATGTCCTTCTCTTTTTCTCCCCTCGTAACACACACAGGTTAATAGCCAGCACACACTAATTTTATTGTTATATGTTGTTTTTGGTCGTGTTGCAAAGAAAAGAGCTCCAATTATTTTTCGGAGGAGGGGAAACCGACTAATTAATCCCCCCTGAACTGAACACACACACACACTTTCATATACACACTCAAACAAACACACATGAAGAGGAGGCCCGTGCTGCTGAGTGTGTTTTTCTGATTTTTTTTTTGTGTGGAGGGGGAGGTGTGCTGAGTGACTACCATTCCGTCATGTTATTGCTGTTTGGAAAGTCTGCTTCACGCTCTTCATCTCCTCTCTTGCCAAGTTAGGAGTGTTTTACACATTGACCCACTTTGCTGTGGAAAAACATGAAAAAAATTGACATGGTTGTCTGTGACACGGCGTTTATCCCCTGAGGGCTAAGAAGAAAGTGAAGGAGATGCCCCATTTGCCTTGTGAGGAGTGTAACAAGACCAGACCTCCGTTCAAAAGTTGTTTTTCTGGAGTTTTTACTGCGGATTAGGGAGTGTAATCGACAGCTGTCAGCCTGTGGCTTATAAAACTAAAACCTCCTCATACAGCAAGAGAAGAAAGAGACAAGATCACCTGGAAAAGTGTAGTGAATGATTTCTTTTTATTTTGGTGCTGAAAGACTGAAGAAAAAGTTCAACTTTGAACACAGCAGTCACGTTTTTACGATTTCCCAGCACTCCAGAATTAAAAAAGTCCAAATTTAATCCTTATGAGAGATTTTTACTGGAATATCCTCTATAAAAATCGAGCTAATTCATAAACTGAGCATTCATGAAACTTCTCAAAGTTTTGTTTACAGTTTCAAATGCTGCCCAGCTGTTCTGAAATCATCCAAAATCAACCCTTGTTTAAAAACTGACTCTCAGGTCCAGGACTGTCCTGATTTTAAGATCCATTCAAGAAACCCAGCATCATCCACCAAAATCAACTCAGGAGTTTTGTATCCAAAACTTCAAACGCCGTGGGGTTTCTTTGGATAATCTAATACTGAACAAATCAGATTTCAAGAGCGTCACGTGGATCGAGAAATAAAAAAATGTTGTGTACTGAGAACAGAGCGGTGCTATCAGTCAGTGAGGACGAGCGGCGAAAGGTCAGCGGGTTTGTATTTGTGTGTATAAACATTTATTTTACAAGGGGCTTCTTTCCAGGAGTTCGACTTCCTCAGGGAAGATCTGCAAGTGAAGGTTAGATACGTCTTTAACTGCAGAAATTTAACCCCTTTAACAAAACATAACAGTCATTTTTGCGCACTTACTGATGCAGACTCACCCGAGTATTTAAGTTTGATTTTGTGAGGGGGTTTAACCTTTAAAGACTGAGCCGGGGTCATTAATAACCATCAGCTGCACACAGTGGTTAATGATTCATAAAGTCGAATACCAGTTAGAGTATTGGGTTCACTTCCTTCTCTACTTTGTCGTCAATCTAATCTCAGTGTTAGTAAGCAGTTGTTTAGCTCTAACAGATCTGCTCGCCGTCTGGATGGCAGATGATCCATCGTCTGTCGCCTGCTCTCATCTTATCTTCTCCTTTCTCTCGATGATATACGCCCCTGTTGAACTCCACAAGATATTTTTAAAACCTGTAATTCTGTTATTGTCAAAGCTCTCTGCCTTGAAATGAGAGACTAATATGTGTTTTCATCTTCTGTATCAGCTCACAAAGATGCCCTAAAGCATTTTAATTGTCAGCAGAAGTAACTCAAGCAAGCGTAGCGCTGCCGTGTGGGAGTATTTCGAGCGGTAGATTGGTGCTCAGTCGAGTATTTATGGCAGCAAGTGGGTTAGCATGTGGGATTGAATCACACAAACTACAATACCAAAGTTTTCAGTGTTACCAAGTTGGTGTGTTGGAGGTCTTTGGCACATGGAAATAGTCTTTGTCAGGCTTTGGCAACAAAAGGACGATCAATCTGTTGGTTTGAGACGGTAAGAAAAACACAGAATAACATGATACATATCAAATTATGGAGCTCGAACTCCTCACAAAGAGCTTTGAGAGCCATGACCTCTACCCTGTAAAAAATTCAGCCCCTTCAGCAGCAGCAGCAGAAGTTAACTGTTAAGTAATGTGGCCTGACAGATTCAGACATAGTTGTGTCATGCCTGCTCAGCAACTCAGGCTCCAACAGTTGGACTCTGTAGTAAGTGGACATACAGAGACAGACAGGCAGGGAGATAAACTGTCAGCATGAGCTCACACAGCCTGTATTTGTATCTGATAGCAGCTACAGGAGCCAGTTTGTTAGCATTACCTCACCGGTTTGAGGAGGCAGAGATACGTGGCATTAGTTCCTAGTGTAGTTCCCCTCTGCCTCTACGTTTGTCCGTTTAAAAACCTCAAATAGTTCAATGAAGTTATATTATGATCATTCGCTTGCAGTTCCACTCTGCTCTTTCTTGCAGCCTCATAATAATAATGCTAGTTCATCATTTCAATCCAGTAATTAAAAGTACAATCACCTCCTGATGTCTAATTTGTCTTTAACCTGCAGTTTTAAAGGGATATTCCAGTGTAAAATTGAGTTAGGGTCAAACACCGTAACACCAAGTTAGACATCCCGTAGAGAGATGAATGTTGCCGACTGTTTGCATCTCTAGTTATACCAGCTCACAACTCACCCACTCTCTTCCAGCAGCTGCTTAAGACCTCAGGCCAGTCCATTATGGACTTCAGCGGGGTTATGCAGCTCAAGGAAGAACATTTATGATCATTTCTTCATGGAAATGCAATCAGACTGAGACGGTAAGGCAGAAGAACTACTGAGTCTGCAGAGCAAAATGATAAATATGGTGATTATTACTTTAAAGAAATGATAAAGTAATGATCATAAATGGTCTTCCTTGAGCTGCGTCACCCCGCTGCAGTCCATAACGGACTGGCCTGAGGTCTCCCTACAAACTAGTGGCTGCTGGAAGAGAGTAGGTGAGTTGTGTTTAGTCTCTTTGCTAAAGAAATTAGCTAAGATAAAAAGATGTTTAGTGGTTAGTGCTGTGGCTGGGACCGTATATGTACTGTTGATGAAGTTAGGTGCTGTTCTGAGCATTATTTGTGTCTATAGAGTGGCGTTTTGGTTGAGGTTTGTTTATGGCTCCTCAGACTGCTGTGTATTGCTAGCGTGTGGTTGTATTTCAAGTTTGTATAACTAGAGAGGCAAGTGGTGAACAACATTCATCTCTCAAGGTGGTGTCTAACTCTGTGTTATGGTGTGTTTGACCCTATACTGATTTTATGCCGGAATATCCCTTTAAGTTATACTATGATCATTGGCTTACAGCCATTCTGATAACGCTAGCTCATCATTTTAATCCAGAAATTAAAAGTCTAATCACCTCCTGACCTCTAACTCGTCTTTAACCTGCAGTTTTAAGGACAGTTTGCTGTGACCTCTGAGGCTCCTTATATTGTCCTAAAGTGCTCGCTTGCCTCTTCTGTAATTGTTGTCGAATGGTTGACAAAGTATGTGCTTTTTGGCTCAAGCTCCTCTTGACTCACCGCGAAGCTTTTTGACTTTGAGGCGAGGAGTCGTCCAATTTACAAATCACCACCCTGCACTCTTTATTTTGCTTGTGTGAGCCTTAATTTGGCTGCGAGGAAGCTCTCAGCTGTTGTCAGAGGTGGATTCTGGGAAACAGGGGTGACGAGGAGAGAGACAAAGAAACAAAAGAAAGGGAAACAAAGATGATGGGAGGAATTCAGATGCATCTCTGGGGCAGAGTGGATCCATTAGTGTGTTTGTTCTCCTTTCACCCGGGTCACTGAACTCATCGGAGCGGGAGACCTGTGTTGAACTTGCTGTGGGAGAAGGCACTTACAGATGTGTGCATACTTGCAGGGTGGCGAGTGTTTGCCTTTGAACGCGTGAGTATGCGTGCTTGCACAAAAGGTGACGCAAGCTTGTGCACACACTTAGTAGCATTCTTCTATCACACTGTGTGAAAGATGTTCGGCCTCCTCTGAGGGGCCTCTTTGCTGCTTCTGCATTAACCCTGTGCCTTAAAGTGACACTCCTTATTAAACTGTATCCTGCATAATGTCAATGAAGTTTCTACCTTTAGCTGCTCTTTCTGGACCTTTTTATTGTTGTATTGGAGATTGAACATTGGTTTCTTGTTGGGACATGTCTTCTGAATATAGTCAAGTCTTCCAACTACAGTGATCTTTTGAATTTCTTCCTTATGGTAATAGTTGATGTGAGGAATATACATTAGTAGGTGGCCCCAACAAAATGATTATTAATTAAATTAATTAATTACTAATTTAAATCATTTTGATGATTGAAAAATTAGTATTAACAAAAATCGTCACCCAGATTTCTGGTACGGCTCTGCACTGCTTCTCCTATCTGTCAAAAAAGGCAATTTTACAACTCACTGGACTCTTTAAATGCTTAAACAACATTTGGGATACCTCAAGGCTCAATTCTTGGTCCCATTCTGTTCTTCCTATACATGCTTTCTTTAGCTAATATCATCAGTTATCATCTGCAATGTCATGTCATATTTATGCATTCGACCCTCAGTTATACTTCTCCACACAATCTACCAAATGCAACAAACTGGATGCACAATCCAAAGCTGCTTATTTTATTTCTCGTGTAGCAAAGTGCCACGTCGCTCAGTAGGACACTCAGTTTGTTTACATTTTGTTTAAGAAATCAATCCATTGCGTTTTTCAACAGAGACTAGACTTTCTAAAACCGTTAAAGTCTGACTGGTATTGCACCAAATCAGACTAACCTTCCTAGATAATGTGGTTGGGGATCAGGATCTCTTCCCAATCAGACAGCTAGACCACTTACCTGGTGGTGTGTCCATCTGGTAGAGTCCTTTGTGGCAGGTTATGTCCTGAAAGTTTGTGTCACTACAAGCCAAAAGTGTTGCCCTATTTTAAATCTAATTGAACTTTCTAAAAATTAAGATTTCAAGTTTTTGATCTGCTGTCAGAATCGAGACGACCTCTTTTTATTTCTGTTTCAGATGCAGGAGTTGGAGCAAAGGGTGACAGAGGCCGACCAACGAGCGGAGAGTGCTGAGAAACAGGTATGGAGAAGTTCTGAAGCTTTGTCCTCAGCTTGTAAAAAAAAAAACACAGCTCAATTGTTAAAAACTTTCTGATATGTGGGGATGTGGAAGCAACACCAGATGTCAAGTTATACCAGCACTTTGGACAGTAGCTGCATTAGCTTCACTTGCCCAGGAGTCGATCATGAAACCCAATAACTAACTTTGGTGATACTGTACTAGATAATAATTTGCACTTAATGTAGTACAAAAATTTTAACACCTTTTACTTGTTAAGCAGCTACCAAAAGTTTGTCTTTTATATTTTGTTTTTCTGTTCACTAAGATTACACAAAAAACAATATGATCAACTCATCTAGGGCCCGTTTCTATTGACAGCTTTTTGTTTGTTTGTTTGTTTGTTTGTGCAGTGTTTATTTTTTATTAAACAGAACAAATGTAATTCAACACTTTTGGCTTTTTTTGCCCTTAAGTGCAGAAAAAACACTTAGAAATTCAGATCATGGACACTGCCAGAGCAAACAGCAGCTGCTAGTGGACACAGGCCCTAAATATTTTGACATAGAATTAAGATTTCTTTATTCGAAGGGCTTTTCTAATGCTTTATTACCACTGTATGTTCTAGTAACAAGAGGAAAACAATGTGTTGACCTTGAATTGAGATTTTTTTCTCAAATATAAAAGTTAGGTTTCTAAGCTCAAGCTCAAAACTAAGCACAGTAAGAGGAAATCTTACATTTGGGAACCATAAAGTAACACAAGCAGGCAGATTAAGTGTTTTTGTCTGAGTATGAGTCAGTCTTTGATGGGATTTAACAAAAGGAGAGTGCGGTTTAAGGGTAAGAAGCCTCGTACATTATATATGACACATACCCTTTCTTGCTGTTCTTTCTAATCTGCCATTTGCTGTCATTACTGGCTGCTCCAGGTGTTTTCTGTAGGTGGTAATTTGATGGTGCCCTTTCTTTAAAAACAAGAAATACCTCAGGGCTTAGAGAGCTTTCTTTCCCGTCAGAGTTGGCGAAAAAAAGGTAACCTCAGCGGTTACTTCTCGGCTTTTGTCTGCTGCCCATCAAAACCGATGAACCATGCAGATTTAAGCTTTTTTTAGCCCTCTTTGTGTTTTCAATCCTCTAATTACGCATTTCAGATCCATGTCATGGAAGAAAAGCTGAAGTCTGCAAACATCCAGACCAGCGACTCAGAGAGTTCCTTGTACAGAAAGTATCAGGACCTGAGCAGCCAGCTTCAAGATAAAGATGCTGTGATAAAGAGATTAGAGATGCAGCTGGAAAAACAGGTATGGATGGAAACGTCTGATAAAGACCAGAAATGACCATTTATGTTCATGACGTATGGAAAATAATAATAACCCATAAATCCTGTTTGTCTGCCTGCAGATCTTGGTCAGAGCCCAGGAGGCGAAAATTATCGAGGAGAAGGCTGCCAAGATTAAAGACTGGGTCACCTTAAAGCTCAGAGAGGTACGCTCATATATGTACAGATTACGGCTGCAAAGGCTTCTGGGATCTGGTGAGATGCTTCATATGGGGTGCAAAAGAGATGCTTAAAGTGCTTTATGTACTATCTTATCAATATAATTTGGTAGTTATCAATCCGACTGAGTGGGTATGACATGTGGAGTTCCTCAGGGGTCAGTCCTTGGACCCTTCTGTTCAACTTATATATGCAATGTGTGTCAAATTCTGCAGAATTCTAATATCAGCTATCTTAGTCAGATATATCTCGCAGTCTCTCCACATGACTGCAGTCCTATAGAGTCATTGTGTTACTGTGTAGAGCAAGTCAGAAATTGGATGAACCAAAATTTCCTTGTTTTTGGCAATATAGAGAAGAGGGTTGCTGTCAGTAAACACCTTGAGTCACTGTCTTTAGAAACTAAAGACCAAATCTGGAACCTTGGCATGCTGATAGACGCTTTATAAATAAAGATGCCTTGCCTTGCCTATCTGCACTATAATATAGTTTTTTAAATTCAAGACCGTCCTCTAATTGATATGTGTGCTGTGTTTCAGATGGAGCAGGAGAACCAGCAGCTGAAAATGGCAAACCTGAAGCAGTCAGAGCAGATAATGCTGCTCCAGGACAAACTGCAAGGTGAACACAGATGTTGAAGTCATAAAGTTGATGTGCTAAAGGCAAAAAACAAAGCTTTTCTGCAGTGGCGTCAAAAATTACAGTTTGGATTCATTCCCAGAGACTGATCCGCTGTTGTCGTCTGTATCTTCCAGCTCTCTTAGAGAAACCTGCATCCTGTGGATCTCCTGCCACCTCCCCTGTAATGGATACCCACCTGGTGCCCAGCAGTCCGCTGTTTCCTCCCAGCTGCCCCAGCACACCACCTGTCCAAGATGACAGCTGGAGGCAGACAGGTCCTCGAGGGACCGCCTCTAATATCAAGACCTCACCTACAGGTGCGCCACCTTCAGTTCTTCTCATCCTGGGATTTGTTTTCAGGAAGTTTTTGAAGCAGTGAATTTGTGATTGAAGAGAGTCTCCTAATCCAGGGAGCAAAGATTGACTCTAATGTTACTCCTCTGTCTCCTCAGATGTGAAAAAGACTCCTGAACAGTCCACTAAAGGGATCTCTCTTGGAGACCTTGCAGCCCATGATGCCCTCTCTCAAAGCTGGAACAGGGAGGGTCCCGGCAGCCCTATTTCCATCGGTGGATCAGAGCTCCCAGCAGGTCCAGACGGCCTTGCAGAGGGCTCCGACAGAGACAACTCCTCCGATGAGCTCAACAGCAAATTCCGCTCTCAGTGCCTCCATTCCTCCTCTTCCTCTTCCTCTTCATCCTCAGCCTATGAGATGGCCCATGGACCGAGCTCTCTGGAATCCACGATGAGAATAACACCCAAAAGCCCCCTCCTGTCTCGCTCACCCTCCACCAACAACCCGTTCCCCAATCCTCAGACTCACCTGTCAGGCACCAGCATGACGTTACCCAAAGTTCGGACTCCGCTCACCCCCAGAGACAGCATCCAGCTGGTCAAAAAACACTACAGCCAGCCTCAACCAAGTCTAGACCGCCTTCACCACCTCAACGTGAACATCGACATCATGACGCCTTCATCCACGTCCTCCACCCTCAAGAGCACAGGCACCGCCACCTCGGCTTTTTCGCAGGTTGTCGAGGAAACGGATATTGATGATGGGCTTCCTGACGGTATGGAGGGAGTAGTGGAGGGGCCCGGGACGGAGGAGACGGCCCATGATGGAGTCTCTTTTGTTGGGCTGGCAGAGGAACTGGAGCGGCTGGATCCTGAAGTTCTCAAACCACCAACGCCTCCTTTACACCGCTTTCCCTCATGGGTATGAAATACAACGAGTACTGAATCCTTGTGTTTGATATTTGAGGTGTTAAATCAAAGTCTGCAAATATATAAATCACTGTGAATAGAGATGAAGCCAAACTACTCTGAAAAAGACGCTCACATTAAACAAAAAAATACCTTTCACGCAGAGTGGATAATTAATGAAAGAGGATTAGGGCCGCATAGAGAGAAAAAAATAACAGTAAGGAGATAAAAGTCAAAATTTGAAGATTAAAAATAGAAATTTTAAGCTCACAAAATGTCAAAATGTTGTTAATAATGTTGCAGTTTCGAGATTAAAAAATTTTCAAATTTCGAGGATAAAATAGAAATTTCTAGAATAGAAGTTAAATTTCGAGATAAAAAAATCAAAATTATGTCATTAGGTCGAAATTTCGAGATTCAAAATAGAAATCTCTAGATTACAAAATGTCATGAATAATGTCGAAGATTCGAGATTAAAAAAATGTGAAATTTGAGATTAAAGTTGAGATTTTGAGATTAAAGTTGAGATGGATAAAGTTCAAATTTGACTTTTTAAATTTTGACTTTAATCTCGAAATTTTGACTTTAACCTTGAAATGGAAAATAAAAAAAATCTCCCTCCTGTAATGATTTTTTATTCTTGTGGGTCTAATCCTATTTCATATAAACGCCATGGATCTTTTTGATTAATAGACTTTAAAATTGGGAGCTCTAAACTCAGCTGGTCTGACTCTCTCAGTTTTAGACTGCCATGTAAAGAAGATTCAACCGACAATTTGCAAATCCAATAGGGTTGTTGATCTTCACTTCCTTTTCTCTGCAAAAAAATCTGTCAAGCAAGGATCTCTCTGCTATTACACGATATCTTACTTTTTGATTATGTATCCAATCAATGTCAAAATGAGTGCACAGGATATTTCTGACTTTGCTGATCCTTGCAGGAGAGTCGAATCTACGCTGTGGCGAAATCAGGAATGAGAGTATCAGAGGCCAGTCCTGGATCCAGGGGTCTGGGACGAGGTGAGTAACCCACATAGAGAAGCTAATAAACTCCTACTGTCTTTATTTACGTCTATTTTCTACCTCAGTGACACGTTTAAGGTTTAAATTGGTGAATAGAGACAGAAAACCTGTATTTCAGTGTGTGTGTGTGTGTGTGTGCGCGCGTGTGTGTTGTTCTTGGGTGGTTTGGAAGAAGAGTCAGTGCTGTGAAGTGACATGTCACTCAGCTGAGTCTAAATCTGCCGTAAAGGCGTGTGAGTGTGCGGTTAGTTTGGATCTGTCACTGCAGCCTTTGATGTCACTTCCTTCAGCCCGAGGCTCCTCCACACACCTGCACAGGTGCGAGCTCTCAGGAGGACGTTCAGACCTCCTCCTTTTCTCTTAAAGAGCTGAGGAAGAGCATAAGAGTAGAGGTTTAAAGAGGAGCAGGGGGAGAGGTTGCTTTTTAATCAGCTGTGATGAAAGGACGGGGGTCTGGCTGTAATTACGGCTGTGCTCTCTGTCTCTATATCATCCGTTTCCCTCACGCTGAAGTTTGACAGCTCTCTGACTGTTGAGCAGTCTGACTGACTGCCAGCTACTCTGCGCTGACTGCCAAGCTGCTGTTGTGGATTAAGTCATAGCTTATTCAGTTTACTGGGCCTTTCTCGTGTTTGTACCCCAAGATGTTGTTGGAGTACTTCGATACTGCCAGAATTAAAACCAGTAACCAGGTTTGGGTTTGTTTTTTATTGAAGCTCGAGACAACTAAACATTTATTTTACCACAAGGGAAGTTCCGCTGCAAATTTATCCAAATAAAACAACACCTTCACAACTAAATAATGGTATTTTTTCCTTCTGTGCAGACATTAAAACTGAGGTTAGTGTGTAGGTATGTGAATATTTTAGCCTTATCCACTTTTCTATTTTGACTGTGTGGCCACTGTTAACAGTAAAAGACAGAAAAATATAGTCTTACCTATAGTGATAATTCAAAGGGATATTCCGGCATAAATTTGAGTTACGGTCAAACACACCGTAACACTAATGTAGAAACCGCCACGAGAGATGAATGTTGTCGACCTCTTGCTTCTCTAGTTATACCAACTTTAGTAACGACCACACGATAGCAATACACACCGGTCTATGTCTCCACATGCAAACCTCAACCAAAACGCCACTCTATAGCCACAAATAATGTTCAGAACAGCACCTAACTTCATCAACAGTACATATAGGGTCCCAGCCACAGCACTAGCCATCAAACATCTTTTTAGCTTTGCCTGATTTCTTTAGCAAAGAGACTAAACACAACTCACCTACTCTCTTCCAGCAGCCGCTTGTTTGTGGGGGAGCCCAGTGCAGCGGAGTTTCGCAGCTCAAGGAAGAACATTTATAATTATTACTTCATGGAAATGCAATCAGACCGAGACGCTAAGGCAGAAGAAATACTGCGTCTGCAGTGCAAAATGATTAATATAATGATTATAACTTCAAATTTTACTTCATTTTTACTTAACTTCATTTTACGCTGGAATATCCCTTTAAGTTTGACAGGCTGTTTTCATGTCTTTTAATCCAATTCATTGTAAATAGATGTTCTGCTTTCTTTCCGCAGTGTCTCACTTACCACAATATCCGGCGGCAGGTCCGTTCACCCAGATGATCTATAAAAATATCAATGTACCGGTCTACACCACACTGAAAGGGGTGAGTGAATCAATCTGAAGTGCTGCTGGATCTGACCTTTCCTTCGAATGCAGATTTTCCCTAAAATTATAATGTGTTTGTTCCAACTCTCTCTATTGTTTGTTTTAGAAAGCCACTCAGATCAGCAGTGTACCTCTGCCTGATGACGACTCCGGCTCCGAGGACGACAGCAGCTCTCTGGCCAGTTTACGGACCTCCATCCTGAGTCCGGACAGGAAGGGGAGCGTCCCAGGGAGTCCACGTGCTGTGAAAAGAGGTGAGATTATGATCCGCACTAGACAACATGCATCTCATAGAAAGTGCTGTTTGGTTTTGAAGATAGATCTCGAAGTCTGGATTTTTCCATCTTGAATTTGCCTCATGCTTGTTTTTCTCCTGACTGTGTGTACGTCATGTCTTCTTTAGGTGTGTCCATGTCCTCCATTAGCTCAGAGAGCGATTATGCCATTCCTCCTGATGCTTATTCCCTGGACAGCGACTACTCTGAACCAGAACATAAAGTCCAAAGAACCTCCTCCTACTCCTGTGAAAGCACTGGGCCTGTAAGTGGTTTTGATAAAGACCTTATGTCTTACACTGCTGGTCTAGATCAACAGATTCCTACATGCAGAATTCAATAATAGAGAATGCATGTTGGAAAGTCGAATCGAATCAGACGGGATCTCTGCAGTGAATAAATTCCTATGTCTGCAGGAGACGCTGGAGAAGTCTGGGTACCTGCTGAAGATGGGCAGTCAAGTCAAAGCCTGGAAGCGTCGCTGGTTCATCCTGAGGAATGGAGAGATTCTCTACTACAAATCTCCTGTGAGTGTGTCTCTCTGTGAGCCTGCCTGCCTGTCTGCTTCCTTCTAAGGTTTGATTATCTGCGCAGAAAACATTGCAGGAATAGTTGAAAATCTTGTGTGTTTGCGTGGAAGATGAAGGCACAGGTACCACCTCTACTACTCATCTCTGGTGGCATTTTAAAACATCATAAATTCTACTTCACATTTGCATTTGGACAGTTTGAATTGATCATGAATATGCGTGTGTTTGCAGAGCGACGTGATCAGGAAACCTCAGGGTCAGATCGAGCTGAACTCGTCCTGCAGTATAGTTCGAGGAGAAGGAGCGCAGACCTTTCAAGTAAGTGGAAAATTGGCTCTCTTGGACATGTAATGAATCTGATAGCTGGACAAAGACAGTAGTAAGAGAGGACAAGCAGACGCACACTCTGAATGTGTCCTTTTCAGCAGAGCTTTACTGCTGCATACCAGAGGAGCAGCTTAAAATGACATCAGGTATAACATTGGACTGGAATGTTTTCCCGGCTCTTCTGAGGCTGATTCTGATCTCCTCTGACACCATGATGCTATCTCAGTCAGCTTGGCTTAGCATTTCTCCCATATTTCTCCTCCTTTTTCTGTCCCATCAGCTGATTACAGAGAAGAAGACCTTCTATCTGACCGCTGATTCACCCAACATCCTGGAGGAGTGGATCAGGGTTTTGCAGAACATACTCAAAGTCCAGGCCAGCAGTCCTGTCAGTGTGGAGACGACCGCCAAGCCCACCACCAGAGGCTGGCTCACAAAGGTCAGGAGACAGAAGTCATGAGATACCGAAGCGGTTAAATTAGAAAGAAAGCTTTTGTGAATGCTTGAGATAAGGTTTCGGCATTACACGTACACACTAGGAGGAGCAGGGAGCTGTCAGAAGAGAACCACTCCACCAAATATGACTTAGTGGTTCAGGATTCAGGTATGATTCATATTAAAGCTCCTGTAGGGAGTTTTTTATTATTATGAAACATACTGGAATTCATGTGGATGCCTTTTTTTAATATCCAAAAGCAAATAAAACCGTCAGTGACAAGATTGAAGATTTTATAAATTGCCATTTTTAATGCTTGAAACTGGTGTGAAGAGGGTAGGTGTTAGACGTTTTTTCAATTTACATATAAAAATTTTACAATAAATTGTATATTTGACCGTAAAGGTTGACAGGATGAGCTTCTTTGACAAAAGACACAAATTTAGCATCTAGAGGACACGACAAGCAAAGACTGCTTTGTCCACAGGGGGCGCCAAAATTGACACAAAATGAAAGTTTCATACGGGAGCTTTAAATTTGACATATTCATTGAAGGAAACATTTATACTGCTTTTTTTTTTCTTTCAATCCAATCCACTTTATGTATCACATTTTAAAAAACATTCAAGTTTACCAAAGAGCTTCACAATAAAATTAATGAACAAACACTACAGAAAACATCAAGATGAAATGAATAAAAGCATAAAAAACATTTAAAATGAAGTAAAATAAATGAAATAAAAATATAAAAGACATGAAAGGACAGAGATCACACAACTCTCATGCTAAACTAAAATCCAAGGAACAAAAATGAGTTTAAGACGTGATTAAAAGTAGAAAGAGTGGGGGAGGTTTTAATCTTGAGTCGGGGCGTATAAACATTTAAGATGTCAGAGATGTATTGTGGTGCTGATCCATTTAAAGATTTAAAAACAATAAAATTATAGATGAATTCTAAAATTAACAGGAAGCCTATGGAGAGACGCAAGAATAGGAGTGATGTGATCATGTTTTCATTCACCTGTTAAAAGACGAGCAGCGGCATCTTATTTAGCTCTCTTTCTTATTGTGAAATATCAAAGAATTGTAGAAATAGCTTTTCATGTTTGATTTACTTTCAGATAATATAAGTTGATTGATTTGAATTACATTTTATGGTGTTTAATTAATTTAAGAGTATCAGAAAGTTCCAAAAATGCAATTAAAACCACCCCAGAGTCAGATTATGACTTTTTTTGAAGTATCTGCATTTATTTTAACTCAGAACTGTTGCTGATTTAATGCAATGCATTTTTTTTTGTTATTAGTTTCTGGTTAAAGAATTAAATGTGTTTTAAATCCATACTTCCCAACTCCACTTCCACTGCGATGCTAAGAGGTATAGATCCAGCCAGTCTTTCTCCCTGAAGTGGATACCAGAGATAACTTCTTCCTCCTCAGGCTCGGCGTCCTCTTTCAGACAGATATGGAAGTGTCTATCACTCAGGTGCTGGTGGGGGTTTTGACAGAGCTCTCTTCAGGCAGATTCTTGAAAACCTCCTTCACGTTGGGACACGGCTGTTAAGACCCGAGCCGCTGGAATGCTTGACATCTCTTTTCCCCTTCAAACCTCCTCTTCTCTTCTCCTTTCTTTAGCCAGAGCCAGTCTGTGGGTAAAATTAAGACTCTTAAACCCCTGACTTGTGTGTGTGATGGGTCTCTGACAGATAAGTGACAGCCTCAAACTGGGATGATGAAGTCCATGTCCTCTTCCTAAGAGCTGTCTTTGATCTGCTGGTTATAACGTGATCTCGGAGCAGACAGGGGCTGTCCTGCCTCTCTGCATAGTTAACCCCGCTGACCCCTCTGAGGGAGCACAGCTGGCTTTGTGATAATGGCATCCTCGAGTGACATCACTGCTCCATCCATATTTCTTCTACTCTCTGACAGTAAACTGTTACATAAAAAGAGGTTATATCATCTAAAGCTGCATTCTTGGTTACGGAGGAATCTTTTACATTACACGCTTTTTACATTTTACTTTGGAAGGAGGAAAATATCTTTGACATCTGCTGGAAATCTGCATAAAGTGACACTTTTATAACACCGTCTCTGCTGCTGTGTTTTTTGTTTCAGGTCAAACATGGACACTCTAAGCTGGTGTGGTGTTCTCTGGTTGGAAAAGTCTTCTACTATTATCGTAACCAAGAGGACAAGGTTTGCAAAAACACATTTTTTCCTATTTCTAACAAACTTAATAACACGCTCTATCAATTTGTCCTAATTTAAAGCTAACAATGTACCGTATGTAAATCAAAATTTAAACAGAATGTGGAAGTGTCTGAGTTTGCAAAAAGATGGTATCCATCATTTTTCTCTTGCTTAATTTAGAGCAATGTAAAATATATATATTACAGACCCACTCCGATAAAAATAACGTTTTTTACATGTTCGTTTTTCTGATGCTAAAGGACATATCATGAGAAAAATAAGTGCAAAATTGCATTTCTGACTATTTCTTTATTCAAATCGCTGTGAATCTTTGGCAAACCCAAACAGCAGGTTCAGAAACAGTGAGATTTCTTACATCACAAATCCAAGCTCCGCCCCTGGAGCCCCGCTATGCAGGCCAAACTCAAAGTAGAGAAGTAGAGAGGATGATTGCGGAACACATAAGCGGATTGCAATGCTCGTAAGAAAGCGAATTATGATATTTACTTTCATCACGCCCATCAGTGCTAATGAATTGCTAATGATCTACTGGAGCTCTGCAGAAGAAAAGCTCTTGAAAACAACACAGCTAATGAGATTTTAGCTAAAAACTTCATAATCACAGTTTAAAGTACACTCAGAACACTTTAAGTAGTAAAAAAATAGGATAGGAGTTAGACTTTAAAGCTCCTGTAAGGAGTTTTTGGATAGTTATAAAACAGACTGCAATTACTATAGATGCCTCCTTATAAGCTCTCAAAGCAAAGCAGACCATCAGCATACAGTCTGATCATTTCTGTGTAGTTATTTTTAGGTCTAAAATTGATGATTGCAAAGATTCAAAGAGAGCAGGTTGACATTTTTTTTTTTTTTTAGCTAAAAACCCTTTAAAATGTGCCAGTATTATAAAATGTTAACTGTCTTCTTGTAAAATGATATTGTGCTTAAAATATTTAATTATAAGGGTTCATAGCTTTATTTCTCTTTCTTCAGCTGCCTCTGGGTCAGCTGCAGATGCGGGAGGCTTCGGTACAGGAAGTGGATCGCTCCTGTGACTCAGACGAGGACTACGAGGCGGGTAGTCGAGGTTTCCTCTCCTCACACTGCACTTTAGTGGTCCAGCCCAGAGACCAGAGCCCCACATACCTGCTCATCGGCACCAAGCAGGAGAAGGTTACTGCAACACGCGGTGTCTCAAGTGATGCTGAATTATCTTCTCTGGTATGAGGTTTCAACAAGAGTGTGTTTGTCTGCACAGGACACATGGTTGTATCACCTGACTGTAGCTGCAGGCAGCAGTGCGACCTTTAAAGTGGGCACCGAGTACGAGCAGCTCATCGGGAAGCTCCTCGATGCAGAGGGAGACCCAGGTGAGAAAGACGACATCCTCAGTTAGAGTCAGCTGAGATCTGGATGAAGATTTCACTTCAAGTTTTATTAAAAATACTCCTGATATGGAGCGTTACAAAGAAAAGAGATGGTTTTAGTTTACAGACTACTTTTCCTCTTGTGTTATTTAAAAATCCAAACAGAGACTGCTTTCTTGGTTATTTTTAAAGGTATATTCCGGCGTAAAATTAATTTAGGGTCAAACACACCATAACACCAAGTTAGACACCCCCTTGAGAGATTGATGTTGCCGACCGCTTGCTTCTCTAGTTATACCAACTTTAGTAACGACGGCACGATAGCAATACACAGCAGTCTACATCTCCACACACAAACCTCAACCAAAACTCCATTTCTTTATCATTTCCTTGAAGTAATAATCACCATATTAATCATTTTGCACTGCAGACGCAGTAGTTCTTCTGCCTTAGCGTCTCGGTCTGATTGCATTTCCATGAAGACATGATCATAAATGTTCTTCCTTGAGCTGCGTCACCCAACTGTAGTCCGTAATGGACTGGCCTGAGGTCTCGCTACAAACAAGCGGCTGCTGGAGGAGAGTAGGTGAGTTGTGTTTAGTCTTTTTGCTAAAGAAATTAGGCAAAGTTAACAAGATGTTTGATGGCTAGTGCTGTGGCTGGGACCCTATATGTCCTGTTGATGAAGTTAGGTGCTGTTCTAAGCATTATTTGTGGCTATAGAGTGGCTTTTTTGTTGAGGTTTGTTTATGGCTCCTGAGACCACTGTATATTGCTGTCATGCAGTCGTTACTAAAGTTGGTAAAACTAGAGAAGCAAGCGGTCGGCAAGATTCATCTTTCGAGGGGATGTCTATTTCGGTGTTACAGTGTGTTTGACCCTAAATTAATTTTACGCCGGAATATCCCTTTAATGAAGACAATAAAAAGGAGGAGGTTAAAATCTGATCCATGTTAGGGTTTGTATTGTAGCATTCAGACGCACACAGAAGTGAAATAACTGACAGAAAGTCTTTAGGCGGTCTAAGTCTCTCTATAAGTGGACACAAATGTACTCAGTAGCTCTCTACATGTTATTTTGATCCTGGATGTCTGAGCGCCTTAATCCACTCTGCAGACAGTGTTTACAACATGAGCTCTGTGTGTGAGTTTTGGTCAGCTGTTGAGTCATTACAGCTTTGAAACTTAATCTTTGCGTTTGTGTGTGCATGCATGTTGGTTTGTGTGTGTTTATGTGTGTGTGTGTGTGTCCTTCTTTTCCCAGAGTCCACCTTGTGGAAGAGCGAGGCCTTGAGTTTCTGTAAGGAGGGTCTGCGCTCGCCTCTCACCACGCTGCCCTCTGAAGCTCTGCAGACAGAAGCTCTCAAGCTTTTCAAGGTCCGCCTCTCCACCTCTAACCTCTCTGTCTGTCTCTTTTGAATCTTTTTTTTCCTCTCCCTCTCAATCCTTTCTCCTGAATCCTTTTTTTCCTTCTGCATCCTGCTCTGTCGACGAGGGTCTGTTCAAAGCATCATCCACCCTACTCCAGTTTTTCCCCTCTATAGCCCCCATTATCCCGCTCCTCCTCCTCAGATGCACTCTGCTGCCCTCCTCCTCTCTTCCCTCCTGCCTCCAAACCAGATCAAAGGCTGGAGGACGAGGGCCCCAGCTCATTAAAAGTGTGGAAGAGAGATAATGGCCTTGATTATCTGCTCTGATTGAGGCTAACTGTCCTCTGGTGAGAAAGGAGTCCCTTCAAAGCAGAGACATGGGAGGTCAGGGCCTTTAGAAAGTGGCAGCAATGGATATGGAAGCCACAGGATGAGGTGGGAGGGGAAAGAGACGCGCCTTGTAGGAAGATGGCAGATCCTTTTCCTCTTTTTTTTCACCCTCCTCACGCCTCACAACCCCGTCCGCTGCAGTCACCACACTGCAGGATTGAAAGTTGAATGGATCGGCTCTCCCTTTGACCAGCCAGCCTTAAAAAACAGTCCCAAACACACACCCACACACACATATTCACACAAAGAAGAGGCAGAGTGAATGGCAGGGACGAGCTTTTCAAGTCTCCGCTTTACTTCGAGCCTTTGAAGTTTTAATGAATCTGACAAGACTGATGAAAACTGTTCAATTGGTTCTTTGTCTTCAGCTGTGCATGTGGATCAGAACAAAGGTCACTTCAGAAATAATGACACATGTTTGAGCTCTGTCTGACCTCATGCTGTCTATTTTTATCTCTCCTGGCATGAATATTATTATATCTGTTGATTGTGGCCGATCTGTGCGTGCTACCCTGTTTTCTGCTTTCTAGAGCCAGACTATCTGTTTCCACCTGTTTGCAACTTTAATGCTAAACAAGACAAATCGCCTCCTTTTCTGTGTAACTTCAAAAGAATGAAGACAGAAATTTAAAAAAGCTTTTATAAAACTTTAACATCACAAAATGCTCCACGTTTCACACTTTAGAACAGCCGACTGACTGCCTTTCTGATCTTCCTTCGGAAAACATAATTTTATTACAGTAGAGGGTGGCCATAGAAACTGTTGTTGTAAAGCACAGCTTCCACCTTTTTTTTTTTTTTTTTTTTTTTTTCCCCAGCCTGCTTTTGAGGAAGCGGTGAGAAGAAAGGGGTAACAATTCGGGTTGTTATGTTGTCATGTACATTTATATTTTGAAAAAGAATAAGTAAATAAGTGAATAAGTAAAGTATTAAAAAATAAATAAACAAATAATATAAAATCTAGGGACCCTCATGACCCCTTAATGTCCTGATTGTGTTTGAATATTTATTTCTTTTCAATTTCTTAAAAAAAAGTATAATTTAATTACAGTCGTTGATGGCCGTAGAAACTTCTGTTATAGAACACGGCTTTCACCTGTTTTTTATTTTTATTTTTATTTTTATTTATTTTTTGTATTTTTTTCCTCCAACCTGCTTTTGGGAAGAGGGTTGAAAGAAAGAGTAATTGTTTGGGTCGTTATGTTTTTATGTACATTGATATTTTAAAAATAAGTAAATAAATAATAATAATAATAATAATACATTTTATTTATAACACGCTTTTACAGGTTCTCAAAGACGCCTTACAAAGAAGAAAAAATGAAAATAAAAAACACTATTTAAAATACAGAAAATTTTGGGAAATAAAACCAACAATGTATGTAATGTGTTTTTAGAGGTGATTTGAAAGTATGGGGGTCTGTACAGTCTCAGATGGGTTTGGGGAGTGAATTCCAGAGGATGGGGGGGGGCGAATAAATAAATAAATTAAAAAATATAATAAATAAAATACAATCTAGATGAACCAAAGCTCAAAACTATGACTGTCTGTGAAAAAAAAACAACTTTATTCTCACAAATGTATATCTCTTTTTCCTGAAATCTCTCTTTTCTTATTTTACTGCACTGATCTTCTCGTCTAAATGTTTTTAAAATCCCTTAAAATTGCAGTAAAACTGATTTCTGTAGTTTTAAGATGCATTCAAAATATCCATCTTCCCTTGTGTGTGTTTGGTGCCACCTGCTGGTCGTGCAGAGGGATTAATGAAGCGTTCCCCTCTCTCTCTGCAGTCCTGTCAGCTCTTCATCAATGTGCTGGTTGAGTCTCCATCTGTCGATTACCACACCTCCCTGGCCCAGAATGCTTTGCAAGTGTGCCTGACCCACCCTGAGCTGCAGAACGAGATGTACTGTCAGCTGATCAAGCAGACCAACCATCGCACGCCGCACAACTACTCCCTGACGCAGGTGAGCCGGGCGCAAAATGAAGCCTGAGGAAGCAGACGCAGAAAATTTGAACACATGTCTTTAATTTTCACTTTTAATGTCATGCAAATTTCACAGCAGAAATCATTTTATATCCTTATGAAATGAAGATTTTCCTCTTTTTGCCTCCTCTCTCTCTCTCTCTCTCTCTGTAGTGCTGGCAGCTGTTGTCTCTGTGTGTAGCTCTATTTCTTCCCCAACAACATTTCCTTTGGTACCTGAAACAGTACCTGCAGCGAAATGCAGACCCAAGGTGAGTTTTCTTATTAAAGCAAAGAACAAAACTTTCAAAATAAGAATTATTCATGAACAGCTCATGAGTTCCTATCTTTGTATTCTGCAGGAGTGAAGTGGGGAAGTACGCCGTGTACTGTCAGAGGTCTGTGGAGAGAACTCTGCAGAACGGGGAGCGGGAGGCCAAACCTTCACGTATGGAGATCGTCTCCATTCTGCTGAGGAACCCATACCACCACTCACTACCATTCAGCATCCCAGTGCACTTCATGAACAACACCTACCAGGTAAACTTCAGCAGCTGATTTACTATCATACGTCTGTTGTTGCTGTTCCTCTCTTGAAGCTGCAGTTGAAGCTGAAAGTTCAGATCAGGACTTAAATCCTTTGAACTGTGATTTGAACATGTGTTGGGGTAGATTTAGATGAAACAGCAAGTCTCTTTAAACGTCTCATTCAGAAAGTCAATGTGAGATATGCAAGAGGGACATGAGATTCACCCAGTCTGATAAATCGGCTTAAATAAGGAAAAGAAACAAAAAAAGTGATCAATCAGAAAAGTCCTGTTTTGTTTCTGCTGTGTCAGAGAATTTTTGCCCCTCTTAAACAGTCCAGGTCAGACCCAGGGTCCAAATAAATTGGCCATATTTCATAATTGATTTTCCTGAATAGAGAAACTTCAATCAACTCAGTGATAATGATAGGATGGCAGCAGCGGAGGAGGCTTCTGGAGTGATGAAATGAAGTGTTCAAGGGTTTATTGCGAGCTACAAAAGCCAGGAAAATCTGCATGACACAAAATCCTCCCACAAGAGAGTGGCTGAGTTTGGTTTGGTCGCAATAAGAGCCTGTGGGGAAATACAGCAAGCCTAGTGCTAGTTCAGGCAGGCCAGGGAGTCAAGTCCAGCCAACAGTAGCTACGTTTACATGGAGCCAAATATTCCGAATAGAATCGGAATAGAAGCCCAATCGGAATGAAAATGCTCCATATAAACACCTCATTCGGAATAAACAGGCCCATTCCGAATGGAATTTCATTCCGATTCACAGGGGTAGAATATTCCTTTTCCCATTCCGATTAAAAGCAAAATCCTGTCATGTAAACGGTGAATCGGAAAGTTGTCAGGCTGGGTTCTGTCTGCGCATGCTCTGTCCTGATGTAAACAAGCAGTGACGTATGACTCACATGGTGGGACATCATGTGACAACATCACGTGATGTTTGAAGGTATCACACACAGACATAATAAAAGATAGACCCTGCATCGGCCGCTACCACGAATGGGCGCTGTCGAGAAATGCGGCCGCCATCTTGGTTCGGTCATCCGCCTCACTCTGCACCGCTGTTTAACCGGCGGAATGAAGTCTGAGCGCATTAAATGAATCATAGTTCGCTCAATACTATGTAATTTTCTTCTCTGCAAACGCCATTCAAAGAGACATGATAGAGGCCATATTTTTTTTGGCGTTTTCAAATACTCAGAATGAATAAAATGATATTTTAGAACATGGCAGCAGTGGCTGTATTATAGTATAACAATTAATCAAGGATATATCTAGGTTTAGAGCTAGGTTCCTGCTATGTCTCAATAATTATTTATAACTGGCGGTTTTAAGAGGCCAATTCAATATATATTGATTTGATTATATTTTATTTAGTTTAATTTTATTTATCCATTTGTAGACACACACAAATAATGTCATATAGAAGCACTATTTTAATAACTGGAAAATACACACAAAGAAATAGCCTACATATCAATAAAAATTAAACACAAGAACAGCATGACAGGCCAGCATCTAAACTACATATCAATTTGCTTGTTGGCTACACAGCACAGAGGAATCACTTGCTGCGAATTTCTCCCTCTAACAGCAATCTCCCACTTCTTCCTCAAGTTTTTGTCCTTAGGAAATCTTCAAAATGAAACAGGAGATCACCACAAAGAAATCTTTAATAAAACAGATAATAAAACAGAGCTCACTTTCTTCCTTCTTCTTTCTATTTTATTTCTTAACGTTTCTTAGAACATCTCTCAAACAAAATTTTTTCAATCTAATGCAAATCTGTTGATAATAGAGCAAAGTTGCTATTATTGTGAATAAGCTAGCTGTTCGCAAATGCTGTTTCCGTATGGGAAGCTTGACCTGACCAAGATGGCGGCCGCATTTCTCGCTGCGCAGCACCCCCAGCGGGGTCTATCCTTTTATTATGTCTATGGTATCACATGTCTGTAAATAGCTGTTCCGATTGAATGCCGTGGCACATGTAAACACCAGATCAGAATAGATCGCTTCCATGTAAACAGTTCGCCTGGGAGCTTCAATCGGAATGATTATAATCCGAATGAGAAAAAAGTCTGCATGTAAACGTGGCTTTTGGCATTTTACTCTCCATGAATAACAGTCCTTAAAGCTTAAGTGTCTAAAAAGTTGTGAAACCATGACTCTCATGTCTCTGAAAGTCCCATATTTCGTCCACAGAGGTAAACAGGTTGTGCTTTTTTTTAACTTTCTGTCACAGGTGGTGGGTTTTGACGGCTCCACCACCGTGGAGGAGTTCCTGAACACACTGAATCAGAGGATTTGTGTGAGGAAGCCTCAGCTGTCCGGCTTTGCCCTTTTCACCGATGATCCATCAGGCAAAGACCTGGAGCACTGCCTGCAGCCGTCTGCCAAGGTCAGTCTCTTTCTCTCTCTAGTGTTTTCATGATTTAAAATATTTATCTGCGACTTCTTGATTTTTAAATTCTGTTATCCAAACTGCTTCTATTTTGATTTTAACTCAGTCCTGATAAAAGTGGTAACTGGACCACATTTACGGCTCTTTTTTGGCCTCTTTAAATACTTGTCTATTGAGTTTAGGCTACTGCCCCCTGCTGGAAGAACCAAGGATAATAAAAATAACTGAGCTGATTTGTGTCCTTTCTGTTAGATCTGTGATGTTATTTCTAAATGGGAGCAGGCCCTCAAAGAGCTGCATCCTGGGAAAAATGAGGGGACAAGGATTGTTCGTCTCACATACAAAAACAGGTAGGATTTTTATCGCAGAGACAGATGTGCCTAATACATGTCTATCAGACAAATTCAGAGTTTCTTTCAATTCTGCACATTCAGATTGAGCTTCAGATCTCAGGTGAAAGGGGAGACGGAGCGAGAGCGCCTCCTGCTGGCGTACCAGGTGAATGACGAGGTTCAGCAAGGCCACTTCCCGGTGAACAAAGAGCTGGCTCTCGAGGTGGCCGCCCTCATGGCACAGGTCGGTACACTCATCAGACATCCACCTTCACAGCTAAGGACCTCCTCTTAAAATATTCTTTATTTTCCTCACCTGTTTTTCCTCTTTTTACACTTTTTATAACTCAGGTTGAACATGGTGATCTGGAGAAGCCGGGTCCTTCCTCTCCTGCTAGTTCCCCTCAGCATAAATCTCAGCTGATTCTCCTGCAGGCCTTAGAGCGCTTCTACCCCAAACGCTACAAACAGGACTGCAGTCCAGAACAGCTCAGGTAAATAAACACTTCAGTTACACAAATCAACCATCAAATCTCAGTCTGTGCGCTAAAATCTGCAGATATTTTGCAGCAACAACACTTAAAACCCTCAGTCATAAATCGGTGTCTCTCAGGAGGACCAGATCAAACAAAGTTCTGCAGGATGATCTTGTTCTGAATTACCCACATATGAAAAATATCTACTTGTTTTCTTTTAGAGATCTTACTGAGCGTCTGGCCACTAAGTGGTCTATGCTACGTGGGTGCAGTGCATCCGAGTGTGTGAGAATTTATCTAACTGTGGCTCGGAAGTGGCCGCTGTTTGGAGCCAAACTCTTCAGCGCCAAGGTAAGAAAAAAAAAAGATGTCAGTCTGATTTTAAAGTTTGTCATCTTGAGTGAGAAAACCTTAACGCAGCCACCAATCCCACTTTCAAGCACAGGTCAGACCAGTTTGAGCTCCTGAAGAAGACCCAGACAGGAAGCCGTAACGTTTACAGGCACAGATGACACCTGAAACATGACCTCTCTTTATTTGTCCTGTCCACAGCCGGTCCCTCCCTCTCCTGTCGAGCAGAACCAGGTGTGGCTGGCAGTCAATGAAGACGGGCTGTGTGTGTTGGACTACACTATGGTGAGTTTCAGACTGTTACACTATTCAGGCTGAAGTATTTAAAGGGATATTCCGGCGTAAAATTAATTTTAGGGTCAAACACACCGTAACACCAAGTTAGACACTCCCACAAGAGATGAATGTTGCTTTGTTGCCAACTTTAGTAACAACTGCAGGATAGCAATACGCAGCAGTCTGAGAAGCCATAAACAAACCTCAACCAAAACACCACTCTATAGCCACAAATAATGTTCAGAACAACACCTAACTTCATCAACAGGATATATAGGGTCACCGCCACCAAACATCTTTTTAACTTTACCTATTTTTTTTAGCAAAGAGATTAGACACAACTCACCTACTCTCTTCCAGCAGCCGCTTGTTTTCACAGACCTTGGGTCAGTCCATTATGGACTACATTGGGGTGACGCAGCTCAAGGAAGAACATTTATGATCATTTCTTTATCATTTCCTTGAAGTTATAATCATCATATTAATCATTTTGCACTGCAGACGTGGTAGTTCTCCTGCCTTAGTGTCTCTGTCTGATTGCATATCCATGAAGAAATGATCATAAATGTTCTTCCTTGAGCTGCGAAACTCCACTGTCCATAGTAGACTGGCCTGAGGTCTCGCTACAAACAAGCAGCTGCTGGTAGAGAGTAGATGAGTTGTGTTTAGTCTCTTTTCTGAAGAAATTAGGCAAAGTTAAAAAGATGTTTGGTGGCTAGTACTATGGCTGGGACCCTATATGTACTGTTGATGAAGTTAGGTGCTGTTCTGAGCATTATTTGTGGCTATAGAGGGGCGTTTTGGTTGAGGTTTGTTTATGGCTTCTCAGACTGATGTGTAGGGAAGCAAGCCGTCGGCAACATTCATGTCCCAAGAGGGTGTCTGACTCAGTGTTACTGTGTGTTTGACCCTAAATTAATTTTACTTTGAATTTTTCCTTTGAATTTTTCTTTTTTTTTACGTTTAAGCAAACAGAGTAATCTTTTTTAACACATTCCTCCTGCATTCACTTCTTATTCAAGGAAAATTCTCATAAACATTTTGAATGTTATATATGTTGACAAAGTCAGGGCAAGAATCCAGTCAGACGCCTGTCTGGGCTGGAGCTCAGCCCCGCCCCCCATAAAGCAGGTAGCAGGTAAAGCTGTGAGACAAAGTGAGACGTTTCAGACTTTGGACTTCAGTTTTTAGCTTCAAAAAGGAGATATTTCTTTACAACTGCACAGCTCAGCTGGCTGGACCACAGCTGTGGATCTTGGTTGATCCAAAGGTCTCAAGTGATTTTATTTTTGTGGTTCTCCAAATACCAGAAATCCAAAGGAAAATAAAACATTCAGCTTCCAAGTAGACATTCTTCACCGACAGCAGTTACAACATGTATTGATGTTAGCTTGAGCTTTGTAATTTTCAGCTGCCAATGTGGATATATTTCATCACTGGTCTGGCTGGAGGTGCTGCTCAAGAGCTTTCAGACAGTCAAGAACAAAATCACAAGAAGTCTGTGGAAAATCTTGCCCTCTTCTTCTTCTTCTTCTTCCCCAAATTGCTCTCAAAAAAACAGCAGAAACCAAAATTAATTCCAGACTCTATTTTAAGATCAGTAATAATACCTGAGCGTGCTTCCAGTTCACATCTGTATCACTGCACACTCTAAACCGGTCACGCTTCTACTTTTCAGCACACTCTGCTCACGTACTCCTACCAGTCTGTGATTACCTTTGGCGGCTGCCGTGATGATTTCATGGTGGTCACGAGCCAGCAGAGGGAGCCAGGGGGCGGGAAGAAGAGCGTGGAGAAGCTGGTCTTTGCGATGGTGAAACCAAAGGTGAGTCAAGTTCTTCGGTTGAAATGATAGAGCTTCACCACCGGGATTCACAGGGATCAGTCTTGACCACTTCAGGGGGTAATTTTGCTGTTAAAAAGAGATCTGAAGGGATATGAAAGAGTAGCTCATTTAACAAAATCAAGTACCTGAATACCATCTGATTTTAATTAAAATTAATCCACACGCTGAGTTAGCTATTGTGATCCAAGGAAAACTCCTTATCTGCAGCTCAGGAAACTGAAGATGAAAATGACAAAAAAGATTCCTAAACCATTAAAATGTCTTAAAATAATGGCTGAATAATTTAAAATATTAGCTTAATCTGGGTGAATGAATTAAATTAATGAAAGTAGTTGATTAAGAGTTTAAAAACTGAGCTGAAATAATGAATAAATGGTTTTTAATCAGCGAAAGATTGATGAAGAATTGAAAGATAGTTGAAAGAGTTAAAGTAACAAACAGAGACAGCTCAAAATATTTTAAATAGTTAAAAAAAGTGATGAATTTATGATTAGAATAGCTCCAAAGAGTATTATTGGCTGAAGTAATGAGCTTTAAGTTATAAATAACTTGCTGGTAGAAAGTTAAAACAGCTCAAAGTGGCAGATGAAGTGTCTAGAAAGTAAAAGTTAATAATAAATTCTAATAATAATAATAAATTTCATTTATCGCGCGCTTTTACAGGTGGTCAAAGATGCCTTAAGAAGAAAATAAAATAAAAAACACAATTTAAAATGCAGAAAATTTTTAGGAATAAAACCAGTGATGTAAAAGGTTAAAAAAAGACAATAAAACAACATTTCACAGGTTGAAAACCAATTTAAAAAGGTGTGTTTTTAAGGAGTGATTTAAAAGTGTGGGGGTCTGTACAGTCTCGGATGGGTTTGGGGAGTGAAAAGTTAGCAAGTAGATTGTTTCAAAAGCTTTATGTTAATGTTTTAAAAGCTTAAAAATGGCAAAAAGCTTTATGTTCATGCTTGAAATAGCTTAACTTATTGAAATAATAAAATGGTTAACTTCAACAAACATGTAGGTCACTAAAATTAGCTTACAGATTAATGAAGTATTAAATAATAATGTCAGAAATTGGGTCATGAATAAACTAATATTCAAAACAAAAACTGGAAGGAAATAAGAACCAGCTACTGCACTAAATAACCTTTTTTTAAACATGACATTTGTTGATAGTTGTATAATTATGGTGTATAAACAGTTTGAATGACTAATCTTTAAACAACATAAATTAAATACAGAGCTCCAAGTCGGCCATAAAAAGCTGCAGTAGTTGGTTTAAAAATCCAGAATAATAAGATAAAACTAAAAAAAATATTTGACATTGAAATCTCAGAGTTGGATGGACATTTGCTTCTGTCTCAAGTGGTTTAGATTTTTAAAAATCTAGCTAACCAGCCCAACCTTTGGCCTTTTGAGTGTCTAACCGTTATAGTTACAGTGTTTTAGAGGACTGTGGGGTGTTTGTTAAAGAGTAATGAATGATGAATGAATGAAACGTGGTTCAGATGGATTTACGGTGAAGGTGTTACAAGAGTTATAAAATGCTCTGTAGATAAGGAAAGCAGGATTAATTCCTGTTTTGCAGAGCTGAAATTAAATGGAGAAAACAGGCTGTTCCTCCTGTGAAATGAGCAGAATCTCAGTGGTGCTGTAACACAGAGTCAGATTACCGCCGTGGCTGACATTAATCACAGAAACTTCACTCTCAGTAGAGGATCGGTTCAGTTTCTCAGCTTCTCTCTGGGTCTCCTGCTCCCCGTGATCAAATGAAACACAATCATATCGTCATGTTAAAGCCATTACTCTCACTCTAACCCTGTCTCAGATCCTGGAGGTGACTCTCCTCATGGCCAGCTACATGAACCACTGGAACCCAAACCTCCCGTCTGCCTCGCACCACCAGCCGCTCGGCCACTGGGACGGAGACAGCCGACACTTTCCCGCCATGAATTACACCACCAAGGGCCCCACGCTGCTGTGAAGACCAACACGGACTGTTTGAGTACAGGGAGGCCCGATGACAACAGTAACCTTTAGTCGGCTTCATGTGTGTCAGGTTGCACGTCTCGGTTTGACATTTATACAGAGCAGGTACAGGAGGATTATCGTCTAGAGTCCTTTTTAATGAAGAGTTAGAATTAGAGAAGTCAGGATCAGTCTGGTTAGACTATTTATTTCCACAACAAAAGAGTCTTTTGATAACTCTGCTTTATTTAGATGTAAGATCACACTTCGGCTCCTTGGGGAAAACTCGGTGTTGGAATTCATGTGTTTAACTACAGTGGAGGTCTGCAGACTTGTTTTCACCTGCAGTGAGATCCTTATAGTCAAATCCACAGTACATGTTTTTCCAGTTTTCTAGTCGGACTCTTGAAGCTGTGTCTCTGACTGGAACAATGCATCACCGCGTGTTAACCCTCAGTTGACATCTGACTCTTTTATGTGCAATTTCAAACTGACTAACTCGACATGCGGTACTTTGGTTAAATAGTTTTTAGTGTCTGATCCTCAAATCTAGAGAAGCAACAACCATTCCTCTTTATCGCTGCATTTATTAATCTGCTGGATCGTGTCTCAGCTGATCTCTTGGTCTATTTAATGTTAGAAAATAGAAAAGATAGATTATCGCAGGTTTTCTAGAGCCCAATTCGACAAAAATTAGAAGTTTATTCAATAAAAATCACAAAAAGAGCGCAACAGTCACATTTAAGCTGCTAGAGTGAATTGCTTAACTCATTGCTTTCGCAGTTTAGCTCATTTGTTTCATGATGCATCAAAATCGAAAACAATCGTGGGTAACACTTTACAATTACCATAATTTATAAACGGTAAACCAATAGTTTATTAATGTTTAATCATCATTTTAAAACAGCATATAGACCAATTATGAATGGCAAATAGTTACTTTATCATTGACAAGTAATGAAACTATGCTGAATAATTTTCATTAATTATTAATGGACTATTTATCAAAGGTTTTTATAGGGTTTAAATATTGGTTGTAAAACATCTAGATTTAAATGTGTGTCAGTAGCACTTTGTAAATGGTTAATATTTGGTTTTTAAACCATCTATAAACATTACTTAGATGGTTATTGTTAAGTTAGGGTTAGGTTTATAAAATTGTAAAATATACGATTTATTAATGGTCTATATGCTATTTATGAATTATGATTAAACTTTAATGGTTAATTTACCATTTATAAGTTATGGTTATTGTAAAGTGTTACCCAATCGTGATTGGTTAGCTGCTCACCTGGCAGGTTCACAGCCAGTTTACCATGGCGGATCAGCCTGGTGTTACCAGAACCGTCAGCCTGCTCATATTCATTTTCGCTGCCATTCCCGGTATCCGATAAACCGACCTGATTATAGCAGCTCATTAAAACAAGATCAAATAACTCCACTCAGTGTCCATCAATAAGAAACCAATAAGAAAGAAAGAAGAATTTTTTAGCAGATTTATTGACAACCCTTTTGCACACATGAACCAAAAAATACAGTTGTCTCACTTTTCTATCATGGTGTAAAATTTGAAAAGTTAAACACAAACTGTGTCATGTTTTAAGGCACACATAGATGGTAAATAACAGTGAGATAGAGCAGCATGTTTGTGTTTATTTTGCTGTTTTTCCTCCTCTAACGTATTCTTCTTTTGAAACTGTCAGCACGTGCAGCATGTGGATCATCTGATCTCTGAGTTTCTTCATCTTCAACGAACAAACGAACAGAGGAGACGGATTTAAAGAAAGAGCTACCAGAATATTCTAATGACTTGAACTGTTTTGGATCAAACCACTGTTTCACTAGTGTCCATGTATTAGTTATTTATTGTGTTTCCAACTTTTATTTTGTAGTTTTTTCCATAACTGTCGCATATGTTGTGGAAATGGTTCAGTTTCCTTTATGTAGCAGAGTAATTTAAGAGCAGAGTATGTTTGCTTGTATCTGAACTAGAATGTGTCGCAGGTGTTTGAGAGCTGTTTGTGTCTTCTTTGTGCTGCCTGTATGTGTGTGTTCATAATAAATGAAATGGGACAAACTTGTTGTTCTGTGGGTTCACTTTTACCTTAAAGCTCCTGTGAGGAATTTTCTGTCTGTGTTGACTTTGGTGCCCCCCTATGGACCAAACATTACCTCTTACATCTGGGCTGATTTTGTCCCACATGTTCACAAATGCTAAAATAATATGAAATGCATTTTCTGTCTTGCGGCTGATTGTCTTGTTTGCTTTTGTAGGTGATTAAAAGGCATTAAAGTTAACTTGACTTAAAGGGAAATTCCGCTTTTTTAATATTTAATATTATTTCTGGTCAAGAAACTAAGTGATAGAAACAGTGATGGCTTTTCATGACCCATAAAAGTAAAGACGACAATCAGCAACAGGTTTTTTAATGGGCCCTTTGTAGGTGCAGCCTCTGAGTTAAAGGTGGGGTAGGCAGGATCTGAGGAAGAAATCTTGAATGTAAACTCTACCCCTCCCAACCAGTTTTCCCCTCAGCTCCTCCTCCCCCCTCCCTCTCTGCTCCAGCAAGCCCCGCCCACAGACAGACGCTCCTGCTCGCTCGTATTGTTCCAATTAAATTCAGATATAATGTAGATAAATACTTCAGATTAGGCCTGTCACGATAACAAATTTTGCTGGACGATAATTGTGCTACAAATTATTGCCGATAAACGATATTATTGACACTGTTTTTTAAATTATAGATAATGATATTATATGGCATAATCATGCGAGTACGCCCTGTCAAAAAGTGATAAACTTTCATTTCACCCACGACGAAGACGTAACGTTGACGAGCTAAACTTAAGTCGGAGATGACTAAAATGTGACGAGATGAAAGTGCGTTTACGTTTATGGGACGAGACGAAAATGACAAACAGAGTTGCAAAACTCAGTAAGTTAAACGCTAAACATGTAGGAGCAGCTTAGGTCCGCTCTGACAGCTCTCATCAGCCTGCTGTGCTCCTCCAACACACAGACACGCGCGCGCGCGCGCACACACACGTGGAGTTTTGTGGTTGACGAAAACAAAACTGGTTTAAAGCCGAAATATTCCCACACTTGGGCTGTTGCGTTCGGTTTAGACACCAAAGCTGTCGTGTTCATTCTGTTTGCTTGCTTTTCACTCACGACGCTCACTTGCAGCACTGTATCCAAAAGTCTGTGTCTGTGTGCCTGTGCCCCAGGTGCCGAGAACAATGCGCAGAGTGAGACCTCTTCTCTCATCCAGCGTGTTTGGTAGCGAGAGAGGAGGAAAACAAACGCACGTCAATTATCGAGGCTGGCAAAATGACCGACCTCGTTTTTATTTACCGAGCGATAAGGCGATTTATTGATTATCGCGACAGGCCTACTTCAGATAATTACAAATGGAGCCCAGTCAAGGTGAAAGTGAAAAGCATTGGTGCTACTGTAGATGCCAACAGACTACCAGCAAACACAATGTTTGCAGGACTTCTACAACTAGGATAAAGTGACATAGTCCAGGACCCGAGGTCAACAGTTTAGTGGCGCTATGACATGCAGCAGGTCCCGTTTGACAAGAAACACTTGTGTTACAGACACTTGACTTACTTTGTTAAAGTGGTTTAACTGTCCAGCAGAAAGGTTACACGGTCAAGCGTCTCCTATCATTTTATGTTGACCCGGCATTTTAGCTCTTGTCCAGTCTACCTCCGTTTTAAGCGCCCGTTATTCCACCAGAGTCTCTGGTATCTACTTCGTTTTCTTGCTTGTGTCAGCAGTCGTGGCCAAAGGAGGATTCAGACAATTTTCCGTACTTTCTGGTTGGTTTCTACTGTCCGATATTGTAGCACGCTAACTTTGTCTGGGCTCCTGAATGACACGGGGGAGCACAGAACCAGTCAGGTTGGGGTAGGCCGAGAATGGCTTTGTTTACAGTCAGAAAAAGCTAATAACTATTGACTGATATTAAAAGCTTTTTTGTAGATACACCACAAAAAAGATGCTTCTTTAACGGATTCCTGCCTACCTCACCTTTAAGACTGCTGTAGTTTTGAGAAGGACAGACAGTTTTAGTCTTAATGAAAGAAGCTGTTTTTCACCAGTTTTAGGGTCATCAACAAAGAAGGTTGACTCGATCTTTTCTCACTTGCCTGTCACGTCTTCTTTCCAACAACTCAAACAGAAACAAAGACCCTATCTTCCCTCTCTTTGAAAATGTTCTTGTTTGGCTTTATCTTTCAATTTTGGCGTGATTTACAGAAATAAAATCGAGTGTTCACTGCTTAACTTTGGATTCACAGAACGGACAAGATTTAGCTGTTAGGTCTCTTCATTTTTACCTCTCAGTGATCTAAAAGTCTACTACAGAGCGCAACAGTGTCTTCTTGGCGGTAAAACTTCTTTGACTTTCTCTTGAACAAGTTTGGATTAAAGTATAATCAACAAAGGAGTCCACGCAGGAGTAAACTGAGTAGTTAGGCATTCACAGAAAGAAACACCACTTCAGCACACTTTAATTTGTCTTTCTTCCTGTATTATTTACTGAAACCCTCTTTTCTAACTCCACACTCTCTCCCTCTGTGCCGCTCGCACACCCTGCACAGTGTTCAGGTTTTTACTGGAGTCCGGGTTGCAGGAGTGGAAGCTGTTCTGCGTTTTCTTATCCAAGGGGGTCAGAGTGGTAATGGCATTTTCCTGCCAAATAGAAGCTGTAAATCCCTGTTTTTAATAGCTCGTCTGAAGCTCTGTTTGTTCCAGAGCTGCTCTCATACTAAATGAAATGCTCATTATAAGGCTCACTGCTGAATTTCTGCACACCTTCAATGCTCATCAAGTAAGAAAATCACCTCTGGAATATTTCCATGTGGGAATGTGACTTTATAAATCAGACTGAATTTCAGCTTAAATATCACCGTGCTACTGGAGAGAAGAGCGTTTTGTTCCCTGTGCTGTAAAATCCTGCTGAGTTTGTTACAGACTGACTGTGTTATTGTGTTTGAATTATGACAGAGGCATGATTCAAAAACAATATTTGGCCATAAAAGTGCACATGTGGTTGAATATGTGCAGATTAAGCTGAACTTTAACTATAATGAGCCTCCTGTTTGTTCTAAATAATATGGTAGATTTTTTACTTTACTTCTTGTAGTTAAATGTTATTGATTTTAAAACAAGGAATATACTTTATTTTCAGTGAATCTGAGAATGATTTTCCTTTAATGACGTTGTCCAGGCTAATACTCACTTCTGATTGGCTGCTGGCCGTCCATTATTCCTGATAATGCACACTCTCTCAATAACTGCAGTGTAATTCTTAGTTTTCTAACTTTTCCAAGTGTCCAGTGCTTTCAGTGTTTAATCATCAGTGAAATTTTTGTTTTTTTATCGCTAGAAATTTACTTAAAAAAGTGAGAGTTTCAATTTAAATTTTTACCTCTTCATCGTAACTAAAAAAAAAACAGTTTAAGATGTGAGCACTTAACCTCTTACATAATCTCGGTCTTGTAATGTTTAACTGAAGTCGAAAGGCCTCTGTAATTATCCTGTTAACTGTTTTTTTTTCCACCTCCTGTTGTGATGCAGTAATTTGGCCACCTTTAAAAAAGTTTAAAAGAATTTCAGGAATCACTTTAAAACACAAGACGGTGACGTCACATGTCCAAGTAGAACTACATGTTCAGGACATGATCTAATTAGGCTTGTTTAGCAATCTGGATTAACTCAGAAGTCTCCTATATAATTTATGTCAACAGGATTTAATGCAACACTAAATAGCTTTAGCATGATTTCAAATATGACCTACACATTACATGAGCCGGAGTGTGTTCAAGAGGCCCCATATACTGATTTTCGAGATTCAGATATAGATAAAAACCTTTTATATGAGAAGTCATTTAATCTTATTACTATCAATGAATGCACATTCTTTACTGTCTAAGTACTGAATGTTAGATCGATGTTGACTGATATCAAGCTGACACTGCCTCTTCAATAAGTGACGATAATATTTACAGACCAAACAACTTCCTTTAAACTGTATTACCTGAATCAACAGCTCAGTTTATATGCCATTATTTTTTGTTTTTGGTTCTCGGAGTACAGTTGTTGTGAAACTACTACTTGCTGGAACTTGCTGAATCACTTTAATCCCAGTTTATCCTCCACTGACTTTCAGTACAATAGCTAAAATATGCATATACGGTAGTCTTGAGTGGGCATGCATTCATACATTATAATTTCTCATTATAATTTTCCCATGATGATAAATTCATTTAAAATGCTTTTTGAAATTTTTTCTGATGTATTTAAAAAACAAACAATATCTGGCTCGTAGGTGAAAGCCCAAACTTAAGTACTTTTTAAATTTTTTTGTTTAATTTTTAATTCTGTTTTAAAAGAAAAAGAGTCAATTGAACAATCTAAATTTATCATCCATTTTCACTCTGACAACTACAGAGTTTTAAAATCTCTGCATTGGCTACCTGTGTCTTTTAGAGTAGATTTTAAGGTTCTTTTATTAGTTTTTTAAGCTCTTCTTATTTGTCTGATTTGCTTTTACCGTATGAGCCGAGTAGAGCCCTCAGGTCTTCAGGTGGTGGTCTTTTAATTGTTCCCAAGGTAAAAACAAAAACATTCAGTGAATCATCGTTTAAACATTACAGTCCCCATCTGTGGAACAGCCTACCTGCAGACCTGAGAGGGACACCTAATGTTCATATTTTTAAAATTAAACTCAAGACTTACCTTTTTAGTCTGGCTTTTAGTTGAATTTTGTTTTAATCTTTTAATCTGCATTATGTGATTTTATGCTATTTTAGTCCTAGAGTAATTATTTGTGTTTTATTACCTCTTTTTTTAATTTACTTTCTTTTATTGTTTGATTTAAAGACTTATACTTAATTAACTTTTAACGTTCTGGTCTTTTGTGTGTGTATCTGTGTGTGTGAGTGCTGTATATGTTGAATGGGGGTTGGGAGGGTTGGTGGGGTTTGGTATTTGTATTTTATTTATTTCATTTCATTGTTTTTTAATAGCCTGTAGTGTTGTGTCGTTTGCGAAAGATTCGTTCAAAAGAACTGAGTCTTTGAAGTGAGCGTACTGAACCGAATCACTTCCTCCAGTGATTCGTTCGTTTCTCACTTCAGTTGAGCTAAAGTGAGAAACAGCATTGCCAGGCCAGCAGCCGGCGAACTGAATCACTTGGTGAACGAATCACACATTGAACTACACTCTCTGGAAACTA